AACTTGCCCTATGTCTTCTTTCGGAGCTTTCTTTGTTTTGTGAATTAATCAATCAGCAGTCGGCGTCTTTCATAGAAATCAAGTTATTCAGAAGTAGCATTTAAAAACAGTGCATTGGAAACGGGGAGATTACTATGAAGAAAATGAAAGTTCACATAGGAAAATCGAAATGGTCACGCTATCATACATCTTAGTAGTACGATGTCCACTGATTTTTAATAATTTTGATGAAAAACGTTTAAGCTTTTCTTCTTGTTATGCACGAAAAAATATTTTCTTTAAAACTAAACTAGTCCGATATAGTACCTGTGATTGAATTATGATAATAACGGGTTTAAGGTTACCATTGCCACGCCCTTACCTTTGAGTGATATGATATGAGTCTACCTTCAGATTTAGTGGTCACAAAAATAGCATGACAGGTACATGTGTTTTCAAAAAACATGTTTTTTCAAAAAGAAATCATGGTGTATTTATCTGACGCTTCAAATCAAACAAAATATTGCCTCAAAATAGCGGTAGAAACAGCCTTCATATATGGAACTTACTAATATTCTTATGGCAATGAAAGGCAAGTTAATGGACAATTTTTTGTGATGGTCACCGTGATAAATTGACCAGTGGTTTGTCCATATGGACGGGTTGGTTTTGGAAAATGAATAACATGATACAGAAGATATCTGATTTCAAATAAAATACTCTAACAATGTAATAATTTAAAGAACGGACCCGGTACATTGAAACTCAAACTCCAAACAAATAATAACCAAATGTTCAGAGTGGTACAGTATCAATACATCAAATTACAAGCACTAAAAATAGACTGAACACTGTATGCTGGTGCAAAACACTGGGACAACTTGATACAGCCATCTGTCATTAAACAAAATCTTGTACAATATCTCTACCCCACACAAATCTTATTTATCAGGGTAAATTAATGTAAGATTCACAATTAACCCTGGTTAACCCATTAGTGTGCTTAATACAATGTATGCACAGAGAAAACAAATAACACAGACTAAAAAACAAAAACACGAAACACTTTTCATGAGAGTGCATTTATGTCTTAGGAATCTATGTATGGCAGTAATGAACGAAAGGCTAGATATATTGGCATAGGAAACAAACCTGAAGTTAATTGCCATAGCACGGTTAAGAAAATCACTGTTATTCGTGGATTGACCTCACAATAACAAGCGGCACAGGATGTGGAGTTGGGTTGTGTGGAAAAAATGATTACAAAGCATGTCTGTCGGAATGTATTCAGTGTTAGTTTTAAAAACCAAGCCATGTATTAAGAATCCGAATAAAATATCCGACTTTTTATTTGCAAGATAGGGTGAAAGAGGCAAAAACACATCACTATTTGTTTTGTTTTCTCTGTACTTGAATGCCATAGAAAGTGTATTTATCGAAGTTGATATTTGGCCTACAGAAATTGAAACACCTTGTCCTCCACATATTGGAGCGTAATTTACATCATTTATATAGTGTATGCTGACGACACTGGGTAGATGTTCAACACCAATATTGGTCCGCCTTACGCTCTTAACTGTTTCAAACATTGCTATAAAATATGGTAACTCCGTATTAACATTGAAAAAAATCTAAATCTTTTGAGAAAGAAAACAGAAAAGAGAATATAACTTCTCTATAGCAATGAAAGTGTGAAGTTGGGGGAGTCTAACTCTTGCGTATGTATATCATTCATTGTCAAAGCAAATCTAGAAAAAAAAGTCTGAACAAGAACATAACGCTGTAAATGCATTCTGAAGGAAATAACGAAACTTTCCACAACCGCTTGCTTTGTACCTTGAGTTATTGGATTCACCTTTATATAGTGTGTAACACTCATTTTCATGTATGGGAAGGAGATATGTGACTTCGAAAAGATTGTATTATTGAACCAATTTGACGAAACAATTCAATTTAAGGAGCAGTACTCTGAGTTATATGTTGAGCATGGTAGTTAACATCTATAAAATGATATCAAAATTAGAAATATGAACTTTTGACATAAGGTAATCATAGGTGGAAACAAGTTATCAACCAATGAAACAGACAATATCTTATCATGTACTGCCAAACTAAGATTAATAGATCAATTTATGATGTAGATAGTTATCGTGGTCAAAGATATTCAATTTTCAAAAGCCAGTGGACATTTGAGCTATGCTGGTGAATTGCGGATGATTGTTTGCAAATATAAAATGCCATGCACTTGAATGTTGCTACAAAAAACAGGCCGTGAATGGCTAGCCACGATATGCAAGAATGTGTCTTTTACGCACAAACATAAACGTGATAAATTCCGTTATGTGTATGTAATGTATATGTAAGCATGACTTGCTACTTATTATTATAACTATCTAGCTATTGTCAAAATGAACATTAAGACTATTGTGAAAATGAAAAAGGAAAAAGTATGTTTTTCTATTTTTAGGTAGGTAAGGTAAATAGGTAGCTAGGTTGGTTGGGTCGTTTGGATTGGTAATTAGGTCACCAATCATAGCTACCCAAGCGTGAACACACAGTGTTCAGCCATGTACATTGTTGCGTACGTAGGTACATGTGAACTACCGCGGTACACCTGTACTCAGCACACATGAATGACTCACATGCGTCACTGTAATTATCAGTATGTCGGTTAAGCAGAATTATATTGCCTGACAAAACACCGACAACATAGAGCGAACTCGAGTGAGCATGCAGTGCTACGTATTATGCACATGTTAATGCACGATTCCACAGTTATAAATTTGAGTTTATTTTTAAACTAAAAACAAATTAACGGAGGCCCTTGGCCCGAGTGCGATTTGAAATATAAATAATCTATGCGCTATAGTTTCCAACCAAAGGACTTTAAATGAAAAACTGAGCATGTGTTCTTTTAAATTATGGATTTTCTTGTTATTTTACTCGTTAGACGATATATAACGTGGCTTTTTGTGTCAAAGTCGGACCGGTACCCAAATCGGATCGGTACCCAAATCGGATCACTTTTTGCAAAAATACTTATAAATAAATAAATGTGTCAACAAATCAGTTATAACAATGATATAGTCTTAGAAAAGATAGCCATGGACCATTTTTTGACTACAGATAATTAGTTTTTAAGTTCAAATAGCGCAAGAAAACGTAATTCAATCTCAAATGTCAATGTTTTGATTACGTTTTAAAAAAAAATGGCGCGTGCGACGACTATGCACTCTGTTTTGGACTATAGGGATAAATTCACACTATAGAAATACTTTTTGTCATATAAATTCTAAAGGTCATCATCAAATGTTAATATGCTGACAAAAAAATATTCATTTGAAGCGTACGATACTGCAAAAATCAAGCCGTGATCCGATTTTGGTCCCGACATTCGCAAAAACCGGAGACGCTGATTAGTGACTTCAGAGCAATCTATAAATATCTCAAGTGAGCCCCGGGTGCTAATTTCGTTTATGAGAACACCCATCGATATTCTATTTTTGATACAACCATGAATGAATATAATTCCTCCTCAGACTTTTCAATGATTTAATAAAATGAAGGTTTGGTGATCCGATTTGGGTACTGTTACCTAATGCTTCGCGATGATGTTACAATAAAGACAATCTTTCAGTAAAATAACAATATTTGAATGTGTTGACATGCAATTCTGGGTACAATCAGTAATTTGTTTCCATAATTAACACATAACGGTATATATTTTATTATGAAAAATAACAAAAACGATGCAAATACCTTGTAGGCCTAATGTAATTTCTCAAGAACGTCGTCTGGCTTCGGTATCCTAAACGTACTTAAGCTGAGATTTAAGTCCGAACTCAAGAACTCAAGCTCAGCGTCCGCATTTCGTTATCACAAACTAAAAACTCAGCTCAACGCCATAATAATGTGTGTAAATGTCAATGCTGCTAGTGATCAGCCTGTGCCAGTTTAACCTAGACATATGAGGACATGTTTGGATATGAGACCAATCAAACACACCTCTCTTGTATATGATTTTCGTATTATTCCGCTGGTACATTTTCAGGGGTCTTCGCGTAAATCTTTCCTATTTTAAGTTTTACCCTGGTTTCATCGTACTTCTTGGCAATTGTTTTGCTTTTATTTTTGTACTCTGTTTATGTCTTCTTTTAGAACGTCCAGGATGGTAGACAGCGTAATAAAACCAGCAGGTACACGGAATGTTTTGTAGAAACCTAACCCCTAGACCTGCACCCGTCTCTAGAATGTTTTGTAGAAACCTAACACCTAGACCTGCACCCGTCTTCAGAATATTGAATCATATAGAAACAGATAAACTCTAATTATTTTGATCACTTTGATGTCTGATCCTGAGTTCTAAACTAGGGCGAGATAAGCTAGCAGTAAAATGCAGCCAGGAAATTCGTCACATGCTGATATGTAGTGTAATTCACCATAGGTAGTTAGCCTGGTATTTGGGTAAATACTACCCATGATCATTTGTATTTACAAGCAAGTGGTTTTGAACCTGTAATTATTTACTAACTATAAGGTTTAAAAGATGACTGAAAGAAAACAAAATATCGTTTGGAATGAATATAAATACAATAAAACTATACCTAGGTATAAATCATAATGCTTCCATCATTAATCACTATTAAATGTAATTAAATTAGAGGCATCGACATCGGGATATCTGGTACATATCTCGTCCGGCTTGATATTATTTTCTGTACATTTAGAAATATGAATTGATCTGCTTTAATGTGATGGTGATGCTGCTTTATAGCTGCTAGTTAGGACTCGTAGTGTTAACACTTAGTGCACGTGCACTCCCTGTTTCTTAATATACGAAACATCGTGTGTGAAATGGTGCCCTCTTGAACTTGAAATAAAGAGAAAACTCACGAATTGTAAAATGATGCATGCCTGTTGTTGCATTTCATCAGATTATCTCATGTGATCAAGGAAATATGCTGAGTCAACCTTTCCTACGCTCCTCTTATTGGCTTATCGCGCCGCGGTCTAAATAATGACCCATACCTTGTAGTCCTGTTTATAACGCGCATGCAGTATAAATAGCGTGTCTCTAAAAGCAATCCAACAAGCAGCAGAGCAAGATGTCGATATCAACTACGCGCGTTACTCTTAATAATGGCCAGAATATGCCTCTTTTGGGGCTTGGAACCTGGCAGGTAAGTGTGCTGTTATGATACATGTGAGTACCCTTTATGGGGTATCATATTGTGTTTACGTGGTACATTTAAATTAAGTTCTAAATGCGTTTTGTAAGTTGTGATATGAATAGCTCTTCAGGAACAATATAGCTTAACAGCTGCCGTTAAATGACTCTGTTAGCATGAATATCTATATATATTTACAACGACAGCGTGACTTTGCGGTATTTGACCGACTAAACATAACATAATGTTTTAAGAGGGAAACAGATATTTGAATGCATGGCAAATATCTTATATAATCCTTTCAAGGGGAATGTGACCTTGAAGCATTAGACCGACTGTAAATTAATATTAAAGAGAGAAACAGAAAGATGCATGATTGAAAATATCTTTCAACGTAGGACATAGCAAAAATAATGCACCAACAATGTTTCTCTAGATGACGATATCGTGTGGTTAATCTACTGACATTAATATCCATATCTAATAATAGAAATGAATATATACGAATTAGAAAGTTTTACATTGTGTATACAACTAGTGACATAGAACGTCCTACAGCCTACAAATTAACCTTTTTTCTATCAGCATTCCTTTTTAGTTAGGTGTGCATGCTACTCAAACTTCGTTATCGGCTGTCTCTTCTCAAGTGTTGATATTATTTAGGTAATTTGAGTTTAGATCCAAGTACTGTAAAGTTCAATAGATATCGGTTTACCTGCTCAATGTGCAACATTTATATTAAACTCAAGACAGGTTTACTGTTTTAAATATCTGTGACGAGATGGAAACCTGTGCTGGGTATAAAACGGAGGCAAATAAGCAAACCTCCCCGACCTTCGGCACTTATGGGAACATGAACAAAAGATTACAATGATATACAATATTGGTATATACTTATCTAAGTATAGGTTCATAAACTAGGGAAGATGTTACATGCCTGGAGCCGTTGTAACGTTGAAAATGGATTCCCGTGGAAGACGGAACACGGGTCGATTTTCAACGTTAAACATAAATCAGGGGAGCCATACAAACCTGACTCTCCCATAAAAAATGACCTCGTTAGAGGTTAGTTTTCAGCGTGTAACCCGTGGAAAACAGAACCTAATCAGATTCTTAGTACCATTAACTCACCTTGTCCGAAGGATCTAAGTGATAACAATTCGTACCTTGGCGTCCGTCGTCCGACCAAATTAGGTCACTGTAACCGACTTCCGAAAAACTGACCTACATTATTTAAAATTGTCATTGGTTCACCAAATTAGGTCACTGTGGCCAACTTTTGAAAAAAAATGACCTGCATTTCTAAAAATGTCACAGGGTTCAAAAATGAATTTAGAAGTGTTGTATCGCCCAATTGGGTAACTTTGACCTACTTTTGAAGAAAATTTCCTACATTACTTAAAATTGTCATTGGGTTCAGAAATGAAATTATAAAAAGTTGTTTTACTCAATAAGGTCACTGTCAATTGATTTTGCCAAACAGCTGTTAAATTTTAATTTCTGACATCTGTGACCTTTTTTGATAATGCATGTCAAATCTTCAAATCTAGGTCACTGTGACCCAATTAGGTGAAACAATAGTTTGATGTTAGTTTCTAAACTTGATGTTTTACAACAAATAGGTCAAAGTGACCAAATAATGTCAAACATTGATATTGAGTTAATTTCTAAACCGAATGGTGATTTTTTGGTAAATGTCAACTTCTTAGAAATTTGTCACATGACATCATTACTGTTTTAATGAGTTGAAGTGCATCAGCAATGCAATAGTCTATTTTACCACAAAAGAAGTGCATACATGCGAAATTAGAGCAATTGAGCAATATTTGACTGACATCTGTGGCACAGACAATATAAAATTTTCAGAGTTGTTAAGCAGTTGTATTGCCTGAAATGTTGGCAATGTGAACATTTTCGATTAACGACATTTTGACAATGGCGGGAAAAAGGTAATGAAATGGTGCTACAGTGTTACTTAATATAGATTATGTCTTTGTTTATTCTTTTGTTCTCTTAATCTCTATAAGATGTTCTGAATCAAAGCAGAGGTCATGAAATGTACTGTAGCCTTCATCATGTAGTAAACAAGCTGACGCACACATGGTGGCATTAAAAAGGTCATATCTACTCTCATATTGCCAGTATAGTACAAATCACGGTCAGCTTATTTGTCAAAATATACTTAGTGTAGGGCTAAGGTAATGAGAATATCGCGTCGTCGTTAATACCCTTTAGTAATCTGTTATATCGTTATATATGTATTAGGAGAGTCAGCGTTTTGACATCAACCTTCAACGTAGATACACAGCTTCAGCATACGTAGTTATCTTGTTATTTCAGTGAAGGACACATTATGCCAATCTTCGTTCTACTTTTAAAGCTGACTAATGAAATGTCTGCATCATTTGTACTCATTAATATAATACGAGCGTACAAGAATTTATTAATGGTAAATGTCCTTTTCATAATTAAAAGAGTTATTTTTCGGTTTAAATTTTATTTTATTTGTCCATTAATTTAAATTTACTTTTTTCATATGTCATTACGTCGTATATTTACATGTATGATGCTCCTTCAGAGTGACCCGGAGGAAGTGAAGACGGCCGTCCGGACCGCCATTGATTATGGATACCGCCTCATCGATACAGCTTACAACTACGTCAATGAGGACGCGATAGGTGAAGTCGTAGAGGAGGCTTGTAAGGCAGGAAAAGTGAAGAGAGAGGAAATGTTTATTTGTACTAAGGTAATACACTAGATTGCCTTTTTATCGTCAGGATAAACGTGTTTAGTTCGTTGGAGAACAGCATATTCTAAATGGGTAACTCGCTTTACTGTAGTTGAACTAAAGATATAATTGGTGGTAGCATTTACCAGTTCACGTTCACGTTTTAGATGCGAACGCTGAAAAAAGGTTTTACAAGTGGTGAGCTAACGCTACGTGCAAAATTAATGCAACGCAAATAGTCACCTCGAAGAAGAACAGCAAATGTGTACGGACATAAGCCCACACCCCTTTTCCTCTATTAACACCAGAAATAACTAGTCTACTTCAAAATAAGACATGCCATCTTTGCAATATATAATAACAAGGTGTTATATTAAGTTTCATTATTAACCAAATAATGTTTTCCAAAGAAAGCCGTCTACAAAGTGTGATATACTATTAAAGCTAAGAAAATGACATATTTCTTTAAAAGTGGTACCGTATCGACCATGTTTTCTACTTAATAATAGAAACGTTGTTTTATCATTCCGTTTGATGTAATATATCCCAGTTTCAAAAGCATGCTTAGTAAATGCAGTAAACCTGACTGTAAGTTAAAACCAATCTAATGTTTGTAATGAATAAATATTGACCATAACAAGGTAAATAGTAAGCATGGTACAATGTATATCTATCCTTTAAAGCTCGGCGGTATCTACACCCGACCTTCGGATGTTGCACATTCTATGTCCGAGAGTCTGAGAAAACTTCGGATGTCTTATGTTGATCTATTCCTGATACACGGTCCTATGGCGTTTAAGGTAATTATATAAACACGTCGATCTATGTATACTTGATTATTTTTTATTTCTTTTCATTTTCAGTGTTATAAGAAAGTCTTCTGATAAGATTTTAAAATCTTGTAAAAATACTATAATAAATATTCTGTTAGACAGAACGATAGACAAAATATTGTGAATTGCTATCCATATGATATCATCTGACACATTATATCACTTTTACTGAACTGACCGTCATATTCGTTATATTGTGCTCGTTTATTGATCTTGTCATCCTATCACCGAGACACACTAATACATGCAGTATTTTCCAACCAATATGTGAATATGCGATTGAAATATATTTCTATACGTTGTTTTAGAAACCAGAGGATCCTAACAATGTTTTTCCCATGAAAGATGGCCGTCCGGACTTTGAACAAAAGGTAGACATTGAAGGTGTTTGGAAGGTAAGTGTGTCTTCCACCTGTTTACCGATTCCTAGTACCGTGTGCTAAATATGTTAACTGGAACAATTCCACTTATACCACACTTATATAACCTATTTAGAGACATTTTGGCATACTGAATATTATATCGATAAAAATAATGGGTTTTGCGTACAAATTGTGTTAGGCATCCGTCAAGATTTTCTGCAACATGTGACAAATAATTACCGCACGACGTTAAATATAACATAAAAAACATTCTTTGATAACCTAAAAATTGTAAAATATGTTTTCGCCAGTTAAGGCAGTTTAAATCATTGCTTGTATTTGGTTAATCTACTGGTATTAATATCCATATCTCATAATAGAAATGAATATATACGAATTAGAAATTTTGTGTGAGTTGACAATGTGTTCGTATTGTGTTGATGTCTCCCCTGTATCTAGTTGCTTTACCGTAGTGTTTGTGTGTGAGTTGACAATGGGTTCCTATTGTGTTGATGTCTCCCCTGTATCTAGTTGCTTTACCGTAGTGTTTGTGTGTGAGTTGACAATGGGTTCCTATTGTGTTGATGTCTCCCCTGTATCTAGTTGCTTTACCGTAGTGTTTGTGTGTGAGTTGACAATGGGTTCCTATTGTGTTGATGTCTCCCCTGTATCTAGTTGCTTTACCGTAGTGTTTGTGTGTGAGTTGACAATGGGTTCCTATTGTGTTGATGTCTCCCCTGTATCTAGTTGCTTTACCGTAGTGTTTGTGTGTGAGTTGACAATGGGTTCCTATTGTGTTGATGTCTCCCCTGTATCTAGTTGCTTTACCGTAGTGTTTGTGTGTGAGTTGACAATGGGTTCCTATTGTGTTGATGTCTCCCCTGTATCTAGTTGCTTTACCGTAGTGTTTGTGTGTGAGTTGACAATGGGTTCCTATTGTGTTGATGTCTCCCCTGTATCTAGTTGCTTTACCGTAGTGTTTGTGTGTGAGTTGACAATGGGTTCCTATTGTGTTGATGTCTCCCCTGTATCTAGTTGCTTTACCGTAGTGTTTGTGTGTGAGTTGACAATGGGTTCCTATTGTGTTGATGTCTCCCCTGTATCTAGTTGCTTTACCGTAGTGTTTGTGTGTGAGTTGACAATGGGTTCCTATTGTGTTGATGTCTCCCCTGTATCTAGTTGCTTTACCGTAGTGTTTGTGTGTGAGTTGACAATGGGTTCCTATTGTGTTGATGTCTCCCCTGTATCTAGTTGCTTTACCGTAGTGTTTGTGTGTGAGTTGACAATGGGTTCCTATTGTGTTGATGTCTCCCCTGTATCTAGTTGCTTTACCGTAGTGTTTGTGTGTGAGTTGACAATGGGTTCCTATTGTGTTGATGTCTCCCCTGTATCTAGTTGCTTTACCGTAGTGTTTGTGTGTGAGTTGACAATGGGTTCCTATTGTGTTGATGTCTCCCCTGTATCTAGTTGCTTTACCGTAGTGTTTGTGTGTGAGTTGACAATGGGTTCCTATTGTGTTGATGTCTCCCCTGTATCTAGTTGCTTTACCGTAGTGTTTGTGTGTGAGTTGACAATGGGTTCCTATTGTGTTGATGTCTCCCCTGTATCTAGTTGCTTTACCGTAGTGTTTGTGTGTGAGTTGACAATGGGTTCCTATTGTGTTGATGTCTCCCCTGTATCTAGTTGCTTTACCGTAGTGTTTGTGTGTGAGTTGACAATGGGTTCCTATTGTGTTGATGTCTCCCCTGTATCTAGTTGCTTTACCGTAGTGTTTGTGTGTGAGTTGACAATGGGTTCCTATTGTGTTGATGTCTCCCCTGTATCTAGTTGCTTTACCGTAGTGTTTGTGTGTGAGTTGACAATGGGTTCCTATTGTGTTGATGTCTCCCCTGTATCTAGTTGCTTTACCGTAGTGTTTGTGTGTGAGTTGACAATGGGTTCCTATTGTGTTGATGTCTCCCCTGTATCTAGTTGCTTTACCGTAGTGTTTGTGTGTGAGTTGACAATGGGTTCCTATTGTGTTGATGTCTCCCCTGTATCTAGTTGCTTTACCGTAGTGTTTGTGTGTGAGTTGACAATGGGTTCCTATTGTGTTGATGTCTCCCCTGTATCTAGTTGCTTTACCGTAGTGTTTGTGTGTGAGTTGACAATGGGTTCCTATTGTGTTGATGTCTCCCCTGTATCTAGTTGCTTTACCGTAGTGTTTGTGTGTGAGTTGACAATGGGTTCCTATTGTGTTGATGTCTCCCCTGTATCTAGTTGCTTTACCGTAGTGTTTGTGTGTGAGTTGACAATGGGTTCCTATTGTGTTGATGTCTCCCCTGTATCTAGTTGCTTTACCGTAGTGTTTGTGTGTGAGTTGACAATGGGTTCCTATTGTGTTGATGTCTCCCCTGTATCTAGTTGCTTTACCGTAGTGTTTGTGTGTGAGTTGACAATGGGTTCCTATTGTGTTGATGTCTCCCCTGTATCTAGTTGCTTTACCGTAGTGTTTGTGTGTGAGTTGACAATGGGTTCCTATTGTGTTGATGTCTCCCCTGTATCTAGTTGCTTTACCGTAGTGTTTGTGTGTGAGTTGACAATGGGTTCCTATTGTGTTGATGTCTCCCCTGTATCTAGTTGCTTTACCGTAGTGTTTGTGTGTGAGTTGACAATGGGTTCCTATTGTGTTGATGTCTCCCCTGTATCTAGTTTATTTACCGTAGTGTTTGTGTGTGAGTTGACAATGTGTTCGTATTGTGCTGATGTCTCCCCTGTATCTTTTATTGTCCCCACCTTTTTGTTAGTGTCTCTTTAGGCTATGTTGCTGTCTTTCATTTTGTTTTTTTTTGTCTCATCAGTTCCTGTAACTGTCTTTACTGTTAGTTTGGTGTCCGGTCGCTCTCTGGTTTTGTCTTTCTGATGTTTCATTGATCCTGAGTTTTTCTGTTGTTGTTTAGCTTTGTTTCAATGTCTCTGTATTTTTTCAGATTCTTCTTATTTTCTGTTGTTACCTTTCTTTTAGTTTAAGTGTCTCCTCAGGGTTTTTTGCCGGTGTCGCCTTAAGTTCCTATTGTTTTCTTTACCATTGGTTTGGTGTCTCATCAGTTTCGATATTTATAATGTTTCAGAGTCTCCTCTGTTGTCGTCTTTCCTTTAGTTCGGGTGACTTAATTACTAGTTTCTCTCAGTGTCTCCTCTAATCTTGTTGCTGTCTTTCCTTTAGTTCGGATGACTTAATTACTTGTTTCTCTCAGTGTCTCCTCTATTCCTGTTGTCGTCTTTCCTTTAGTTCGGGTGACTTAATTACTAGTTTTTCTCAGTGTCTCCTCTAATCCTGTTGCTGTCTTTCCTTTAGTTAGGATGACTTAATTATTTGTTTCTCTCAGTGTCTCCTCTATTCCTGTTGTCGTCTTTCCTTTAGTTCGGGTGACTTAATTACTAGTTTCTCTCAGTGTCTCCTCTATTCCTGTTGCTATCTTTCCATTAGTTTGGGTGACTTAATTACTAGTTTCTCTCAGTGTCTCCTCTGTTCCTGTCGTTGTCTTTCCCTTAGTTTGGGTGACTTTTAGTTCGGGTGACCTTTAGTTCGGGTGACCTTTAGTTCGAGTAACTTACTAGTTTTTGTCAATGTTTCCTCTGTTCCTGTTGCTGTCTTTCCTTTAGTTCGGGTGATTTACTAGTTTTTGTCAATGTCTCCTCTGTTCCTGTTGCTGTCTTTCCTTTAGTTTGGGTGACTTAATTACTAGTTTCTCTCAGTGTCACCTCTATTCCTGTTGTCGTCTTTCCTTTAGTTCGGGTGACTTACTAGTTTTTGTCAATGTCTCCTCTGTTCCTGTTGCTGTCTTTCCTTTAGTTTGGGTGACTTAATTACTAGTTTCTCTCAGTGTCACCTATATTCCTGTTGTCGTCTTTCCTTTAGTTCGGGTGACTTACTAGTTTTTGTCAATGTCTCCTCTGTTCCTGTTGTTGTCTTTCCTTTAGTTCGGGTGACCTATAGTTTGGGTGACCTTTAGTTCGGGTGACCTATGGTTCGAGTAACTTACTAGTTTCTGTCAGTGTCTCCTCTGTTCCTGTTGTTTTCTTTCCTTTAGTTCAGGTGACCTTAAGTTCGAGTGACCTTAAGTTCGAGTGACCTTTAGTTCGGGTGACTATTAGTTCGAGCGACTGCTTAATTTTTGGTCAGTGTCTCCTTAGTTCTTGTATTTTTTTGTTGGTGTCTCATCAGCTTCCGTTTTTGTCTTTTCTATTGTTTCAGTGTCTTATCAGTTCCTATTGTTGTATTCACTTTACTTTTGTATATTCTTAGTTGCAGTTCTTGTCTTTCCTTTTATTTTGATGTTTCATCAGTTCCCGTGGTTTTTTTTCGTTTTGTTTCTGTGTCTCCTCGATTGCGTTTGTCAGTGTTTCTTAGGTTCCTGTTGTTGTCTCTCCTTCTGATTTGTCTTTCGCTTCTTACCAACTCGCACCACCTGCACTATCATTTGCTTTCAGGAAATGGAAAAACTCGTCGATCAAGGAAAGACTAAAAGTATTGGCATATCAAATATGAACGCCGCACAGCTGGAGCGAATTCGTAAGATCGCACGCATAATGCCCGTGACGAACCAGGTATACACATTTTTAACGAATTCAAATATCATATTCACTAAAAATGTCCTGTGATATCAGTCATGACACAATCGTTTATGATTGTCTGTCTTAATTGTGAAGCGAAACTTCAAGGGTTCTATGAAATATTTCAATTTTATTGTTTATTTATATTGCATACATGTATCATATTTCTAAAAATGATATGAAGATTTATGGAAAGTTTATACTTATTGTCCCTGAAATAAAAATAAGTTAATCTTACGAAACTGCTTTTTAATTAGTACAATGATTAAACTATGATTTCAAAAGGCAACAAATAAGGCTAAAAATATATGAAGAACAGTGTATACAGCATATTTATGTTTTTAATGCCGTTGTATAACAACAATATTGATCAAGGATAGAGTCATCAAATCTGAAATCAGCACTGTTAGAGCGCATTGGTAGAGTAACAAGTGTTTGAAAGATCACACTGTTGTTTTGTAAAATATGTGAAAGTTATATAACGTCTTTCGTAACACACGGTCTATGTGTAAGTACAGACTACGTGTCATGTCTTTTTCAATACCATAGTCTATATGTGCTATGACAAACTATATGTCATGCCTTCTGTAATACCATAATGTGTTATAACAGACTGTGTGACATGCTTTCTCCAAATTAACATAATCCATGTGACATACTACGTGTCATGCCTGCTACAAAACCATAATCCATATGTGTTGAAAAAGAGTGTGTACCATGCCTTCAGTTATAACGTTATACATTTGTGTTATAACAGAATGAATGACATGCCTTCTACAATACACTAATCCATATGACTGATTGTCATGTTTTTGTCCCATCAATAACAAAATTTAAAAGTATTATAAAAGACCACATGTCATGACCTCTGGAATAACAAACAACATATATATAACAACGTTTTGTATGCCGTACTTACCTAATCAAAATAACGTATATATTATTATGCGTTATAACAGAATACGTGTCATGCCTTCTACAACATATAATCAATATGCTTTATTACAGACTTCCTGTAATGCCTTATACTACAACATAATCAATATGGATTGTGCAGGCCACGTGTCAGACTTTCTCCAGTAAGATAATATATATGTTTTAACAGTTTGCGTGCCATGCCTTCTACAATAACAATCCATGAGTCTTATAACAAACTGCATTTAACGTCTTCTGTCAAAGTACATAATCAATATGTGTTATAATCGACAACGTGTTAATACTATACAATAGCATTATCCAAATGTGTTATTACTGACTGTGTGTCATACTTTGTACAACCCACTGCCTGTAATGCCGTCTACAATAACATATAATAGACTACGTTGTAGCTTTCTTTAATAATATTATCCACTGTGTTATAACAGACAACGTTTCATGCCCTCTATAATTACATTATTATTTTTTATTATTTTAGGTGGTTGTCATTTCTTCCGACATATCATGATGATTCTGTATCAATACAGGTCGTGTGAATTGTTTTCCTTTGACAATATTATGTCGATAGCAATGACATTGCTTCAGTATAACCATGATAAAGTCGTGCCTAAGCTACATTTCTCGTGAACAAAACTACATTTGTTACGTCCCGAATGCCATGCCCCTAGTTCTTGATTAAATTGTTCTATATCTGGACTACTATACTTATTTCCAAAAGACAATGGCATGTTTATGCTGTAATTCGTACAGAGTAATTAACGTTCCTAATACAAATCATGTTAGTTCCTTGCTAATGAACTCAATCCTGACAGAATGATGCTTGTTTTAGGAACTTCCATTGATCACCAAGTTTTTATGAAATTTATCAAAAACAAGTTTGACTAAATTGCAAAAAATAAATTTAAAAAAATACAGCACGATTTTGGAACTGTTGTTGTTCTTATATCAACCACTCTATGGCACTGTCTAACCATCTCCTTACCATTCATTTCAGTTTTATTCGTAAAAATGGAAACATGATATGCAAAGGTATTTGAGCTTAATGATGTATGGAATACATAATTTTGATTATCTACGAGTAGAAAGATTTATAAAACATTTCTGAGCAGAATTTAATTGGCACCCATCGTAAATATGAACGCCAACAGGAACGCGACAAATTCTATAAAGCGAGCTATGACTTTGACTACCAACTGAATGCAGCTTTATATATCCGCAATCGTTGTGTCATGAATCAAGAGATAGTCTGGAAATCATTTAAACGCTGCATCATTGAAAGGGAAAATAAAAATTACAGAAAGCGAATAGGTACTTCGCATGCAATTAATTTGGTCGATTTAAGTCGTATATATTTTCATACATGTATCTGCTTTATCAATTTATGTTTTGCTTCTATACTCATTCAGGTTGAGTGCCATGCCTACTTTCCTCAGACAGAACTTGAGAAGTACTTGAAAAAGTATAACATGCCTATCATGGCTTATGGACCAATCGGATCGCCAGGAAGAGAAGCTTTTAAAGGGTTTGTTTGGTTTTAGTCTGTTTACTGACCTTGTAACAGCGCAGGTTATTTAAGGACCTGCTTCCGTGTGTGTTGTGTATGCGTGCATGTGTGTGTGTGTGTGCTGGAAACAGCAGGTGTATTCTTTTCTAGATCCCCGACCTGGAGGGGGAGGCTAGTTTTTATTTTCAGGAACTTGTATGTAATGAATTTGCATTATCTCTTAAATTAATCAATTGATGACAACGGCAACAAAACTAATTTAAATCGTACAAATAGCATAGTTCCTTGTCCATCGAAACATAACATGATGGGCTGGACACGTAAACAAGAACCTTCCAAACAGGCGTGTAATTTCACGAGGAATATATATGGTGTCGCCTTCCTTTTTCTCGAGATGACATTGGTCTTCGACTTCATTCTTGTGTGGTGAGGCTGTTTTGCATCTGTTTTGTTCATTTATAATATCATATTTTTTTCCAAATGCTATTTTCTTTTTCTTTTACGTTTGAGTGGCATTACGCAAGCAGTTTCGTTCACCTGTGTACTCCAACCTATCATTAATGACTTTTTCACTATTTAATGAAGAAATCAATCTTGCAAATATATTATTTCCTTTTATTGCAGTATCGATATCGGTAACGATCCAGCTGTTCCTGTGTTGTTGCAAGATCCTGTTATTGCCAAACTTGCCACAAAATATAATAAAACTCCTGCTCAGGTAGATATATGTTGTGCTATTTAAAAATCATCATTTGTTTTAACAAGACTTATTTTATACAAATGAAAATTATTAATATTTTTACTCTTAATCATTTGCATGCAACTTACGTTGATTTTGGACTGTGAAGTTCATATTCAATACTACATACTTTACAGTTAAACCTGCCCAAGAGGCTAGTCCTATTAAAAGCCCATTTGTGGTAAGAAATTTCTACTTCCGCATTGAATTCATTCCAGTGTTAATTGAACCTTTATCAGGTGACCGCCTGTTATAAAAGAATATTTTACATATTGACTTCTTATAGGTGGTCTCCGTGTTTGGCTGTATTGGTATTTCGTATGACATTGGCTACTGAATGGTACTATACAAACCCAATTCATGATGTGATTTATTATTGTTTCAGATCCTTTTACGGAACTTACTTCAGAGGAACATCATAGTCATTCCTAAGAGTGTAACACCAAGCAGAATTCAAGAAAACGGAAACGTATGTCGACCTTAACTTTCAATAAATTAACAGATTTTAATAATCACCTTCATTGCTTAAATTTATTTTGATGATCTACTGTTATATAAAGCATGACATTGTATTTGCTGATACTGCTTCAAATAATCTCAAAATGTTGCCGGCAAAGAAAACAACAGGTTTGGGGAGTGGGTTTGTATGTTAGTGATGTGGTGTTTTATCAGTTCGTTGTTTGTCTGACCGCAACGAACAAGTAAACTGAAGTTTGCAAGTCACTAAAGGTGAGATAACAATTTGTGTTATCCGCCGATCAGCTGAACAGTGCGAGTTGTCATGTCAACACGTGTACAGTAAAGTACGGGAAAGTGAGGGTGATATTATTGTATACTAAATGAAGGCTCATAATTTAAACAAATGGGGTGCACAGGCCCAACAATTCTCTGCTTTCTTTGTTGAAATTGTTACAACTCGCCTTCCAGTGAAAAACATGATCACTTTTACACCAATATTAAACAACAAATATTTAAGAAATTGAATACAGCGCTTGAATTACAGATTTAAAAAAAAAGTTTCTCAAGAGTTTACCGTCATCACAACAGGTACAAAAAGAAATGAAAAATGAAATAGTGGTCCATAATATCTCAATATGGACGGCAGATGTAATTGTGGTCCATAACATCTCAATATGGACGGCAGATGTAATTGTGGTCCATAACATCTCAATATGGACGGCAGATGTAATTGTGGTCCATAACATCTCAATATGGACGGCAGATGTAATTGTGGTCCATAATATCTCAATATGGACGGCAGATGTTATTGTGGTCCATAACATCTCAATATGGACGGCCGATGTTATTGTGGTCCATAACATCTCAATATGGACGGCCGATGTAATAGTGGTCCATAACATCTCAATATGGACGGCGGATGTAATTGTGGTCCATAACATCTCAATATGGACGGCAGATGTAATAGTGGTCCATAACATCTCAATATGGACGGCAGATGTAATTGTAGTCCATAACATCTCAATATGGACGGCCGATGTAATAGTGGTCCATAACATCTCAATATGGACGGCAGATGTAATTGTGGTCCATAATATCTCAATATGGACGGCAGATGTAATAGTGGTCCATAACATTTCAATATGGACGGCCGATGTAATTGTGGTCCATAATATCTCAATATGGACGGCCGATGTAATGGTGGTCCATAATATCTCAATATGGACGGCCGATGTAATTGTGGTCCATAATATCTCAATATGGACGGCAGATGTAATAGTGGTCCATTATATCTCAATATGGACAGCAGATGAAATAGTGGTCCATTATATCTCAATATGGACGGCAGATGTAATAGTGGTCCATTATATCTCAATATGGACGGCAGATGTAATAGTGGTCCATTATATCTCAATATGGACGGCAAATCGACTTTGGTTACTTAAATATTCCTATGCAGAGGACATCTTGATGAGTGATGTTAACTTTGCAGAAACAGTAGTTTCATATGTGCGCCCGCTGATAAGGTCACACTTACATATATGTACTTCATATTTTGTTAATGTTGATGCTTCAAGGTGTTCGACTTCCAATTGACACCCGAGGATATGGACACAATTGCAGGAATTGATAAAGGACTTCGATTGTTCAAAGCCGAAATGTAAGTAAATCATATAAGTATGTGTCATGTATTTATTAATACACAAAAAAACCCAATCATGATATCGATTATGACATCAAACGTTCAGGATGTTGGACCATTATATTAAGTTTCTTTAAAGTCTCGTTTTAATGAAGAAGCAAGGATATCCTAGCGGTTCTAGTTCTCACGTTTAGTCCTTCTGACCAACGTGGATAGCCTTAATAACATTAAACAATATATTACGCACGCCTCATGCCTCGTTTTGACCGCCGTGGCCAGGACGCACAAGGAGATTGCGTTTTGATCAACCCTTAATAGGCTCATTCATTTCTCTTTTTTCTTTCTTTCAGAATGGCTCATTTGGATGACTACCCATTCAACAGTCTTGTGTAACAAGATTGGTTTGACTTCATTCGAATTAAGCAAAGACAGATGATTGTCGGATTGACAATACCATCCTGTAGTCTAGATAATTTTAAAGTCATGTGTTGTGAAGTATTATATTTTGAAATAAATCCATAAGTTCTCAACATTTGATCAAAATATAAATCTGGACAGAAAGGGAAGATGGATATATGTTAAAAGATACTAGCAGCTGTGGATAAGTTGAGATTACGTTAAACAGATGACCAATAACATGAACAAAAATTATGGGACTAATAACTCTAATGAGGGTTTTGTACATCTCTGTTTATTATTCATATAGTTGCATATAGTTGTACGTAGCTGCAACATGATACATTGTTACAATTTGGAAACTTTATTATATCATTATAATGACAATCATATAAAATATACATAAAACAATTTCTTCCTCATGTTGATTCATTTCAAACCTGTGTGCGTGAATATTGTTTCGCTAATAAAAATAGTAAATGAAAAAAATGTTTGTTTAATGCGGCTGATTTGACAACACTTCTAACAATCACGTTGTGACAGCTACACGTCTTAAGTATACTGGCGTACACTTTACATGTTGGAATTCTGTGTAATGTAGTCATTGCATCGCCAAAACAGATTTGGGGATATTTTTTAATTTAAAAATATGTTACTGTTAATACAGATGAACTGCAGATGATACAGATAAGGAAAACAGCATTAACAAAATGGTAAGACATCTGGCTAAGCTTACATCAGTCTTTTCCCATTTAATATCTTATATCTACTTATATTAAGTTGTTAGATTTAAATGTTAAACAGGAGACAGTAGGACAGCAAAGAGAAAAAGCAAGATGGTTTGTACAATAAAAGAACTTATAATCTCTCACTCTCATACTCCATACATACTTGCCATGCAGTTAGAGAAACAAACCACCAAAGAGACAAACTGTGGCTAGCAAATAGTAAATAAAATAAATTGAAATACTAATAAGTATTGCTGGAATCAACCAAAGGGAGATAATCAAGAAAAAACTGCTTAACTTAGTATTGTACTTTATATTTGGTAGATTTACAACTTAATATACTATTTATAATATGGAAACTAGACTTGTTTGAAGTAGGATCTTGTATGGTTGATCCTTTTGCTATTTGTTTCATTGAAAATACCTATGACATCGTGTAATAGATATGAAGATTTGAATATCCGAACAGATTGTACACAATAAATATTATCAAGAGGACATTGAAAACAAAGTGTATTACGTGTTCTATATTGGCACCTCAGGTTCATGGATAGTCATCAACCGATCAGACCGAATATATTTTTTTGTGTAAAATATTAAACAGAATTGTTTGTAACGGGCAAGTTTTATTATTAAATGAGGAAAATATGGATGGATAGTAGTATGCTATAGAGTAAAATTTACTGTTATAGTTCTATTTTGCTTGAAGAGGATTTTTCATTGGATAGCCCGTGCAGTGATTGAGTACATTCTCCATTAAGTATATTACCAGGTGCATTAGTGTCATGGTCGTTTTCTGCAATAATATATAAAAAAAAAAACTTGCAAAATCTTTGATATTTGAAATTACAATATTTGTAATCTCATTTGGAAAGAAGATTCGTGAGGAACATTGATAAAGGAAATAAAGATAAAAAACAAAACAGAAAAGTCCAAAACAGATACATTGTATTTCAATAATTATATACATTATAACAATATGATTCAAGAGTAAGATTAGAAAGGTCCAAGAACCGATTCTTGAGGAAGAACTGCAGTTATTGATTTGATATAATATTGATAACATTTAATGACGACAGATATTTTTTTCTGACAAATTGCCTTTAAACTATTTATTTTTACACCATTTGTTTAGTTTAAATAAGTGACTTGCATTGCCATACCAAGTCCAATATCTTACTTATATATCAGAAAACAAAGTTCACATCTTTACATTTATCTACATCCGAAGGAAATGTGCTACATACATCTAAAACGTAATTTTCAGTTGAATCTCTATGTTGAAATCCTGGCTGATTTTCACTAAGCATATCATGTTTCATAATAGTATTACATGTATACTTAAAAAGAAGCGTTTTCCCGATATTTTGATAAAAAAAAACAGATGTTAAAGCAATATATCTGTAGTTATTAAAGTCACTCATTTTTCTTTACCTTGTTAGACCTGGAGTTTCACCATTAGTTGGTATGCTATTATACATGATTGACGAGGTTATCTTTGTGAGGTTGAAATAAGATGCAAAACTTTACTAGTTGAACTAACGAAATGTAGAAGATAATGTCAAAAAGGATACTTTTTTATGAAGGTCGGCACTCTCCCTGGTTTTACCATATTTTTCTCGATATTCAATTGTGGGGGCCAACATATCCATATCGTGTTATATGAACATTTTTTTGTCAAATTTGATACTTACTGTATACACGTAAAATTCATGGGGGAAACGACGATGTGTGCAAAAAGATTTCTGCACATCCAGGAACGATTTAAAGATGAACGAATAATCAATTTAAAATAGCTCATCAGAATATGTGTTATATATTGCAATTCAGAAAGACTATACAATACGTACGTATAAGTAATGTATCTTTTAATACGGAATGGAAATTGTCTCCCCTTACATATCCATTGATTGATACACAAAGGAATCGACATACAATTAAAAAACCAAATCAGCCCATTATTACTGATTTACATCTCTCATACGCTCTCTTTCGAATTGTAATATAATTTTAGCAGTATATTTATCAATTATATCTCTCATATCAACATGAATGGGTGTGACCATCTCGCGCAGAACTGTGTAATTTCCAATACTGATCTTCTCCATGTTACTAAGTTCATCAATTACCATGAATATATTCTCCAATCCAGCTCTGCAAGCCTCGTCTAGATAGCCTGATAATAAATTATCGAAGTCGGCCCATTTCGATTGTAGGCGTGGGTGAAGGTGTTTATTCAACTCTACTGCCATTTCATTTTCCAATTTTTTCATCTTTTCCGAGGCTTCCATGTCATTTACTTTCTGTACAAAAAGAACAACCGTAACTTACTGAAAGTGTTTCTTTTCAGAAAGTTATTATATGTATGTCTTTGAAAATAAAGTATACAAAATTGCAAGTTAAATATCACCAAAGAAATCAACATATTGATGAATATTTATTGCTCAAAAAATATCGATGTATTAAGATTGAAAATAGTTAACAAGAATAACAAGTCTAAATGACGACCTCTTCTCTGCTATTAAATGAAAACATTTTGAAAAAAGACAGGTTTTATCATCATCTTCTCACCGTATCCTTGGTGTCGGGTTCTCCATTCCCTGCCTGCATTCTGGCAGTGTAATCGTCAATGATATCACCCATTTTTACATGAATAGGATTCACCATATCCCGTAAGACTTTATAATCTCCAATCCTAATATCCTCCTTGTTCTTCAAAGCATCGAACGCCTGATGTATATTTGTTAAATTTGCTCTACAGACCGGGCTTAAATAAGTCTTTAGTCTACAGTCAAAGTCAGCCCACCTTTCTTTTAATCCTGGACTAAGATGTTTACTAAGCTCCACGACCATATCATTCTCCAATGACTGCATCCATTCTGGAGGATCCATATCACTTGTCCGTTACTGTCAATCTGTATTTTAAAAAAAAATGATTAGACGAATATCACAACATCAGGATCATGGAGAAGTTTTAAACCAAGTTAGAACATAATGTGTCGATGACATTTGATGGAAAGGCCGGTTTATTATGAGATGCCTTATAAAGAAAAAGAAAAAGGAAATAAAACATATCCCATTTAAAATAGGACTTGCGTATAAAAATAGCTCTGATCTAATTCATTGAAGATGATAACATCTATTTTATTAGTCTGACGCCAGAAACAGTAAAGTCATTGCATTGTGTCTTACTTTGATTATTTATGGCACCACTTATTTACGAGTGGCCTAAAATATATCAAACTTTGAAGGCAATATGCCCTTCTTTGAGACAGAAACAGTAACAGTTACTTTTTACAACATATATACAAGAGATAAGATAGTCACTATAAAACAATACTACACATACAATACAAAAGACAGTTTTCATTTATAGAATATCCTAATGTTATCGCATATCAATTCGGATATCTTAAAACCGAAGGCTTCTGGTAGAGAATTATCTTATTTTAAAGACTTCAAAAATAGAGAGAAAAAAACATATAAACAAAGGAAGCGAAAAAATGTATTACCGTAGTTGTTCGTGCAAGCACAAATATATATTAATATACACAAATAGTAATGGGTACCGGGAGAAGATGTGGCCGAAGTGAATTTGCTTTAAATCACTTCACCACAAAATATACAACTTGTCCTGGTAGCATAAAACACAGAAGAATGGTTCCATCGAACACAGAATACACAAAATTGGTCATCCATTGTATAGTAAACAGACGTGAGGTTACAACAGTCATACATTGTATAGCACACAGAAGTGAAGTTACACCTGTCATACTTTGTATTGCACACAGAAGTGAGGATACACCAGTCATACATTGTATAGTAAACAGAAGTGATGTTACATCAGTCATACATTGTATAGTATACAGAAATGAGGTTACAACAGTCATACATTGTATAGTATACAGAAGTGAGGTTACACCAGTCATACATTGTACAGTATACAGAAGTGAGGTTACACCAGTCATACATTGTATAGTAAACAGAAGTGATGTTACATCAGTCATACATTGTATAGTATACAGAAATGAGGTTACAACAGTCATACATTGTATAGTATACAGAAGTGAGGTTACAACGGTCATTCATTGTATAGTAAACAGAAGTGAGGTTACAACAGACATACATTGTATAGTAAACAGAGGTGAGGTTACAACAGTCAAACATTGTATAGTAAACAGAAGTGAGGTTACAACAGTTATACATTGTATAGTAAACAGAAGTGAGGTTACACCTGTCATACATTGTATAGTAAACAGAAGTGAGGGTACAACAGTCATACATTGTATAGTAAACAGAAGTGAGGGTACAACAGTCATACATTGTATAGTAAACAGAGGTGAGGTTACAACAGTCAAACATTGTATAGTAAACAGAAGTGAGGTTACAACAGACATACATTGTATAGTAAACAGAGGTGAGGTTACAACAGTCAAACATTGTATAGTAAACAGAAGTGAGGTTACACCAGTCATACATTGTACAGTATACAGAAGTGAGGTTACACCAGTCATACATTGTACAGTATACAGAAGTGAGGTTACACCAGTCATACATTGTACAGTATACAGAAGTGAGGTTACACCAGTCATACATTGTACAGTATACAGAAGTGAGGTTACAACAGTCATACATTGATTGTATAGTATACAGAAGTGAGGTTACAACGGTCATTCATTGTATAGTAAACAGAAGTGAGGTTACAACAGTTATACATTGTATAGTAAACAGAAGTGAGGTTACAACAGTCCTACATTGTATAGTAAACAGAAGTGAGGTTACAACAGTTATACATTGTATAGTAAACAGAAGTGAGGTTACACCAGTCATACATTGTACAGTATACAGAAGTGAGGTTACACCAGTCATACATTGTACAGTATACAGAAGTGAGGTTACACCAGTCATACATTGTATAGTAAACGGAAGTGAGGTTACAACAGTCATACATTGTATAGTAAACAGAGGTGAGGTTACAACAGTCATACATTGTATAGTATACAGAAGTGATGTTACAACAGTCATACATTGTATAGTAAACAGAGGTGAGGTTACAACAGTCATACATTGTATAGTAAACAGAGGTGAGGTTACAACAGTCATACATTGTATAGTATACAGAAGTGATGTTACAACAGTCATACATTGTATAGTAAACAGAGGTGAGGTTACAACAGTCATACATTGTATAGTATACAGAAGGGATCTTACACCAGTCATATATTGTATAGCACACAGAAGTGAAGTTACAGTGAGGTTACAACAGTCATACATTGTATAGTAAACGGAAGTGAGGTTACAACAGTCATACATTGTATAGTAAACGGAAGTGAGGTTACAACAGTCATACATTGTATAGTATACAGAAGGGATCTTACACCAGTCATATATTGTATAGCACACAGAAGTGAAGTTACAGTGAGGTTACAACAGTCATACATTGTATAGTAAACAGAAGTGAGATTACAACAGTCATACATTGTATAGTAAACAGAGGTGAGGTTACAACAGTCAAACATTGTATAGTAAACAGAAGTGAGGTTACACCTGTCATACATTGTATAGTGAACAGAAGTGAGGTTACAACAGTCATACATTGTATAGTAAACAGAGGTGAGGTTACAACAGTCAAACATTGTATAGTAAACAGAAGTGAGGTTACAACAGTCATACATTGTACAGTATACAGAAGTGAGGTTACAACAATCATACATTGTATAGCACACAGAAGGGATCTTACACCAGTCATATATTGTATAGCACACAGAAGTGAAGTTACACCTGTCATACATTGTATAGCACACAGAAGTGAGGTTATACCAGTATACAGAAGTGAGGTTACAACAATCATACATTGTATAGCACACAGAAGGGATCTTACACCCATACATTGTATAGTAAACAGAAGTGAGGTTACAACAGTCATACATTGTATAGTATACAGAAGGGATCTTACACCAGTCATATATTGTATAGCACACAGAAGTGAAGTTACACCTGTCATACTTTGTATTGCACACGGAAGTGAGGTTCCACCAGTGATACATTGTATAGTAAACGGGAGTGAGGTTACAACAGTCACACTTTGTATAGTATACAGAAGTAAGGTTACAACAGTCATACATTGTACAGTAAACAGAAGTGAGGTTACACCAGTGATACATTGTATAGTATACAGAATACATTGTATAGTATACAGAATTGAGGTTACAACAGTCATAAATTGTATAGTATACAGAATTGAGGTTAAATCAGTAATACATTGTACAGTATACAGAAGTGAGGATACACCAGTCATACATTGTGCAGTATACAGAAGTGAGGTCACACCAGTCATACATTGTATAGTAAACAGAAGTGAGGTTACAACAGTCATACATTGTATAGTATACAGAATTGAGGTTACATCAGTCATACATTGTACAGTATACAGAAGTGAGGTTACACCAGTCATACATTGTACAGTATACAGAAGTGAGGTTACAACAATCATACATTGTATAGCACACAGAAGTGAGGTTACAACAGTCATACATTGTATAGTAAACAGAATTGAGGTTACAACAGTCATACATTGTATAGTGTACAGAAGTGAGGTTAAACCAGTCATACATTGAATAGCATACAGAGGAGAGACACACCAGTCATACATTGCATACCATTCAGAAGTGAGCTTACAACAGTCATACATTTTATAGCACACAGAAGGGATTTTACACCAGTCATACATTGCATAGCATACAGAAGTGAGACACACCAGTCATACATTGAATAGTATACAGAAGTTAGGTTACAACAGTCATACCTTGTATCGTATACAGAAGTGAGATACACCAGTCATACAGAATTGAGGTTACATCAGTCATCCATTGTATAGTAAACAGAAGAGAGGTTACAACAGTCATCATACATTGTATAGTATACAGCAGTGAGGTTACAACAGTCATCCATTGTATAGTAAACAGAATTGAGGTTACATCACTCATACATTGTATAGAATACAGAAGTGAGGTTACTCCAGTTATACATTGTACAGCATACATAATTGAGGTTACATCAGTCATTCATTGTATAGCACACAGAAAGTCATACATTGTATTAAACAGAAATGAGGTTACAACAGTTATACATTGTACAGCATACAGAATTGAGGTTACAACAGTCATACATTGTATAGTATACAGAAGTGAGGTTACACCAGTTATACATTGTACAGCATACAGAATTGAGGTTACATCAGTCATACATTGTATAGCACACAGAAGGGATCTTACACCAGTCATACATTGTATAGCATACAGAAGTGAGACACACCAGTCATACATTGTATAGCATACAGAGGTGAGACACACCAGTCATACATTGTATAGCACACAGAAGTGAGGTTATACCAGTCATACATTGTACAGCATACAGAAGTGAGGTTACACCAGTCATACATTGTATAGTATACAGAAGTGAGGTTACACCAGTCATACATTGTACAGTATACAGAATTGAGATACACCAGTCATACATTGTAAAGTATCCAGAAGTGAGTTTACACCAGTCATACATTGTATAGAAAACAGAAGTAAGCTTACACCAGTCATACATTGTATATCACACAGAAGTGATCTTACACAAGTGATACATTGTATAGTATACAGAAATGAAATACACCAGTCATACATTGCATAGCATACAGAAGTGAGGTTATACCAGTAATACATTGTATAGTATACAGAAGTGAGATACACCAGTCATGCAATGTATAGTAAACAGAAGTGAGGTTACACCAGTTATACATTGTACAGGAGTGAGCTTACACTAGTCATACATTGGAAAGTATACAGAAATGAGGTTACGACAGCCATACATTGTATATCACAAAGAAGTGAGCTTAACCGGTCATACATTGCATACCATACAGAAGTGGGCTTATACCAATTATACATTGTATAGTATGCAGAAGTGAGCTTACACCAGTCATACATTTTATATCACACAGAAGTGAGGTTACATCAGTCATGCATTGTAAAGCATACAGAAGTGATGTTACACCTGTCATACATTGTACAGCATACAGATGTAAGCCTACACCAGTCATACATTGTATATCACACAGAAGTGAGCGTACATCATTCATACATTGTATAGCATACAGATGTGAGCCTACACCAGTCATACATTGAAGAGCATACAGAAGTGACGTTACACCTGTCATACATTGTATAGCACACAGAAGTGAGCTTACACCAGTCATATATTGTATATCATACAGAAGTGAGCGTACACCAGTCATACATTGTACAGCATACAGAAGTGACGTTACACCAGTAATACATTGTATATCACACATAACTGAGCTTACACCAGTCATACATTGTATATCACACAAAAGTGAACTTACAACAGTCATACATTGTAGATCACACAGACGTGAGGTTACACCAGTCATGCATTGTATTGCACACAGAAGTGAGGTTACACCAGTCATACATTGTACAGCATACAGAATTGAGGTTACATCAGTCATACATTGTATAGCACACAGAAGTGATCTTACACCAGTCATACATTGTATAGCATACAGAAGTGAGCTTACACCAGTCATACATTGTATAGCATACAGAGGTGAGACACACCGGTCATACATTGTATAGCACACAGAAGTGAGGTTATACCAGTCATACATTGTATAGTATACAGAAGTGAGCTTACACCAGTCATACATTGTATAGTATACAGAAGTGAGCTTACACCAGTCATACATTGTACAGTATACAGAATTGAGATACACCAGTCATACATTGTATAGTACACAGAAGTTAGGCTACACCTGTCATACATTGAACAGCATACAGAATTGAAATACACCAGTCATACATTGCACAGCATACAGAATTGAGGTTACACCATTCAAACATTGTAAAGTATCCAGAAGTGAGTTTACACCCGTCATACATTGTATAGAATACAGAAGTAAGCTTACACCAGTCATACATTGTATATCACACAGAAGTGATCTTACACCAGTCATACATTGTATAGTATACAGAAATGAAATACACCAGTCATACATTGCATAGCATACAGAAGTGAGGTTACACCAGTCATACATTGTAGAGTATACAGAAGTGAGCTTACACCAGTCATTCATTGTACAGCATACAGAAGTGAGTTTACACCAGTCATACATTGTATAGCATACAGAAGTGAGCTTACACCGGTAATACATTGTATAGTATACAGAAGTGATATACACCAGTCATACATTGTACATCACACAGAAGTGAGGTTGCACCAGTCATACATTGTATAGTATACAGAAGTGAGCTTACACCGGTAATACATTGTATAGCATACAGAAGTGAGCTCACACCAGTCATACATTGCATACCATACAGAAGTGAGCTTACACCAGTTATACATTGTATAGCATACAGGAGTGAGCTTACACTAGTCATACATTGTACAGTATACAGAAATGAGGTTACGACAGCCATACATTGTATATCACAAAGAAGTGAGCTTACACCAGTTATACATTGCATACCATACAGAAGTGAGCTTACACCAGTCATACATTGTACAGTATACAGAAGTGAGCTTATACCAGTTATACATTGTATAGCATACAGAAGTGAGGTTATACCAGTTATACATTGTATAGCATACAGAAGTGAGGTTATACCAGTTATACATTGTATAGCATACAGAAGTGAGGTTATACCAGTTATACATTGTATAGCATACAGAAGTGAGGTTATACCAGTTATACATTGTATAGCATACAGAAGTGAGGTTATACCAGTTATACATTGTATAGCATACAGAAGTGAGGTTATACCAGTTATACATTGTATAGCATACAGAAGTGAGGTTATACCAGTTATACATTGTATAGCATACAGAAGTGAGGTTATACCAGTTATACATTGTATAGCATACAGAAGTGAGGTTATACCAGTTATACATTGTATAGCATACAGAAGTGAGGTTATACCAGTTATACATTGTATAGCACACAGAAGTGAGCGTACACCAGTCATACATTGTACAGCATACAGAAGTGAGCGTACACCAGTCGTACATATGTATACAGCAACATACCCGAATGTATGTAATATTCTTATCTTTAATGTGTTTGCAGATCCTTAATTCACTGGACAGAATCTTAAATTTTGTCGAAGTTTAGCTTGCTATCGCATTTGTGGTCTGACTTTGTATTGTTAACGTATAGTGTGATGCCTGATTGAAGGTTCATGCAATTTTGTTGGTTTTGTTTTGTTTTTGATTGAAAATTTCCTTATTGCTGATTGGTAATCTAGTAATTTACTTAAATTTAAGTTGAAGGAGGAGGGCCTGTCTGTGAGAGAATGGACTGCACGAGGCCAGTAGGGCCGAGATCTGTTTGTTCAACCACATGATGGATAGTATGAGGCTTTTCACCAACTGGAAACATAGAACCCCTTTGTATTAATAACTGACACAATTTTATTGAACAATGTACCGGTAATGAGGTTAACAATAACAAAGCGTCTGTGTGTTTGCAGCATAATCTATGGTTATTCATACATTAATGAATAGTGTTAACTTGTGGACAGGTACAAGATAAATGACTATACAATGTACTGGAAAATGATCATGATTGTCATATCAATATACAAATGTACCAATATGATGAACCCTTGGTATTTTTCAGTCAGCTTAACTTGGTCATTTTTTAAGCGCAAAACATGTAACTCTCAAGCTTTGACAATAGAGCTCTCAACAGGATTTTGGAAAACAGTTTGACATGCTTATTAATGTATTACACACCATACATAGAAAACACGTAAACCAATACGGGTGCATGTGGCCATTTAATAATACCGATTCCAGAAAATAACGACTATATTCGAGACAATAACCTCAATGCCAATTACAAAGTATGACATCACACCTATGATTAAATTAGAAGGAAATTGCTAAAAATAAAACATAGGCATATTCACAGCACGTGTTACAACATATGTCGTCTGCTAGACTAGACTGATCGGGTTTTAACCTCTGGCCTGAAGACATATATTTGGATATAAACATGAGACAAGGAAGTAATTCCACCTATCTAGACAATATGAGGTTCTCAGTCAGTAATTTGATGACGCAGAACGGTATTTCCGTTTATGTGTATGTATTTTCAATATTTTAAAATGTTTACTTAGGTGTATTTTATTTAGCTCGCCTGTATTTTATTCACCCATGTAGGCCTATGTTTATTTGCATTCTATGTTTTAGTTTTTTTAGTATACCTATGTTTGTCGCAGAAATAGCTCAACCGAGCTTATATTTGTATGTTTAGGGTATGCGAAGTTAAATAAATACTCTTGTATCTTGTTTAAAATACATATGAATGTTTTTGAAATAGATTTGATCAATCATTAAAATACCCATCCTTGAATAAGTGTCTTTTACGATCCATAGAACACATCAACGAAATGTCAACATTATAGTTTCGGTTTTTTTTATAGAAAATAACGAATCTGAAAACGCTCAGGATATAGAGTATGTATCAAATAAGTAACAAAATAAATGTATTAAAACTTATAAAAAAAATCTAGCTCATTTATTACTCAACAGATGTAAGGAAAGGCTAAATGTCAATCTAAGTGTTTAAGTCTTAGTTTTGATTCCCACAGTCCACGTCCACCATGATGTGTAGCCAATATGCTTCTTCATAGCAAGTAAAAGTGAAATTAAATAACGGTGGTCATTTTGTATCATTCAGATTAATCGTAAATGAGATTGACATGTTATAGGGCCGATGAATCATCAAAATATCAGTCTAGATGCTTCATTTTGGTCGCTATTAGGCAGGGACGGATACAGGGATTTATTTCAGGTGTTGCCCAAACTAAATTAAAAATGAAAAATTATTAAGCCACAATCTGTCGCTCTTAGTAATAGCGCTCTGAACATGTCCTAGGTTATATCCTGCACTACCATTAAATAAAGATTGACATCAGGGTATATACCGCTGGTTATAATTGAGAAATGCTTTGATATGGTCGTTTATTTATGCTATCATACAGCGGACATATTTTTTTCATTCGCTGTTGCCATTTGGAAGTAGTGGGGAGGCGCGGGTACACTGAGCATCTATCTATTAATATGAGGTATGGGTCAAAGAAGTAATATAGACGGTAAAATCCCATATAACACTGGATCCTAATGGAGGTATGTCCGTAGGATACGAATTACTTAAAATATTATATGGGGCTTTGCCCTATTAATATGAGGTACACATACTTACATTGTACCTCAATAACTGTCAAAATGTTATATGGGGCTTTGCCCTATTAATATGAGTTACACATACTTACATTGTACCTCAATAACTGTCAAAATGTTAACTGTGTGCTTTAGTGGTGGATTCTATGATACTGAAAACAACATATTGTAATCACAATAAATCAGTATTGAAACCACAATTAGAAATACAAGTAACAATGAAATAACTAGGCTCTACCTAGATCTATCAGCCTGTATACAACTTTTAACTTTCAACTTTAGTATTCTCTTTACAAAAGTATAAATGTAAAGAGAAAAACACATGACGACAGTAAATGAAATCAAAAAAATTTGAAATCCGATGTTTAATGCGGGTCTTTAAATATCATTTATCAGCAGGTTGAAAGTTAAGGTTGACTAAACCATCTGTTAGGGATCTTTTTGAACCTTCATAAACGGAAATGATTTACAACTACAACTGTAGTACATTTTGTATGTATACTATCACGGACTTAGATAGCTAATCTAATTCCTTGATATTATATATAAATATATGAATTTCTAACTTTAGCAACCCATGACATCGTCTATAAATAGAAGTGGAAACAAGACCGAACTGCAACACATACATGTAGTAAAGAACCAACGACGTGCTCTATAAATAGATGTTTAACTTCACAATTTTAAGGGAACACTATACACATTTGTAAACTGAATCTATACATTTGTTTCAAAGCAGCGGGACGTATGTAAACAATAGGTCACACGTCGTAGGTCACTACATTGCCTTATTTCTAAACAAGATTAGATTATTCTAACTTGTCATTTGATACGATCACATTTAGCTATGATCGTCTATTTATGTTACACTAGTATCTGTACGCAGGGTACAACTGTCCTTAAATGTACCCAATAACAGACACGGAGAGAGATATTACCAATAAATAGATTCTGAACTTCACACTGTCTCACTCACATATTCATCAATATCTCTTACCTTAAGTCTGTCTTCTGGTCAGTGACAACAGTGTGCAACATCGGCGTGCTGTACAAACGGAAACAATGACCGTGATGTGGTAATTTTCAGATATCTTCAAAATCGGTTGACCTGCATAGCTCTTCCGCGAATACGGTTAAAAATAGATTTAACTTGAAGAGTAGAATTAGAATGCACTCATGTATTGGTATACCTAACCTCCTATCAGGACACAGCTGTCATGCTAATTAAACAGATGTAATGGGTTCATTTGTGTTTCTACATGTTCATCGTGCTGTGAACAACGTCAGTAACTTATGGCAATGGACATGTCATTGCCAAAAATGAAACAAACCACTGTTCGAAATGGATAATGACATAATGATAAAATTTGTGTATGTATAACAATGATACAATATACAGTTGTAAGTTACATTTTATTAGTAAAACAGGTTCTACCATTTTTGATTATGATTACTGAATAATTTGATAATGCTTTTGCAATTTACACAGCTCCATAATCGTTACATATATATATACCATTTTGTATATATGTGTGTATGTGTGTGTCGGGGGGGGGGGGGGGGGGGGGGGNCTGTGTGTCTGTGTGTGTGTGTTTTATCATATAAAAGTATTTTAAAAAATGTAGTTATTTAATTAAAAAGTAGTTTCTATAAAACTGATTTTGAAAATTTGAAAATAATACTAATTTGGATTTTGGCATGTCTATGGAATCCAAATACAGTATAGCAAATTTAATTACCTTTCTTATTAATCTAGTAAGTGTTAAAATCTGTATGTCATATTACGGAGGAGAGGGTTATCAAATTTTGGCCTAATCGTGTCGATTGATCCCATATAAAAGAAAATGGTATGTATATATAAGTATTAAAAGTGCCTATGGAACTAGAATTATACATAGTGATTCGAAGTAATTACGAATTTATGTAAGCGTATGTTAGCAACATATATAACCTATTACATAAAACCCGCACTATTCTTAATAGACATCAAAAACGCGTTATCGAGTTTTTAAATAGATAATTGGAACCAAAGAAAGTTTTCTTATTTATTTTCCGACATTCACAATAAGTTATCTCTTTCCTGATGTCTAACGGTTTTCGTTGATGCCTAACGTATAATTTTCGAATGTTTAGTGGGATCGCCAAAATTTTGAACAGTATACTAGTCTTTCGTTGTATATTATTTGATGTAGTTGGACTCAACATTTTCCGTCTACATCTTGTCTTATATATGTTATCGTATATCCTTTTGTCAACTGTTGCATTTCTGATCCTCCTTGGGTAAAAACAATCCAAAAAGGAAACTCTTTTTCTTTATGATATGAAAATGGGACAAAGGTGCATATATTAGTAATTCTACACACCAAAAAATGTTTCTACTTTACATTCCGTCATAACATAAACAAGTGCTGATCATTTGAATATTGATGGAACATATTTAAAAACAGTGTACATATATACTCATATAGGGATACCGTTAGCGTATTTCTAAGAATGATTACAGGATTACTGATTAACTTTATTTATGTCTTTGTATAGTCAGAAATGACATTTGTATGATTAAAATTAAAACAAGTGTTCCCTAAGCCATTTCCTCAATATCCACTTTGGTGCTCTGATTATCATAAGCATTGTTTCAATCAAGGTGTTAATTGTCCTTTGAAGTTTGAGAAGCCAATTCTGAAGCGGGGACAGCTTTAGACAATTAACGTTGATTTAATATAGACTTTCTAACAGGCCCTTATTCAGTTTGTCCTACAAATGATCGATTAAGGACAATCTTTAAGTTTATATCAACCAATTAAGAACAAGCCTGCTGTTTCTCACTTCAAGTCGCGCGATGCGGCTAATGTGAGGCCTCCCAGCAGAATCGAGTTTTTTTCTTCTGTTTGTTTTACTGAGATCACCTAGAGGAAACAAAATAGATCTGCTGCCCCGATTGCACCATTTGGGATCTTCGTATGTTCTCTCTTTTTCCTGACAGCCATTTTGTCTCCTAGTGCCTGGCTTTGCAGTACATCACGTCTCACCTAAGTGTTTAGCGTTAGTCAAAGTGAGACAGGCAACGGATTCTGTCCCCAGCCAGGGACGCCTGTACCAAAGTCCCAATAGAAAGTATGGTACAGTGTAGTAATGATTACCTTTAAACGTTCAGCATTTTGGGTAATCACAACAACTGATTCAATGTGACCGAGAAAACACTGTGCTATGTGTCTTTGACGTGGTATTTCATTGAGGTATAGCACTCTACAGTCGACATCAGATAATAATAATAATAATAATAATATACAGCATTTATATAGCGCCCTATATAATTTGTAAAATTACTCTAAGGCGCTTTACAACATATGGATAATAGTAATGGTTATAATTGTGAAAACAAACAACAAAGGCTTGCAATCACTTTCATACATTTAACAAGCAATGTGCACATAATTGAACAAATAAAAGGGTGGTATTTACATGACGTCTTTGCAAAGATTCTAAAATGCAGACGTGAAGAGGTGAGTTTTTATGTCCCTCTTGAACTTGGCCAGGGTATTCGACTTCCTAATAGCAGATGGTAAGCTATTCCACAACGTAGCCGAAACCCTCCCAAAGCATCTGTTTCCGTAGGTCACAGTACGAGATTTTGGGACACACAACAAAGATTCTGACTCCGACCGCAGTGATCTTGACGGCTGATACAGGGTAACAAGTTCCTGTAGGTACTGAGGAGCTGTTCCATTCAGTGCCTTGTATGTGTATACCAGAATTTTGTACTGCGACCTGTATCGTACAGGTAACCAGTGCAACGAATAAAGCGCAGGTGTGATGTGCTCTCTCTTTCGAGTACGAGTAACTAGCCGTGCTGCAGTGTTCTGGACCCTCTGCAGACGACTAGTTAGTTTGTCAGATATACCACAGAGCAGGGCGTTACCATAATCCAACCGAGAGGTAACAAGTGAATGCACCAAAATCTTGCATGCATCTGCAGTTAGAAACTGCCGAATACAGCCGATGTTCCTGATCTGGTAGTAACAGGATTTGGCAATAGCGTTCACTTGTTTCTCCATGTTCAGAGAACTGTCAAAGTATACCCCTAGGTTTTTAACAGCTGGAACAGTCTCAATAGTTCTGGCACCGACCTTGAGCTGGAGAGCCATTGTTTGCTGACACTTTGGGGAAAAGACGATTTGTTCCGTCTTTTCCTGATTAAGCTTAAGCATATACATGTTGGCGTTCATCCAGATACTAATATCTGTCAGACAAGCTTCCAGACTTTCTGAGACTGTATTCCAACTGTCCTGTGGTTTTATGACCATGTAAATGTGTGTGTCATCAGCATAGCAATGATAGCGAAGGCTATGGCGACGACAAATCTCTCCAATCGGTTTGGAGTACATACAATATTTTCGGGGTCCTAACACCGACCCTTGAGGAACCCCGAAATCTAGTACTTTGTCATGTGAGGTGGCAGATTCGATGGCAACACACGTTCACTCAGGTATGACTGTATCCAGCATAGTGCGGTATCAGTCACTCCATAAGAGTATTCCAGACGTTTATAAAGTATTCCATGGTCGATGACGTCAAATGCAGCTGACAAGTCCAGCATGACAAGCACCGCTCTGCACTTGTTATCCAATGCGGAAGCTATATCACTATGTACACGTAGGAGGGCCGTCTCAGTAGAGGGCCCATGCGGTAAGCCGATTGCATGTTGTCATGGAGACTGTTTGCATGGAGATGAACCTTTAAACGACGGGACACAACCTTCTCCAAGATCTTAGACAGAAAAGGCAGATTTGAAACTGGGCGGTAGTTTTTCAACTCCACCTTGTCCATTCCAGGCTTTTTTAACAATGGTCAAACATGTGCCCTCTTGAAACATAATGGAACCTTTGACTCAACCAATAATTTATTCATGATTGCGGTAATCAAAGGAAGCAGTGCTTCAAGACATTGCTTGAATAGCTCTGTAGGCTTTGGATCAAGCTCACAGGACTTCGATTGCGAGGTCATGATAATGTTGCGCAACTCGTCCTGGGTTGTTCGTGAGAGCTTTGTCAATGGTTCCTCATCAAATGCAATGTCAGCAGTCATGACAGAGATGTCAATGTCAGCAGAGGTGTTCACTTCAGTAATATTTTCCCTGGCCATTGCATGGAAGCATATGCACCAGCATACCCTACATCCGGCACTCGTACACACATGCAAGCGTACATTACGCACACGGAGAACGTCCTAACAAAACCTTGGCTTTGAATAGTACGTTTAACCTTATAAAACCAAAAGATAGAATTGTCAAATAGAAGTCGAGTCACAATATACACCTTTCATTTTAATGTTAAACACACTTACGACTTATATTGGCAAACAGGTATTGCAAGTCCTTGAATATTTGCCTGTAAATTTTTGCCATTGTGAACAACGCGAGAAAATTTAAAAAAAAACCCAATTGACATTAAACCATATTCAAAGACACAGCGAACAAATCTAAAAAAAAATATATATAAATAAATGAATTATCTAGAAGAAGAAAATGAATTAGTTATGGTACATAAGGCAGTAGCTCGTGGCATAGAATACAAAATTTAAGAAATGTTAGCCAATATGTACCTTGTAAAAATAATTCCAGGGGGCGGGGGGTTCGGCTTGCCAAAATACCAACACCTTAATATCAATACAAAGGAGAGAGAGGCTTGGAATCATCTAGTTGTGATTTCTTTCCATAAGAAAAAAATATCTCATGTACTTTTAAGCATTGTTAGCTGTATTGTACGAATTCAGATAGTTATCGTTATCAATGTTATTGGCTCAGATATTTTGGTGTACCGTTAGCTTTGACTCAGTGTTATTCAATATCTCTAAAAGTTAGCCTGATTGTCGTGTATAGAATGTAGTATTTTTAGTTTCTTTTGTGTCACTTGAAGAGATTAAATGTATATGTATGGATTTCTACAGTCACTTGTTATAGTTTAAACTATTATATCATGCCGGATTTAGCTAGACGATAGATTGGATTCATACAAAAATACTTCATAAAATAATAACATATCCATTTTGCAGGTGAAAACTGTATAGTTGTTTGTTTGATCATATTTTAATGTCTTACACTACTAAGATCGGAATAAGTCCTTTTATACTTGCCTGTGCCTCGGTGATATCGGTTGTCAGACAGCGGTGTGCACTAGTGAGTTTAAACAATTACTTTATGAACGATTGAACATTTCCAGACATATCGATACTCCTTCTACGAACAGATATTAAATAGATTTGACCTCAGAACTGTAGAAATTTCCTTTGTAAACCGGAAAAACCAAACCATAGCCACAAACCAGAGGATATTAAATGTACTGGCAATACAAGTGACGTAATTATAAGTGTGTTTACTTAGGTGTCGCAACAACAATGATTAAAAAACATAATAAGTAATGACGTAATGGATAACGTTACTGTAAAAATAGATTTACCTTGTCTTGGTATTTCACAGAATGAACACAAAATGGGACTACACATTGTACAATACACACACGTTAAAGGTTGGCTGTGTACTTTAATTATAGCCTTAAACTATAAATAGAACAATGATACCCTTTTAACTACACGCAATGTGTATTTGGATTAAGATTTGCGGAATTTCCAGTTTTATGTTGTCATTTTTGTGAACTATTTGAAAACACTCTTGCAAGATTTCTTGCATGAACTTTAAGAATAAAACTTTTCTCTATAGCATTACAAAACACAAACGCATCGAGTGTATCCAAAATTGTATTAACTACGTATGTTTAGGATTACATATAATTAAATGTGATTTTTCAAAATATGATGTAATGTTTAGGTATGTATATAAAGTTCAAATAAAGAAACACAATTTCAAAACCCGATTTGTCCGACAAAGGGTATTCATACCGTGTTTTCAAACGGCTGGTGGCTTGGGTTCATGTAAAATCACATAAAATCATCCATACACTGGGAGTTTATCGCAGCGATTCTGAAAAATAAACATGTACATGAGCAAGAAAATAGTGTGTAAACCATATTAGTAGTATCAACACCGGAATCGGTCATATGTTAGGATATAGTACGTGCTAATAGTGGCGTACGCTAGAAAATGTTATTGTATTTAATGGTCAAATAAAGTAATATTTTATACGTCCCTCGTATTTGCTCGTATATTTCAATATCTTCATTTCAAAGAAATCAACAAAATAATGAAATTATCAATGCTTATTACAATATTTGAGAAAGTCTCCCACAACAGAAATAAAGTCAAACAATTTCTTTCAGAACATTATGTACCTGTTTTATACATGTTATATTTATAAGAACTGATTTAAATCAGCTTTTGAAATTAATGTAAAGAAATAAGAAGACCGTACCCCTCTCCTTCGTTATTTGTTTCTTAATCTGATCCGAGTAGCTTCGTACACGGCTTGCCATTGCTTTATGGACTTTTTCCAGTTTCTTTGCAAATGGCTCGTAGTTTTCAAAACTGATGTACTTATCCTTCATAAGTAAATCAAAGAGATCGCCAATTTTCTTTATGCTGTTTATCTGTTTAGTTGACAGGGGAGCTCCGTTTGAAAAGAGTTGTAACAGTTTATCCCAAGTGTCTTTCATGCCGTCTAAAGGTGCGATTTCGTCATCTAATATTGTTATCATCTCGTTGTGTAAATCCCGCACCGTTTGGGAATAGACACATTCACTTTCCTGGTCATCAACCGCCATATACATAGTGTTGGTCAGATGTGTTTGTTCCCCCTAAAACAAACAATGTTGATATAAAGCGCACGATAAGAATTTCCGTTGATTTAATTCTTTTTTTAACACGCTTAGTTATTTAATATCAAAATAAATTAATTGAAACATAAACTGCAGTGAACAATAAGTAAAAAAGAGGTTTTTGTGAGGGCAGTGATACCGTGTATATGTACAAATGAATCTGAAGGTATTACATGTAACTACTATAGTCAAATGTATTAAAATCCTAACCTAGTTTTAGTAGACATATACACAGACTTTGTTAGTTAAGTCATGCAAAAGACTTTCTAATGACTTTCAGTCAGTCATAAATAAATTGTGTAACAATATTAATTTTGTTACTAACCTCCCCCATAAACAAGGAATGCATTACGTTTGCCTAGTATCAACATAACTGAACGTACACTCATCAGACGACTTCCGGTATATACTTACTACATAGCGGGCTCACTAGTATATCCAAGTAATAACTGGCTATATGTTCACTGTCATACAAATATAGAGCGTATTCTCAAACAGGTTATCTACAGACAAAGTATCCTGTAATACATAGAGTAATTGTCAATCAAGGAATATGCTTATGTATATATTTACTGCTATTACAGAAACACACCGTGAACTCAGAAAATCTCTATTTACGGCTTCACAAGCACATACACATATACTTACTGTAATCCAAGGATTATTCTACATGCAACTATTTAATGATCGTCTGATGTCTTTCGGCGAAACGGGTGGCTTCTGGGAAAACAATGACGTAACAGAAATTCAGATTTGTATTTATATTAGTCCTGACTGACCTACTTATGACAGGATGATCTCATACATATAAATACACGTATGTAATTATTTTTTTATATTTATATCTATGACTAGGTAATAATTGTATGATAATAACGTTAATACACGTATGTACTCATTTTTATATTTATATCTATAACTAGGTAATATTTGTATGATAATAACGTTAATACACGTATGTAATTATTTGTATATCTATATCTATAACTAGGCAATATTTGTATGATAATAACGTTAATACGCGCAATAATTATTTGTATATCTATATCTATAACTAGGTAATATTTGTATGATAATAACGTTAATGCACGCAATAATTCTTACTAACCACACTATGTTTACTTTATCTTTTAGATTGGTTGACATGTTAATACCTATAATATGATACAAGCCAACGTGTTCACTGGTTCAATTGTTAACTTATTCTGTTGTGATATATACGGATGACGGGTTCTAACTAACTTGGTGGACAAAGTTATTTACGATGTTATTGATATGCCAGATTGCATTCAGGAATTAAACGTTTGATTGTTTTCATTGTATACAGGTCCTAACCTTCAGGGGCGGCGGTGGTCAAGTGGTTGAGGCGTCTGACATTCTGCTACCACTAGCCCTTCACCACTGGGTCGCGGGTTCGGGACCTACGTGGGACAGTCGGCAGGTACTGGCTGTAGGTCGGTGGTTTTTCCCCGGGAACTCCGGCTTCCCTCCACCACCAAAACCTTGCACGTCCTTATATGACTATAGCTGTTACTAGGACGTAAAACACGAACAAACAAAACCAAAACCTAACCTTCTGTTTAGCCTATATTGTAGAATTCGTCTCATAATGACAAAAGACATTTGCACCAGACTTCCTGTTTCCTTTCAAAGCATAGCTTTTTTAGATCAAAAAATAAATAAAAAAGTCATGAAATATTTTCGAATATATTAAATGTACCTCAAAAGGTTCACACGTCTTTCTTTTAGTATCAAGGTAACTTTGTTACTGTTTGTACGGTCATTGTAAATTTTGTTAAAAACATTTTAGATACAGAGAAATTTTAGATATTACATGCCGTTGTAATGATATTTTGTTTCAAATGATTAACGAGGAAATAGTCAAGAGAGAGGCGTGAATCTTAGGTGAATAAATAAAGAGGGTTAGAAAGTGTTGGTAAAATATCTAACGAAGGCCTCTTTAGAAACTCTTTGTTCTAACCTTATTCGTCAATAGTCGATATCAACACGGAAATTGTTTTATTTGGAGCAATGTCTTTAATATCAACTGTGTGATGTAAATGCCATTGATTTTGGAATCAGATATTTAATTATCATCGAAGTGAATGTTCAGGATTAAAAACTCAAAATTGTTCAGCATTTTAGTAAGACATTCCTGCTGGTCATGATGAAAATTAATATTGAGAAAAGCGGCTGGAGTAAAACTCACGATCCTATAGATAAATTGGATGGTCGGTTGGCGCAGTGGATACGACATTGACACATTGACACGAGCAGACACAGAATATTTTCGTTTGCTTTTAAGCAGACGAACAAACGTAATGATCTGATATCATCTACGGAACACCTTTCCAACGACATACCACTGAGAAAGAGGCGTGTGTTTTTATCCGCGCCACAGCGACGAATCGAATCGCCTAGAATCGACACTGCAAGCTTTGTCAGTTGGCTGTTTCGCAGCGAGCGAGTGTGACGGACATCTAGATTTCGGATTGTTTTCTACAGAGGGATCTAGGGGAAGCTTTATAATCGACACTATCTTTGGTGATCAAATGTAATTTCGCGGAAGAAAGGTTAAAACTACTGGCACTGAGAGAGTGCTGGGAAAGTCGCTTAGGACTTTTCGCAGGACGCGATGACGTTCCATTAACGGATATGCCATTCTGTGTTTCGACGAAATGAGCAACAGGAGGAGCAGTACTGTACTGTGTGGGAATAGGAATAGCAGCCTTTTTGTCAGAAGACGATTGCGGAACACTGTCTTTGAAAGACATCTGGGCATTCTGCAACACAAATTCCTCCATACTAGTCAACTGGGAGCTGAGTTCCTCTGCAAATGCTCGGACAGCAATGTCTGTAGCTTGCTTCGCCTTACCAGTGACTTCTTTGACATCAGCCTCAACATGTCGGATGCGCGGTTTCAGCGACGAGACACAGTCAACAGCCGATGAAGCGCTGGACATTGCTAGACTGACACAGTCATTTTCCCGTCAATGGTCCTGATATCATTGTGAATGGCCGAAGCACTGCCAAACCGGTCGTCATTTAGACGAGATATTCCAAGACTAATGTCTTCTATCGATTTTGATAGGTTGGACATTTCCTTGCTAACCAAAACCCTAGATTGCTCTAGAGTTGCGACTTTAGAACCAACAACAAAAAGTCTCTCAGGGAAATCTACTTAAGAAGATAAGGTAGAGTGTTCACTGTCCAGGACTTTAGTAATTGAATCGCATGCCTTGCGGAGCTGGGATTTAATGCTGGATATATATGAGTCTCTTTTACCGAATTAATCCGGTTTTTCGAAGTTTCTCTTAACTCATGATGTAGTGCATGAAGCCTTGCCAGCTCAATTTTCAGAGAATCAATGTGGCACGACTTACTGGGAGACATTCTTTTGGGTTACTAACGGAAACATTCAAACCGGAAGTGTCCAGCTGGCTAGCGGACCGAGCAATCCGTTGAGACGAGAATAATACATCAGCTAACTCCGATGCTGACTCACCATCCAGGAGTTGCTGTAGAACATAACAATATTTCGCATACTTCTCCTAGGCTTGGCCCTTGATAGTAGTTTTGCGTGTAACAAGTTTTGAGGACGGACACCCGTCAATGTCCTGAGCACGATCATAGAAAATGGCTCGATAACAGGAAATTTGGTTTTTGAATTAGCCGCGATCTCTATCCATTTTGAAATGTACTCAGTTTTCGGAAGATGGAGCAAAGCTCTGTCAAACGAGGATGCAGATGAATTCGGATCTCGAGAAAGTTTGTTTTCTGACGACATAACGGCATGCACAATAAATAATGCAATAAATGATACCTTACAGTTGATAATAAGGGGTATAGATTGTTCATCGTGCGAATGCGCGATAGAACTCCATTGTCAGTGCGGCGGATCAGTAGAGCGTGACGAAATTTTGTTGATTATACAGGTAAAGCTTACTTTGGTGTATATATATCAACAACAGTATATAGAGCGTCAACTAACAGATGGTCACAAGTCACATTGCAAACTCAAACATCACTCGGCAAGAAACTCAAAATGTTCCACACACTTACTGCGTCAGTAAGATATTCCAGAACTCAGAATTCTTTCTTGTACACCATCTTTCCAGGGGAAAATATCCGCTGAACCGACGAAACATTCCAAGGGCGGTCACTCATTCGGTCCAACAGTATAGAGAAGCTAGGATTGTATGGAGACGGTAGATTTGTATAGAGAAGCTAGGATTGTATGTAGACGGTCAATTTGTATAAAGAAGCTAGGATTGTATGGAGACAGTAGATTTGTATAAAGAAGCTAGGATTGTATGGAGACAGTAGATTTGTATAGAGAAGCTATAATTGTATGGAGACGGTCAATTTGTATAAAGAAGCTAGGATTGTATGGAGACAGTAGATTTGTATAGAGAAGCTATAATTGTATGGAGACGGTCAATTTGTATCAAGAAGCTAGGATTGTATGGAGACAGTAGATTTGTATAGAGAAGCTAGGATTGTATGGAGACAGTAGATTTGTATAGAGAAGCTAGGATTGTATGGAGACAGTAGATTTGTATAGAGAAGCTAGGATTGTATGGAGACAGTAGATTTGTATAGAGAAGCTAGGATTGTATGGAGACAGTAGATTTGTATAGAGAAGCTAGGATTGTATGGAGACAGTAGATTTGTATAGAGAAGCTAGGATTGTATGGAGACAGTAGATTTGTATAGAGAAGCTAGGATTGTATGGAGACAGTAGATTTGTATAGAGAAGCTAGGATTGTATGGAGACAGTAGATTTGTATAGAGAAGCTAGGATTGTATGGAGACAGTAGATTTGTATAGAGAAGCTAGGATTGTATGGAGACAGTAGATTTGTATAGAGAAGCTAGGATTGTATGGAGACAGTAGATTTGTATAGAGAAGCTAGGATTGTATGGAGACAGTAGATTTGTATAGAGAAGCTAGGATTGTATGGAGACAGTAGATTTGTATAGAGAAGCTAGGATTGTATGGAGACAGTAGATTTGTATAGAGAAGCTAGGATTGTATGGAGACAGTAGATTTGTATAGAGAAGCTAGGATTGTATGGAGACAGTAGATTTGTATAGAGAAGCTAGGATTGTATGGAGACAGTAGATTTGTATAGAGAAGCTAGGATTGTATGGAGACAGTAGATTTGTATAGAGAAGCTAGGATTGTATGGAGACAGTAGATTTGTATAGAGAAGCTAGGATTGTATGGAGACAGTAGATTTGTATAGAGAAGCTAGGATTGTATGGAGACAGTAGATTTGTATAGAGAAGCTAGGATTGTATGGAGACAGTAGATTTGTATAGAGAAGCTAGGATTGTATGGAGACAGTAGATTTGTATAGAGAAGCTAGGATTGTATGGAGACAGTAGATTTGTATAGAGAAGCTAGGATTGTATGGAGACAGTAGATTTGTATAGAGAAGCTAGGATTGTATGGAGACAGTAGATTTGTATAGAGAAGCTAGGATTGTATGGAGACAGTAGATTTGTATAGAGAAGCTAGGATTGTATGGAGACAGTAGATTTGTATAGAGAAGCTAGGATTGTATGGAGACAGTAGATTTGTATAGAGAAGCTAGGATTGTATGGAGACAGTAGATTTGTATAGAGAAGCTAGGATTGTATGGAGACAGTAGATTTGTATAGAGAAGCTAGGATTGTATGGAGACAGTAGATTTGTATAGAGAAGCTAGGATTGTATGGAGACAGTAGATTTGTATAGAGAAGCTAGGATTGTATGGAGACAGTAGATTTGTATAGAGAAGCTAGGATTGTATGGAGACAGTAGATTTGTATAGAGAAGCTAGGATTGTATGGAGACAGTAGATTTGTATAGAGAAGCTAGGATTGTATGGAGACAGTAGATTTGTATAGAGAAGCTAGGATTGTATGGAGACAGTAGATTTGTATAGAGAAGCTAGGATTGTATGGAGACAGTAGATTTGTATAGAGAAGCTAGGATTGTATGGAGACAGTAGATTTGTATAGAGAAGCTAGGATTGTATGGAGACAGTAGATTTGTATAGAGAAGCTAGGATTGTATGGAGACAGTAGATTTGTATAGAGAAGCTAGGATTGTATGGAGACAGTAGATTTGTATAGAGAAGCTAGGATTGTATGGAGACAGTAGATTTGTATAGAGAAGCTAGGATTGTATGGAGACAGTAGATTTGTATAGAGAAGCTAGGATTGTATGGAGACAGTAGATTTGTATAGAGAAGCTAGGATTGTATGGAGACAGTAGATTTGTATAGAGAAGCTAGGATTGTATGGAGACAGTAGATTTGTATAGAGAAGCTAGGATTGTATGGAGACAGTAGATTTGTATAGAGAAGCTAGGATTGTATGGAGACAGTAGATTTGTATAGAGAAGCTAGGATTGTATGGAGACAGTAGATTTGTATAGAGAAGCTAGGATTGTATGGAGACAGTAGATTTGTATAGAGAAGCTAGGATTGTATGGAGACAGTAGATTTGTATAGAGAAGCTAGGATTGTATGGAGACAGTAGATTTGTATAGAGAAGCTAGGATTGTATGGAGACAGTAGATTTGTATAGAGAAGCTAGGATTGTATGGAGACAGTAGATTTGTATAGAGAAGCTAGGATTGTATGGAGACAGTAGATTTGTATAGAGAAGCTAGGATTGTATGGAGACAGTAGATTTGTATAGAGAAGCTAGGATTGTATGGAGACAGTAGATTTGTATAGAGAAGCTAGGATTGTATGGAGACAGTAGATTTGTATAGAGAAGCTAGGATTGTATGGAGACAGTAGATTTGTATAAAGAAGCTAGGATTGTATGGAGACAGTAGATTTGTATAACGAAGCTAGGATTGTATGGAGACAGTAGATTTGTATAGAGAAGCTAGGATTGTATGGCGACAGTAGATTTGTATAGAGAAGCTAGGATTATATGGAGACAGTAGATGTGTATAGAGAAGCTAGGATTGTATGGAGACAGTAGATGTGTATAGAGAAGCTAGGATTATATGGAGACAGTAGATGTGTATAGAGAAGCTAGGATTGTATGGCGACAGTAGATTTGTATAGAGAAGCTAGGATTATATGGAGACAGTAGATGTGTATAGAGAAGCTAGGATTGTATGGAGACAGTAGATGTGTATAGAGAAGCTAGGATTATATGGAGACAGTAGATGTGTATAGAGAAGCTAGGATTGTATGGAGACAGAAGATGTGTATAGAGAAGCTAGGATTGTATGGAGACGGTAGATTTGTATAGAGAAGCTAGGATTGTATGGAGACAGTAGATTTGTATAGAGAAGCTAGGATTGTATGGAGACGGTAGATTTGTATAGAGAAGCTAGGATTGTATGGAGACAGAAGATGTGTATAGAGAAGCTAGGATTGTATGGAGACGGTAGATTTGTATAGAGAACCTAGGATTGTATGGAGACAGTAGATGTGTATAGAGAGTGTTGACACATTTCTATTTAGAGACTGTAGTTGTATGGACGTGATCAAGTTAAGATATTTCTGTATATTTCTGTGTTATCGCTATTGTTTAATGTTCTTCTGTCTGCTACAACAAACAGTTAAATGATAATTAAGCCTTGTTGACCTGAACTGTATCAGAAAAAAACATCGTTTCCGTTCGCATAACACTTCACCCAATTTCAAGATGGAACATACTTTATTACCATGCTTTAATTATGTTGGCTTTTACTGTGTTCTTATGTTTAACTTTTCTTAATTTTAACTGTTTCCGTTCGATTATAGTTGTGGTATATACTTCTCGTAAGATGGAGAGCCTGGATATCTATAACGAACGTTCAAGTGAATAGAAGGTGGATAATGTATTAACTATTGTACTCAGATACAGAGATTGTATCTCAAACAAAAATGAGTTCCAAAGGGTTCGGAAATATTTCTATCTAGGATTGATTGCTCATTTATTGTGAAAAATATTAAGAGCCTAAAGCAGTTTTCATTATAATTTTATTTTTCTGGCTACAATTTAATCATGTTTATTGGAGTCCTTGCAAAAAATACCAAAGGATTCAGTATACCTGGTATGTGATCACAAAGAGCATTGTTCTATAGAAATCCAAGTCCATAATCGATATCGTTTCTCGTTACAGTTTTCAATGTTCAATGAAATCAGATAATATTTGAAATTGTCCAGATCTGTTTTATATTGGTAAGTACAAATAAAATATTGATGGTTTATGTATGGTTTTCAAGCAACCATCAACTGCAATGCGACATTTGGATTGTATGTTTCGTTCCCAATGGTCATTCCTCTGCCAAGTTCATTATACTCCTTTGTATTTTGTATTCTGAACGTCTTTTCCTCTCACCCATTTTACTCGTACCACGAACTCAGTCTACTTTTTTATCGCTGAAAATTGAAAACAAAGAATTGTATCTAAATAGCAATAGGATATTTTTATTTCAAATTCGCATAATTTAAATTGATTTATTTGTATATATATTTACTATTTCATCTAGCCCTGATATTTGACATATTGTATTGAACTTTTAATCACAATTATTAAATTTACAATGTATATTCATTAATGATTTATTTGCGTCTTATAAACAGTCCTGATACTTACATATATACTTCAATTTTCTCTTCGATATTCATCGCTACCTATGAATGACGAGACTTTTTCGTGGGCTGTTCATTCCGTTGTGAGCCCATTGACGCTTGTCCTTCGGCAAGATTTCCTTTTGATCTATATGACATGCGTCTCTTTGTACCTTTTCCTATTGGCGCTCGTTCTCTGGCTGGTAATCCACGATTTATATCGGCAGAGAACTTGTCGATTATCGTGACCATGTCATCATCGATAGGACGTACCATGTCTTTTAAAACATCATAGAATCCTAGTTTCAAATGACCACGTTTCTTCAACGTATTGAATGCATCCATTACGTTGTGTATATCTGCAAGTACGCCTGCTTTAAAATATACTCGTAAATTTGTCATAAATTTTGCCCAGTCGTCTTTTTGTTTTTCGCCCAAACAATCAGACAGTTCCAGTAACATTTCTGCTTGCAATTTTAATCTCTCTGTTTCTGGGAGTGGTGCAGACCTTAAAACAACAATACAAATAAATTAATAATATTAAAAAACAATTCGTTTGAGATTAAATGTTTGGTTTATTTCGGCAACCTAAACAATATGAACAGAATAATGACATGTGACCAAAAACCGTAATTCGAACTAAAAATTGTTAAAAGAGAGCAAAATATGATACGTATGCAAATCTAGGCCAATCCGAGCAATGCCACGTCCTTAAACCGAGAACTGCGGTAGTGACTACACAACAACAAGGCACACCGATGAGTGATAGTGACAACACAACAACAAGGCACACTCATGAGCTGTAGTGACAACACAACAACAAGGCACACTCATGAGCGGTAGTGACAACACAAACACAAGGCACACTGATTAACGGTAGTGACAACACAACAACAATGCATACTCATGAGCGGTAGTGACAACACAACAACAAGTCACACTGATGGGCGGTAGTGACAACACAACAACAAGTCACACTGATGGGCGGTAGTGACAACACAAACACAAGGCACACTCATTAGCGGTAGTGACAACACAACAACAAGGCACACTGATGAGCGGTATTGACTACACAACAACAAGGCACACTGATGGGCGGTAGTGACAACACAACAACAAGGTACACTGATGAGTGGTAGTGACTACACAAACACAAGGCACACTCATGAGCGGTAGTGACAACACAAACACAAGGCACACTCATGAGCGGTAGTGACTACACAAACACAAGGCACACCGATGAGCGGTAGTGACAACACAACAACAAGGCACACCGATGAGCGGTAGTGACTACACAAACACAAGGCACACTCATGAGCGGTAGTGACAACACAAACACAAGGCACACTGATGAGCGGTAGTGACAACACAACAACAAGGCACACTGATGAGCGGTAGTGACTACACAACAACAAGGCACACTCATGAGCGATAGTGACAACACAACAAGGCACAGGTATGAGTGGTAGTGACAACACAACAACAAGGCACACTTATGAGTGGTAGTGACAACACAACAACAAGGCACACCGATGAGCGGTAGTGACTACACAAACACAAGGCACACTCATGAGCGGTAGTGACAACACAAACACAAGGCACACTGATGAGCGGTAGTGACTACACAAACACAAGGCAAACTCATAAGCGGTAGTGACAACACAACAACAAGGCACACCGATGAGCGGTAGTGACTACACAACCACAAGGCAAACTCATAAGCGGTAGCGACAACACAACAACAAGGCACACTCACGAGCGGTAGTGACAACACAAACACAAGGCGCACTGATGAGTGATAGTGACAATACAACAACAAGGCAGACTGATGAGTGATAGTGACAATACAACAACAAGGCACACTCACGAGAGGTAGTGACAACACAAACACAAGGCCCACTGATGAGCGGTAGTGACTACACACCAACAAGGCACACTGATGAGTGATAGTGACAATACAACAACAAGGCACACTCACGAGCGGTAGTGACAACACAAACACAAGGCACACTGATGAGTGATAGGGACAATACAACAACAAGGCACACTCACGAGCGGTAGTGACAACACAAAAACAAGGCACACTGATGAGTGATAGTGACAACACAACAACAAGGCACACTGATGGGCGGTAGTGACAACAACAACAACAAGGCACACTGATGAGCGGTAGTGACTACACACCAACAAGGCACACTGATGAGTGATAGTGACAACACAACAACAAGGCACACTGATGACCGGTAGTGACTACACAACAACAAGGCGCACCACTGATGCGTGATAGTGACAACACAATGAGTGATAGTGACAACACAACAACAAGGCGCTCTGATGAGCGGTAGTGACTACACAACAACAAGGCACACTGATGAGCGGTAGTGACTACACAACAACAAGGCACACCACTGATGCGTGATAGTGACAACACAACAACAAGGCACACTGATGAGCGGCAGTGACTACACAACAACAAGGCACACTGATGCGGGATAGTGATAACACAACAACAAGGCACACTGATGAGTGATAGTGACAACACAACAACAAGGCACACTGAGGAGCGGTAGTGACTACACAACAACAAGGCACACTGATGCGGGATAGTGATAACACAACAACAAGGCACACTGCACAAACACAAGGCACACTCATGAGCGGTAGTGACAACACAACAACAAGTCACACTGATGAGCGGTAGTGACTACACAACGACAAGGCACACCACTGATGCGTGATAGTGACAACACAACAACACGGCACACTGATGAGCGGTAGTGACAACACAACAACAAGGCACACTGATGAGCGGTAGTGACTACACAACATCAAGGCACACTGATGAGTGATAGTGATAACACAACAACAAGGCACACTGATGCGTGATAGTGATAACACAACAACAAGGCACACTCATGAGCTGTAGTGACAACACAACAACAAGGCACACTGATGCGTGATAGTGATAACACAACAACAAGGCACACTGATGAGCGGTAGTGACAACACAACAACACGGCACACTCATGAGCGGTAGTGACAACACAACAACAAGGCACACTGATGAGTGATAGTGACAACACAACAAGGCACACTGATAAGCGGTAGTGACTACACAACATCAAGGCACACTGATGAGCGGTAGTGACAACACAACAACAAGGCACACTGATAATAACAATGACAATAAGCCTTAAAAATAATCTGCATTCGGAGCTAGCATTTGCTATCGAATAAAGTGCGAAACCATAATATGTTGTTGTGTTACTCTCGTCATATTTTTTGGTATAATTTAGTAATAAGCCTAACTTGCTGGTCATATTTTAAGTAAGATTTAGGAATACGGCTGATGTAGAGCTTTTGATCGTATGATATAAAATTTCACTATGATGAATAGTCACAGTATTTACACATGTACATAAGCTTATACCTTCATCCATTACTGTTTTTTATTTTATTTCAGTTTTCGCATACAATATCTCAATAAGTTCAGGTATTGGTTTAAGGCCTTAATTGTGAATTCGTGACATGAGAAAAAAACAGTGATATGATTACTAAAATGAATAAGTGAATTCTGTTTGTGTGCAGCAATTTATTCTGCTTCTTTATACCAATAGGAAATGTAATTTTGATAATTACCGTACCGAAAACGTAAGTAAAATTAGTCAATAAATCGCATTCCAACATATGGCGTCATAAAGACATGGAATTTGCACTATATTCCAAACAGAAGTAACAAGAAGCTATATTTTGCTAAATTTGATATACGAATATACATGTAAGCTGTGTTATCTTAGCGACTATAATACTACCCTCATCCCCGAATATAACGAAATTATAAATAACGCATCAACTATTTTTTCTATATTTTAAAGAAATACTTTGTTTCAACATTTTAATAAAATAAAGACCCAAGAGTAGTTAAAATTTCTTTGAATATCTTTGCCTAATCCATTCTTATGTATAACACGATAAATAAATATCAATGTTCTTTAACATCCAGTTATCTGGAATGGGTATATCACTGTAAGCATGTTATGTTACCTTTCATCCTTATCTTCGTCGTCCTCTATAATTTCATCCCAATCCTCATTCTCATCGTGTCCCACCTCTTCAACAGTATCTTTTCCTATTTTTGGTGTCAACGCAACGTCTCTCTTCTTTTCTTCTAAATATAGAAAAAGTCAATCTAGGAGTAGAACAAGTAATAACCATCAATTTGTCTACAGAAAGTATTTACCGATGACATGTTTATATTAATTTATACGTTTATCGTCCATGTAAAGATGTTCTATGTTAGGAATGAATTATGTTTTGAATATTTTATTCATAATGTAGGCGCATATACTTACCTTTTGCAATTTGAGCAATGATTTTAGCCTGAAATTGTTTAACTGCGCTGGCCATATTTGGATGTATTGGTCTAAGGCTCTTTTCAAATGGACCGTACTTCCCATAATCGATGAACCTCTTGTCCATGAGGGCTACGAACAGCTGTTGCATTGTGGATATTCCTTGAATTTCCGCTTGGGACAACGGATTGTCGTGTGATAAAGAATCTAGAAGTTCACCCCATTTTATTTTTAAATTCCAAACCGGCGCTAAGTTTCCGGACAACTTCCTCACCATCTCAGTATGGAGTTTTTTCACTTCAGCAGAATATTCTTCAGTCATATTTATGGTCGTAATGTAAACTGGAACAGGAAACCTTTGCATCAGAATTATGAACGTGAACATAACAAAAACAATAGAGGAGGAGAGAATATTTCGAGAGTTGAAGTCAGTTATTAGTTATTATACAATAATGGAGAAACCAATCGGATGAACATAAAAATCAAATTGGATTAATGAACTGTCATGTCTTTAAAATAAGGACTGGTGTATTGACCACAAAACTAATATGAAATAGGCAATGCCTATAAGCGAGCGCACAAAGTTCAGTAACCATTGTGATGATAGTGTAGATCTCGGGCGCCTGCGGCCTCCCAGCTAAGGGCTTAAACTTGAGGTGGTAACAAAACAAACAGAAGTTCACCAGTATCTTTCAGACAAATATACATATGTACAATGCACATACATCGTATCAGGACAAATAGTAATGACATTTTACCTTGTAGAATTCAATCCTTCAAAATGACAGTGTCGTTAAATGAAGTCCTACTGCATGTATTATAGCCGTTACTGACGTAAACACTACGGAGGGTTTTTTATATCGAAAGTAGAAAGTACCTGTTTACACCAAACTTACTATTTATGAACATATATATAAGATCTACACCACAAATTCGAACCGAAATTAATTATTCCCCTTTTAAATACTTATTCGATAAATAAGTTTTATTTCAAAACAAAATTCTGTGAATCTATAAATAGGTACGATGTGAGTAATAAATAGTTATAAATAGAAAACTATGCGTCACAATATGAACCAATGGGAAACCAAAGAAGGACAAAAACGCAGATCAGGGAAAAAAATACAATATGATGTTTTGCAGTTTGTGATTGCATATATAAACCTATTTATTAACGTTTGATGCTTCATTTGATCTAAACCTTGTGTTTGCTAAATTAGTATGAGTTGAAGATACTTGGGTGATATAGAGAGCCTTGATTGAATGAAGAAGTAAGGGCATTAGAGGTGTATACAGAGGGTCAATAGTGAATAGTGTTTCTTTTTATTTCAATGAGTTTGAGGTTGTATAAAAATCCCAGTATCAAATGTAGAGACTGGAAGTCTTACCAAAGAGCCTATGGAGAGGTTCGGGTTTTAGTTAGAAACAAAGGTTTTATGACAATATAAGAGTGTATAAGAGAAAGTCGACGGTTTGTGGAGAGAGCTGAGTTTAATGAAGCGTTTTGTGGTTTGTAGTAGGCAAGAGTTCCATGGAGTTATATGGACTTGCTATGATTGTTTGGAGAAGGTAGATTTCTATAGAGAACCTGGGGTTTTATGTAGATAAGTAAAGATAAGCTAGAATTGTATGGAGATGGTATATTTGTATAGAGAATCTGGGGTTTTATGGAGACGGTAGATAGGTATAGAGAAGGTATGATTGTATCCAGACGGTAAATTTGTATAGAGAAACTATGATTGTATAGAGACGGTAAATTTGTATAGAGAAACTATGATTGTATGGAGACAGTAGATTTGTATAGAGAAGCTATGATTGTATGGAGACGGTAGATTTGTATAGAGAAGCTATGATTGTATGGAGACGGTCGATTTGCATAGACAAGCTAGGATTGTATGGAGACGGTCGATATGTATGGCGAAGCTAGGTTATCTGGAGACGGTAAATTCGTAAAGAGAAGCTAGGTTTTATAGAGACGGTAGATTTGTATAGAGAAGCTAGGATGTATGGAGACGGTAGATTTGTATAGAGAAGCGAGGATTGTATGGAGACGGTAAATTCGTATAGAGAAGCTAAGTTGTCTGGAGACGGTAAATTCGTATAGAGAAGCTAGATTGTATCGAGACGGTAAATTCGTATAGACAAGCTAGGATTGTATGGAGACGGAAGATTAGTATGAAGAAGCTAGGATTGTTTTGAGACGGTTAATTCGTATAGAGAAGCTAGGTTTTATGGAGACGGTACATGTAGATTTGTATAGAGAAGCTAGGATTGAGGAAGACAAAAGATTGGTATGAAGAAGCTAGGATTGTATCGAGACGGTAAATTCGTATAGAGAAGCTAGGTTGTAAGAGGCGGTAGATTAGAACAGAAAAGTTAGATTGTAAGAGGCGGTAGATTAGTACAGAGAAGCTAGGGTTGTAACATCACTGAAAATAAGAAAATACAATGTACCAGCCAGATAACATTCAGATATTTCTTGTTTCAAATTCATTTAATTCGAATTAATTCGAATCATAAAGCAGTTCAATACCATCTTTGTTTTCCTGAAAATTCGGACACATCCGTCCTTTATTTGAAAGCAGTTTTCATTTCTCTGTATCCATGAGTGATGCAGGCCTGAAGTTAAAACAAATACACAGACAAATGTTGGAAATTCCACATTTACAAATGGGTTATTGGTATATTTAATATAAACTTTATTTTTTTTACAACCATTTTGAAAACAGGTTATTTCAGCTTATATCGATCATTCGTGTAGGCCCGGATGTCAGCGCGGGAGGTCTTAATGTGGGAGGAAACCAGAGTACCCGGAGATAACCCTCGTGGTCGGGCAGGTGACCCCATACATTTTACGTACAATCGGGTAATCGAACCCCGGTCGCCTTAGTGAAAGGCAAGTGCGCTATCCACTACGAGCCCGACCATCCATTAATGGTTCGATTTCATGTTATCATGAAGTAAATTTCAATACGAAAAGTTCAGAATCAGGCACAATGATGTAGTCATACTTAAACGATATACATCTATCATATTAAAACCTCATACAGATGATGACAGCTTATCAAAGGTAACATACTTCACTTTCGGATAAAAATAAACAACAACAGCACAGCGAAGTGTCAACCAAACCGCACTTTAAAACCAAAACCGAAAATCCTAGCACTTTTGACCAAAGGAAAATATTTTATGGAAGCTACGGGGAAAAAACAAAGACAATTAGACCAGTTTTTCGGAAAAGTAAGCGTCTTCTTCTTTATCTACGCCATTCGCCGTGTAAGTCAAAGAAAAAGTATTGTCACATACAAAAACATAAGGTCCATTAATAAAGTAATGAAATAAGCATCGACCCTTATATCGCAAAAGCAAAAGAGTATTTCTTAATTGGATTATGATGGAAACAATCGTCACCTGCTTGCATCTTTAGAAACTCTTTGTTCTAACTTTATCCGTCAATAGTCGATATCACCACGGAAATTGTTTTATTTGGACCAATGTCTTTAATATCGACTGCGTGATGTAAATGCAATTATCATCGAGGGGGGTGTTCAGGATTGACACACAAAATTGTTCAGCATTTTAATAAGACATTCCTGCTGGTCATGATGATAGTGAATATTCACGATCATAAATAAGTTGTCCCTATGAAACTAGGGTTTTATTTAGTAAATGCATATGATCATAACTTAATAAAACAATTACTGCATTCAGTATTAGAGTTTTCCGCAAACAATAACTATCTCTACAGGTAATTTACTTTACGCACTTCGTATTAAGCTGATTGATACGATGTGAGCGATATGTATTACCAAGGACTGATCCTACATCTACTGTATCTGACGAGTAATTCTTTCTTTTAAGTACTACATAAATTGCCCCCTTTAACCAGATGTCGAACCTGCGTCTACGAGCATAATGGGTTTCAAATATTGGCAAACACATTGTATCTTATATCAAACCGGAACTCATAATTTATTGTAAAATGACAATCATCAACACATATTTTCCTATTTCCACAAAGGATTTAAATCTGTGAATGTTTCAAAATATCCAGTGGCACATTAACGTGTCTAACAAGCGGTTTTTTCTTCCGTAATTTTTTTTTATAAAGAAGGATAAATCAGCTGAGCTAAATAAACACTGCAATCATCGGCAATCTGCAAGTTCTTCCTGCTGATTTCGGAATCTGAATAAAGATGATAGATATCAAATTAATGTTTTTAATAGTAGCTATATATATATATGAAAAAAAGGTCGAATATTCTTGTTATTTTTTATCAATGAAGTAGTGCTCTATAATACGAATATATTTTGTGGTCGTATGATTTATAACATTTACATGCTGACAGATAAACACACAGACAGACGGACAGACAGACATTCTTTATTTCCTCCGAAAGAGATTACGTACTAACAGTCGTCACGTCAGTTTTATTGTACATCATTCATTTCAGAGATCTTAGGACCATGGCTCCTAACACAGTGTACTATTGTAATATAAGGAACCACTGGTTTTCTCATCTTAGAACCATGGCTCCTAACACAGTGTACTATTGTAATATAAGGAACCGCTGGTTTTCTCACCTTAGAACCATGGCTCCTAACACACTGTACTATTGTAATATTAGGAACCACAGGTTTACTCACCTTATAACCAAGGCTCCTAACACACTGTACTATTGTAATATTAAGAACCACAGGTTTACTCACCTTAGAACCATGGCTCCTAACACACTGTACTATTGTAATATTAGGAACCACAGGTTTACTCACCTTAGAACCATGGCTCCTAACACAGTGTACTATTGTAATATTAGGAACCACAGGTTTACTCACCTTAGAACCATGGCTCCTAACACAGTGTACTATTGTAATATTAGGAACCACAGGTTTACTCACCTTAGAACCATGGCTCCTAACACAGTGTACTATTGTAATATTAGGAACCACAGGTTTACTCACCTTAGAACCATGGCTCCTAACACAGTGTACTATTGTAATATTAGGAACCACAGGTTTACTCACCTTAGAACCATGGCTCCTAACACAGTGTACTATTGTAATATTAGGAACCACAGGTTTACTCACCTTAGAACCATGGCTCCTAACACAGTGTACTATTGTAATATTAGGAACCACAGGTTTACTCACCTTAGAACCATGGCTCCTAACACAGTGTACTATTGTAATATTAGGAACCACAGGTTTACTCACCTTAGAACCATGGCTCCTAACACAGTGTACTATTGTAATATTAGGAACCACAGGTTTACTCACCTTAGAACCATGGCTCCTAACACAGTGTACTATTGTAATATTAGGAACCACAGGTTTACTCACCTTAGAACCATGGCTCCTAACACAGTGTACTATTGTAATATTAGGAACCACAGGTTTACTCACCTTAGAACCATGGCTCCTAACACAGTGTACTATTGTAATATTAGGAACCACAGGTTTACTCACCTTAGAACCATGGCTCCTAACACAGTGTACTATTGTAATATTAGGAACCACAGGTTTACTCACCTTAGAACCATGGCTCCTAACACAGTGTACTATTGTAATATTAGGAACCACAGGTTTACTCACCTTAGAACCATGGCTCCTAACACAGTGTACTATTGTAATATTAGGAACCACAGGTTTACTCACCTTAGAACCATGGCTCCTAACACAGTGTACTATTGTAATATTAGGAACCACAGGTTTACTCACCTTAGAACCATGGCTCCTAACACAGTGTACTATTGTAATATTAGGAACCACAGGTTTACTCACCTTAGAACCATGGCTCCTAACACAGTGTACTATTGTAATATTAGGAACCACAGGTTTACTCACCTTAGAACCATGGCTCCTAACACAGTGTACTATTGTAATATTAGGAACCACAGGTTTACTCACCTTAGAACCATGGCTCCTAACACAGTGTACTATTGTAATATTAGGAACCACAGGTTTACTCACCTTAGAACCATGGCTCCTAACACAGTGTACTATTGTAATATTAGGAACCACAGGTTTACTCACCTTAGAACCATGGCTCCTAACACAGTGTACTATTGTAATATTAGGAACCACAGGTTTACTCACCTTAGAACCATGGCTCCTAACACAGTGTACTATTGTAATATTAGGAACCACAGGTTTACTCACCTTAGAACCATGGCTCCTAACACAGTGTACTATTGTAATATTAGGAACCACAGGTTTACTCACCTTAGAACCATGGCTCCTAACACAGTGTACTATTGTAATATTAGGAACCACAGGTTTACTCACCTTAGAACCATGGCTCCTAACACAGTGTACTATTGTAATATTAGGAACCACAGGTTTACTCACCTTAGAACCATGGCTCCTAACACAGTGTACTATTGTAATATTAGGAACCACAGGTTTACTCACCTTAGAACCATGGCTCCTAACACAGTGTACTATTGTAATATTAGGAACCACAGGTTTACTCACCTTAGAACCATGGCTCCTAACACAGTGTACTATTGTAATATTAGGAACCACAGGTTTACTCACCTTAGAACCATGGCTCCTAACACAGTGTACTATTGTAATATTAGGAACCACAGGTTTACTCACCTTAGAACCATGGCTCCTAACACAGTGTACTATTGTAATATTAGGAACCACAGGTTTACTCACCTTAGAACCATGGCTCCTAACACAGTGTACTATTGTAATATTAGGAACCACAGGTTTACTCACCTTAGAACCATGGCTCCTAACACAGTGTACTATTGTAATATTAGGAACCACAGGTTTACTCACCTTAGAACCATGGCTCCTAACACAGTGTACTATTGTAATATTAGGAACCACAGGTTTACTCACCTTAGAACCATGGCTCCTAACACAGTGTACTATTGTAATATTAGGAACCACAGGTTTACTCACCTTAGAACCATGGCTCCTAACACAGTGTACTATTGTAATATTAGGAACCACAGGTTTACTCACCTTAGAACCATGGCTCCTAACACAGTGTACTATTGTAATATTAGGAACCACAGGTTTACTCACCTTAGAACCATGGCTCCTAACACAGTGTACTATTGTAATATTAGGAACCACAGGTTTACTCACCTTAGAACCATGGCTCCTAACACAGTGTACTATTGTAATATTAGGAACCACAGGTTTACTCACCTTAGAACCATGGCTCCTAACACAGTGTACTATTGTAATATTAGGAACCACAGGTTTACTCACCTTAGAACCATGGCTCCTAACACAGTGTACTATTGTAATATTAGGAACCACAGGTTTACTCACCTTAGAACCATGGCTCCTAACACAGTGTACTATTGTAATATTAGGAACCACAGGTTTACTCACCTTTGGAATCCACATTAGTATGTCAGGAGCCACATAGAAATGGCTGCAGAAGTTTTGAACCCATAATAGCAACGGTGTCAGGTCGTTTCGGTAACAAGTCGTTTCGGTAACAAGACAAAAGTCGTTTCGGGACTTTTTTCGGGTTGTTTCGGGACATGTCAAAAGTCGTATCGTGATTTTTCTTCTTTTTTCTTCTTCTGTAGATAGTACCGTTGTCTTTTTCCTTTAAACTTATTTTAATGTCAAATAAATTTGAACAATCGATTAGATAAAAGTTATTACAACTTATCATAGCCTTCTCCCGTCATACATTTACCATTACACGATTTTAATAAAACATGAATAGAAATACACAACATAATAATTAACATCGTTCAAAATATATTGCTGGATTTGATGAATTGATTCTCATGCATGTCTAAAACATTCTATGTGTTTCACGTTTTTACTTTCATGAAATTTAATTTCATTATAGCAAAAATAAAATGCTTAAAACATTGTTAAAATCACTGTTAACTCATTCGTCTCTTAATGTCAATAATGGAGAATATAGTGAATCGAAAACATATTATTACAATATCAAACAAGGAATCAACCTATCAATAACGAAAGAAATTGAATGTTGAATTTCATAAGTTCCTCCAGATCTGTATTTAATAATGAGATTAGTTTCATCAGGTAACAACACACTGTCAATCGGGTAAATGTTGGTAGGTATCCCCTCAAGCGCTAGAAATCAGGGTAACAACACAAGTTTATGAGCCCGAGCACTGGTAAGTCGTGACACGGGTCATACAGGACTTTATATGAAACGGGAGCGAAATGTAATTTATAAGTGAACATTTTATATGTCCCGAAACGACTTGATTAAGTCTCGAAACATCTTGTGTCATGTCCCGAAACGACTTGATTAAGTCCCGAAACATCTTGTGTCATGTCCCGAAACGACTTGATTAAGTCCCGAAACATCTTGTGTCATGTCCCGAAACGACTTGATTAAGTCCCGAAACATCTTGTGTCATGTCCCGAAACGACTTGATTAAGTCCCGAAACATCTTGTGTCATGTCCCGAAACGACTTGATTAAGTCCCGAAACATCTTGTGTCATGTCCCGAAACGACTTGATTAAGTCCCGAAACATCTTGTGTCATGTCCCGAAACGACTTGATTAAGTCCCGAAACATCTTGTGTCATGTCCCGAAACGACTTGATTAAGTCCCGAAACATCTTGTGTCATGTCCCGAAACGACTTGTTATCGAAACGACTAGCATTCATAGCAACGGCCTATACCGGACTTGTGCAAGTCTAGACATTAAAAATACGTGATTAATACCATTTGTACTTTCATTTGTGGGGGATACCTTTTTTTGCTTACACCTTTATATTAGATTTTCCTTTAAGAATGCCCGGAACTTGCAAATTTACTCTTAAAAAATAATATCAAACAAGTGCAATCACATACAACATGAGTGCTTACCATTTATCTGGTTTGACCTGATCTCAGGTATAACCCTGATATTTCTTATTAAATCAATTCTTTCAAATATAAGATATCAATATCATTATAAAAATATGTATGTACTTCTAAACTTATTTGGATATTGAAATATGATTGCTGCTCATTCATCTATCCAGAGACGTACACGTCTCTGATCTATCTAAATTTTCTATACACTTTCAATCTTTGTCGGGTTAACCGGAAATCACACGGACGAGGGAGGCTCACCAAAAAACCGGAACTTCCGTTGTATTATTAACAAATCTACGAAAAGTGATAAAATTAGTATAACTATGAGTAATTGAAAACCTTATTAAATATGAAATAAAAAGGAATGGCCCCAAATATTTTATCACAGAACACAACATTTCTCATTTATCACAAATCTTCGGCGAGCACCTGCAACTTCCGGTACGTTCCATATAAGGAAATTGTCGGAGTATCCACTGGTAACTCGGTAGTTTACACCATGTCGGAAACCTGTGTGCTATCCTCTCGTACAATGTGATATGTCAACCCTTTAAATCAATGATAAACTTCAAGTGAAGAAAGCGGTGGTGTATTTATACTCAAAATGACTGAGGTAGTATCTAATGGGCCAGTTCTGGCTGACTCTACATTTAGGACAAGGCCTAATTTTTCTAGTTATTTGTATGTGGACGCTAATGCAGGTGGAAATTCTGTGCAGCAAATAGAAACCCATCGTAGGGCTCGGCACATGAAATTCCCTACATTGACAGGTAGGGGCGATGTTGATTCTTTCACGACAAGTATGAAAACTGACATTGGCTACAAAAAATGGAACGATGAGGGAGATTTCAGGTCTAGTGCTCCCTACCGAGACTATGATAATATTGTGGATCCTGTGTCGGGATTTGTCAGTGCTGGTGGGGATGTGGATAGGAACACCGGGCGTAAAAAGATAAACTCTCTGGTACAGTTGAACGAAACTCCACAGGCTGTACCCCCTCAGGGAAAAAATTCAGATCGGAAGAAGGAAGTGAAGGCTCCACCAGAGCTGAGGCGGTCAAACACATACGAGCCTGGAGCCCCCTCTATGTGGAACAGTCGAAGTGTGTCTGACATCTGGATTAGGTCACAGCTTGGAGGTAAAATCTGATACTCTGGTCTGCAGATATATTTTTCAAACCTATATTCGGGTATGCACATATCATAATACATATAGAAAAGTGTGTAACAAGAGAGGTAAAATGCACGGCCTGACAGGGGTTGGAACCCAGAACCCTCCGAACTCTAGACAAGAGGCTCTCACAACTGAGCTACCTGGTTACTGATGATAGACCTAGTCCAGGTCTGCTACATTCCTCCCTCCTTTTCTAAGTCTTTGCCTCTGAAGACACAACTATTTACAACCCCGGTTCAGGTTTTCCCTTGCCAGGCGTACACCCAATGTTTGAAACAAGGGTTTGGTCTCGGCACCACTGTAACAAGAGCGGAAAAATGCATAGTCAGTCCGGGTTCTAACCCAGGTGCCTCCATACTCTAGACTAGTCAAACACTCTATCAATTAAGCTAGCTGGTCACTGACAATCTACCCAGTCCAGTTCCACCACATTCCTCCTTCCTTTTTCTAAGTCTTCACCCCCCAAAGATACAGCCACTCTCAACCCAGATTGGGATATCCCCCTGTCAAGTGTGACCCCAATGCTTGAAACAAGGGTTAGTCACGATACCACTGTAACAGGAGTGGACAAATGCACGGCCAGACTGGGGTTCGAACCCAGGACCCTCCAAACTCTTAGATGGATACTCTTAACAATTGAGCTACCTGGTCACCGACGATCGACCTAGTCCCTGTCCGCCACCAGTGTATATATTCTGTTCACATATCATATGTGGGGATAATTTCTTTTTTTTTGTACAAATTGGTTGTTTTGTACTATTAGTGTAACTGTTACATGTATTACCATACATAGGGTATATGTACTAGCTATAATGGGGAAAAGATACAAATTAATAAGGCTGTTTGAATAGGTAAACATATAGTGCAGAACGTAGGGAAGGTATACTGCATGTACATAAATTGTAGGGTACTGTATGTGCATGGTACAAGAAAATATAGCATAGGGTAATTGTATTTGGGGTATTTAATATACCATATTTATCTGTCAGTAAGCCCATGATGTCTGGTAATAAGCCCAAACATTTCTAGTTTCTACTGCTGTTCAGTAGAAATGACAACAAATGCAGTTGCATTGTCTTGAAAGAGTAGATGCTTGATGCTCCCCCAATGGAGTCAGAGATTGTGCATTTGGGCCCCTCAGGTTATTGCAGGATAAACATGGACAATACCAGGTGCATTTAGATACTAAATATCCAATGATAACACTGTATTTAAGGTCAGGTAAATAAGTCAAAAGGTTATATATGTGGATTAAATACATAGAAAACTCTAACATTAAAACATATGGCCAAGCAGTCACAGGTTAACCCTTTCATCACTATAGACCACAATGAACTCATCCATATCAGTGCATGGTAGAGTCTACTAAAGTTACATAGGGGTGAATGGGTTATTAATAACTATATATATCACTTAATAGGATGTTATTTTGAAATTGCGTGATATTGTCTCCTATTCAGGATATTTCTAGGTACTTTAAAGTTTTATATATATGTAAGTTACCCTTAATTGTTTTCCTCAAAAGTTATTTGGCTTTTTTGACTAAACAAGGCTTTTAACTGTGCTACAGAAAAGTCCAAAATATTCTTGTAATATATATACAGTGTATAATAACACAGCTCTGCTGTTTCCATTCTAGGATTATCCCCCTTTGTGACACTGGATTCCTGTATAGAATATCTAGAGTAAGCTAGTAATGGGGTCGGTTCATGTACATTTGAGATAAGCTTGCTGTTGTTGATTTGTTAAAGATATTGTTGAAGAGCTTGAAAAAAGTTAATGGGCTGTGTATCAAGCTTTAAAAGCTAAATGGTTCTTAAGAACAATTTGAAATGATTTATTAATTTTCTTAAAATATCTGCCGAAATGCATGTGTAGTACAGTGCAATTCTTCTTATGTCATATCATATGGCAAAGGGAAATTAGATATAAATTTATTAAAGTAGATAATAAGATAAAGACTACTCACGAAGGGTTAAATTCCACTAGCCCAATGGCCAGACAAGAAGATTTTTCATATGTATGTCAGGAACTTACTTTAGAAACACAGAAAACAATCCTGAAGAAATATTTTGGTCTCTTGTTATTTGTTTGCTTATTATTATAATTGCATTAATGGATTTAAAACTTCCACAGGTAATTATAACTTTAACACACTAAATTGACAAAACTTGATTAAAGATGACAAAAACAGAAAATAATCGAACATTATCAGTAGTTATAATTTACACCAAGAGGTGACATTTAATTGTAGACAATAACCCAGACCTTAAATAGATCTAGGAGATATATGGTACAGTATATACGTAAAACAAAGAGGAAACACTATCAAGATCATCTACACAGTGTATTGGCTGTCTAATGATCCATAATGTTATTGTACTCGTAAGTTATGTATTGTTTACAGATATATATATATGTGCGTTGTATACATTCTCTGCAGTATTCTGTATTTCACTCCATCTCTGGTGTACTCATACATGAACCGCGCTAAATACAGAAACATGTTTTGTTAAGTACCTTTATGCAGTAAGAGAGATTCCAGAGTGTTTTTTAACTGCACTATTTAATCTGATGCACATATCATTTAGTGCTAAAATACGAGTTTGGTAAAAAGTTCTGTATTCCAAAATTAGTTTTTTCTTGCTTTCATAACATATCAGTTTTATATATATTTATATAGTGCAGTAAATAATATTATGTTAAATAAGGGTATAATATACTCTTAAATAAGCTGTATAGTTTTCGTATTTCCTGTACATGTAAAGAAGATGAAGTTATGGGCTCTTACATCCTTGATATCTAGGGGTTACGCTCACATACGCTCTCTGCACCCCTGGAATATGTCAAAGCAAAATTGAAGGCTCAAAGAAAGCTGTTTGATTGGTCTCAGATAAAAAAAATCCTGACCAATCGCTAGGCTGATACCTGTCCTTTGAAGATTACAAAGGGTGACACCCGACTTCAAAGTGAGTCAGTTTTTACCCTCATGTGACTGGTCTTCTTGTCTCATCAACTAGGTGTTGTACACTGAGCCTTCAATTTTACTATGACATAGTCCAGTGGTACAGAGAAAGTGTGTGAGCGTATACGTATAACCCCTGGGTATCGAAGATGGGACTTTTATTACCTGTTTGGATATGTCATGTTTCCTGCATAGAATCTAAGGCACTATCAGGGGTCATATATACTACCTGTGTAGATTTCAAATTTCCTAGGCTGATATTATCTTTTTGGATATTTCATATTCTCTGAGCACAAGGGATGTTGGGGTTTGGGGTGGAAATTGAATTCTACAAATATACACACACACCAGCCAATACAATTTTAGAAAGCATAAATTTTAATTTGTGAAGTTGTAGCTGCTATTGAAATGTATGAACAAGAGCACAGTTACCGTAGATAATCAGTTATTGTTTGTAGACTTGTGAGGAGGGTAGGTCAGCGTCATCAGACCTTTACCAGGTAATAAGGCCCTACAGTCAGTGATCACTGATAGTCACTAATGACAGCTGATTACAAACCGCCAACTTGGCAGATCCTGGCCCTGATATTGCTTTATGTGAGATTTTTAGTATCTAAATAACAGCTTTTCAAATATGCCATTTAAATATACATGTATGTACATAAGTGATAACAAATGTGAAGATTGGAGGGGGGATATTTGTTTCGGATTTAAATTAACAATTAAGTGTTAAATGTTTAATATTAAAAGGTAGCTATGACTTAATATTTTAATACAAAGTGGAACAAAATATTCTAACTGAATACATTATGTAGCTAGCTAACGATTTGATTGATTATTTTCAAGGATAATGCAACATCTTGTATCATCATACAAATAATAGTGTAATATATAATTAACCTTGCATTGAAATTGATTGGCATGTAAATTATGATAAACGTTACATACATAGGCAGTTACTGTCACGTCTACAGAACCATAGGAGGTCAGTGTCAGGCAGTTACTGTCACTGTCTACAGAACCATAGGAGGTCAGTGTCACTATGATATATAAGGGTATCCAGATGTATATATGTGTAAAGCTTCTACACTGCCGTGGTTTAATTAATTGCCATTGAAAATGTTCCATAACAATCATGAGAGAATCATTCGACAAGGCCCTTATAGGTTGTAATAGGTAAAGCTGTTCATTCTGGATGCTAACAAACTGTGTATCAATCCAAGTTGTTATCATGATTTTCAAGGGTTCTAGTTACTTTTTTGATGTCAATCTATAATATGCAAACGCTGTCTCAAAACAATGTTTATAAGTTGGTTTAACAGGTCCATTACATGTTTCAGTGAAGTAGCTGGCCTGAAGGTCACCAATTGAATTTGCCTCAAGCAGAGCTCAGACTAAATATTCCATTGTAGAAACTTAGCTGAAACTTTGTATCTCCCATCAACTTTGCTTTGATCAGACCTTAACCCTTGTAATCTCCCACAGAGCTTTATCTCCCATAGAACTTATATATATCCAAAGACCTAACGTTGAGAGACTTGCTCAGATGTAATATAATCTTCCATAGACTTAACCTGGAGACTTTAAACCTCAAACTTGGTCTTCCACTGACTTCAGATAATAGACTTTTCTAGAACTCAGCATCAGGATCCCCGGATCCGGAGGACTCAACATGTTAGTGATGATTGAGGCCTGGTCTTCATTCAGACAGTTAAGGTTAAGTCTGTGGGAGGTAGTCTAGTGGTAGGACGCCGGGCTCGTGACCGAAGGGTTGGGGGTTCCAGTCACGGCACTGCACTGCAGTAGCTGTGTTGTATCTTTGAGAAGGATACTTAACTCCACTTGTTCCAGTCTACTCAGCTGTAAATGAGTATGTGGTTGGGCAGTGCTAGAACTGTTGAATGCTTGCTGTTAGCGCCGAAATGGCAGCTCCGCGATCCGGCTGTATGCTTCCCAGGGAGTTGAGAAAGATATTGGCTGGTTGCAAAAAGGCCCTATACGGATAATAATTTGGGTTTTGAATGCGGTTGTGTGTAGATTTTATAATAACGGGATGTACACAGTAATAACACTTCAGTGGCCAAGCGCTGAATAGCAACTCAGAAGCCACAGTGTTTTGTTTGATCTAGAGAATCTGGGATTACCAATAGAATATGTTAAATCCTACCAACTCATGCACTGTACTTGCCGTTATGTATTTATAAACCTTGTGTATGAGCTGAGTAAATCCCCCACACAATGATCTGAGACTGTATTGGTTACGGCATATCTACCAACACTTATAGGATTGCCTCTACCCCCATTGTATGTTCAGTGAATTTAACTTTACCAGTAATTATTAACTCTCCTCGTGATTTGTGGAAACTTCACACTAAACCCACTTTCAACACAGCATACCCTGTGTAGTTAACATAGAGACTCGGCTCAAACAATAAACAAGCCAGCTCAATATTCTCTGAATTCAGTTCCCATTACACATACAACAATATATGGCTTTTCCAGAAATTAAACTTTAGTGAGTTTCATAAAAGTCATGACATATGAAAAAGCATGCTATGACCATGTACAGGTTCCGCAGGTTCAAGAATAAAACTGATGTATACTACTGCATGTTGTCATGAGAGGTGGCCCCCTGTCTAACTCCCCAAACCAGAGGATATTTGAGATCCTTCCATATTGCACTACTTAGGAACTCTATCTTCTCTTTTATCTCCGACTTACTGTTTTGTTTTTAGTATTAATGTATTCCAAATTACATGCATGATTTCCTATAAGATCTTCTTGGCTACTGCTAGAATGTTAAACCAGTCAAACAAACAAACACGAAAAAGAAACAAGTTTGATTATTTTTAACTTACCAGGTAATGAGGTATATGCTCAACCACAGAATGTTTTATTACACATACCGGTATTTAATTATTAAGACTAGGAAAATCAAAAGAAATCATCCCCTGTTTTGTGTTCAAGATTTAGAAATAGCCATAACCACAATATCCATCAGCTCTCATCCACTTTTTTTGCTTTTTTAAAAACAACTCCTTCTAAAGAACCATAAGATCTATATGATAGTAATGATATTTACCCTCAAGCATACTAATATTCAAATGAATTACCTTGACCCTCTGTCAAGGTCACAGGGTCAAAAGGGTTGAAAACCTCTAATGACTTCTGCTGGGAAACCACAAAACTTCAAGTCATAATATTAATTGCTTTATATAGTTTGATCAGGTAAAATAATCATGATCACAGGGGTGCAGGGTTGTTCAAATTCAAAGTTGTATAAATAAATAATACAATCCAGTAGCAAAATCTAATTATAACCACCAGATTGTCTGATGATAAAAGTATAGCTTCGTTTATATTTACTGACTTTAGAGGGCTGATTCAGATTGCATGATAATTATAAACTAGCCCATAGAAAAGTATCACCTCTGTATAGGTTATACATATAGCCCTTTTTATTTATATTGGTCTGATTGTAGTGCTAAATGTGGCATATATATACAAGACCACACACTTGTGTTTTTCTAACGAATCAGAAAGCACGAGTTTATTGCACAGACGAATATATATTCACGAGTGCGCACGAGTTAATATATACATCCGCGCAATAAATGAGTGCTCTCTGATTCGTTAGAAAAATACAAGTGTGTGGTTTTGCTTTTATCACTTACCTTCCGTATTTGGTAGAGATCGATACAAAGATTTTATAAACTTTGATATTTTTTGCGAATACTCGAAACTTTTCAGTTCGCCATGACAAGGGGATTCCAATAAAAAGTAGTTCCGACTAGTAGGTAAATACAACATTCCATATTGCACATGTGCAATACAGAACGTTGTATTTCATGATTGAAAATTGCTTGTATTACTATAACAAGATTCAACAGGTATGTGATAAAAGATTACATTGCATCCTCGAGTGGTATTTCAATATCATTATGCCATAGTTATTGTAATCTTGTGATCTTCATTAATTCTGTAAAGAGAATTTACAGACTTCAGTTGGGGTGAGAATTGAGAGGAGAACCCAGAGATCTATAAAGGATTATTTGATACTGCAATGCACTGAATTTTGTTATTTGTCTTCATTATGGTTATAGCAACAGTACTTTTAAACACGATGTTGATGTATAACTGTTTCCCTTAATCTCTTGCAGGCTGGACCAGTGATTACGACCCCAGGCAACCTGCCCCAGAAATGAGCAAATGGAGGTCAAAGGTCAGTCCTGTTCAATACATCATGAAAAGTTCTTTTTAAGATTTTCTTTGTGACATTTCGATGACTAGTATGACAAATGACCAGCGAAGCGTATGTACACAAAGGTGTAAAATGTGTACGAGTTGTCCACCAAATCGAGTCGATTCGGCAATGCTGTAAGCGTTACAATAGTTGTTATATATGTACTGAAATAACTCAATTCGGCTACGCTTTGTTAAAAACTTGGTCATAGATGTGCGAGAGTCTTTCAGCCCCCTCATCTGTATTTAGAACTGGCCCACTGTTGCGTATCCAGATGGCATCTGCCGCTTAAACAGATTGCTCTCTCTGTGTGGCATGGTTTGTGATTGCCGATTTATTTATCTTGGACTCCGACTGCTTCCTTTCTGATCTGGTGAATTTCCTACCTTCTTGGGTTTCCATATCTTTCCGGTATTCACCAAGGCGGACCCCAAAACGCCTTCCAGTCTCCAACATACGATGCGTCACAGTTTTTACATTCGATTTTGTATGCGCATTCTGCAACATTCTCTTAAGGTGTTTTATCCTTAGGGTGTACTAGAATATTGCGAAGCATCTTGTGTGGCTTCATGGCTGTTGCTTAATTATAATTAATTAATGCTATGACCGCGATATATCTTCTGGATGGTTTCGGATATACCCTTTATGTACTGGATGATGACTTGACTGTTTTTGTACCCGTTTTAGGGCCCATTCAGGATATGCACATGTTCTCATTGCCCTATATGATTCTGCTCTTGTGTTTTGTCCTGTTGTTCTGTGGCTATTGTATCACATCTGTTGAGCAATGTGCGTAGGACGCCTTAACTTCTGGTGTAGTGGATGGTGAGATTTGAAGTTTAGGTATTGGTTCGTATGAGTTCTTTTTTCTATAGACCAATACCTTTATGGTTTAGTTTTGTTCTTATCCTTGATTGGCCTTTTCTTGTTCTTCCCCTTACTTTGACAGTGTTTTTGCACCCATTTTAGGGCCCATTACGGATATGCACACGTTCTCATTGTCCTAGCGATGTGATTCTGCTCTTGTGTTTTGTCCTATTGTTCTGTGACTATTGTATCACATCTGTCGAGGAATGTGCGTACAACGCCTTACTTCTGGTGCAGTGGATGGTAAGATTTGAAATTCAGGTATTGGTCCTATGGTCTTTAGCACACCTGGCACGAAGTCTGTCCGTCCGGCGTCAATATTTTACTTTAAACGACTTCTTCTTAATAACCGAAAGGCCTAGGGTGTCGATATTTGGCCAGAGGCAAACTGTGATGAAGAGCTACAAAGTTTGTTAAAATGAATGACCGTCACCCATTTTCAAGGTCACAGGGGTCAAATATGTTAAAAATTTTAAACAACTTCTTCTGAATAACCAAAATGCCCAGGGTGATTATATTTGGCCAGTAGCATGCTGAGATGAAGGGCTACAAAGTTTGTTTAAATCAATGACCTTCACTTATATCCAAGGTCACAGGGGTCAAATATATTAAAAACTTTTAACAACTTCTTCTCAATAACCAAAATGCCCAGGGTAATGATATTTGTCCAGTGTTATGCTGAGATAAAGGGCTACAAAGTTTGTTCAAATGAATGACCTTCACTTATATTCAAGGTCACGGGGGTCAAATATGTTAAAATTATTAAACAACTTCTGAATAACCAAAATGCACAGGGTGATGATATTTGGCCAGTAGCATGCTGAGATGAAGGGCTACAAATTTTGCTCAAATGAAAGACCTTCACCCATATTCAAGGTCACAGGGGTCAAATATGTTAAAAACTTTCAACAACTTCTTCTAAATAACCAAAACGCCCAGGGTGACGATATTTTGCCAGTAGCATGCTGGGGTAAAGGGCTATCAAGTTTGTTCAAATGAATGACCTTCACTTATATTCAAGGTCACGGGGGTCAAATATGTTAAAATTATTAAACAACTTCTGAATAACCAAAATGCACAGGGTGATGATATTTGGCCAGTAGCATGCTAGGGTAAAGGGCTCTCAAATTTGTTCAAATGAAGGACCTTCACCTATATTCAAGGTCACAGCGGTCAAATATGTGAAAAACATTAAACAACTTCTTCTGAATAACCAAAATGATGATATTTAGTCAGTAGCATACTAGGATCAAGGGCTACCAAGTTTGTTTAAATGTATGACCTTGAATCATATTTAAGGTCACAAGGAGCAAATATGTTCAAAATATTTAAACAACTTGTTCTGAATAACCAAAAGGCTCAGGATGTTGATATTTAGTCAGTAGCATGCTGGTATCAAGGACTACTATGTTTGTTAAAGTGAATGACTTTGACTTATATTCAAGGTCACAGGGGTCAAATTTGTTTAAAATCTTTAAACAACCTCTTCTGAATAACCATGGGTCCCAGGATGTTGATACTTTGCAAGTTGCATCCTGAGATGAAAGGCTATAAAATTTGTTCAACATAATGACTTTGTTCGACTTTCAATCACAGGGGTGAAATGTTTTAAAAAAAATTAACAGGGTCTTTTGAATGAATTTTAATCATAAATGCTGATATTTTGCCTGTAGTTTTATTTTAGATCACTTTTAAGGTTACAAGTGTGAGATTTATACCAGGTGAGCGATGCAGGCCCATTGGGCCTCTTGTTTTTTCTATAGACCAATACCTTCACGGTTCCGTCTTTGTTCTTTACCAGTAGAGTGTCTAGGAAGGGCATTGTGCCGTTGGTTTCTTCCTCACATGTAAATTTGATGTTGTAAGTGGCATCTATATGGTGTTGATATGTGCGGCCAAATCCTTCTGTGACCCCTTCTTGATTGTCTCAAGTATGTCGTCAACATATCGTTTCCATAAGCTAGGCTTGCATTCTATGGGGGCAGTCGCTATTGCTTCTTGCTCAAGATGTTCCATGAACAAATTGGCCACAATGGGAAACACTGGACTACCCATAGTAGTGCCGAAGCATTGTTGATAGATAAAAAGTATGTGTATGCTGCAGTATAATCATAGTACCCCTTGTAATTGAAACTTTGAATGGGATTATGTAACAGTTGCTTCATGTTTGAATAAAAGCTGTTGATGTGCTGGAATTTATACCCGAGGCATCTGTAGGTCAAACATCGCTTTGTGACCATCATGTTATAAATCTGAACGACTGAAGTAAGAAAAAAATGAAATGTCAACCATTAATTTGTTTGTGTAAAATATTTGTAGGAGAATTATTAACAAATATTGGGACAATAGAATCTTGGATACTTCAAGGGTTATAGCTCACTTTTGCTCTCTGCACTCCTGGAGAATGTCATAACAGAATTGAAGGCACATTTAATTGGTCTTGGGTACAAAAACCTGACCAATTGTTTAGCTGATACCTGTCCTTTTAAGATAACAGTGGGACGACATGCAATTTGAAAGCCAGTCAATTTTACAGTTACCCGACAGCAAAATTCTTTTGATGTTCATCAAAAGATCAAACGATAGTTTTCTTGTCTATAACAAGGTGGAACACACTGAGCCTTCCATACTGCTATGACAAACTCCAGGGATGAGTGTAACCCCTGGAGTATCGAGGATGAGACAATAGAAACTTGGGGAATGATCTGTACTTGTAGATGTCCCATAACGTGACATCGCTATCATTAAAGGATGGTGTTAATGGTACACACAGATACACATACTGGTATCCATACTGTTAGGAGGTGTACGTAACACTGCTATCATTAAAGGATGGTGTTAATGGTACACACAGATACACATACCGGTATCCATACTGTTAGGAGGCGAACGTAACATCGCTATCATTAAAGGATGGTGTTAATGGTCCACACAGATACACATACTGGTATCCATACTGTTAGGAGGTGTACGTGACATCGCCATCATTAAAGGATGTTGTTAATGGTACACACAGATACACATACTGGTATCCATACTGTTAGGAGGTGTACGTGACATCGCTATCATTAAAGGATGGTGTTAATGGTACACACAGATACACATACTGGTATCCATACTGTTAGGAGGTGTACGTGACATCGCTATCATTAAAGGATGGTGTTAATGGTACACACAGATACACATACTGGTATCCATACTGTTAGGAGGTGTACGTGACATCGCTATCATTAAAGGATGGTGTTAATGGTACACACAGATACACATACTGGTATCCATACTGTTAGGAGGTGTACGTGACATCGCTATCATTAAAGGATGGTGTTAATGGTACACACAGATACACATACTGGTATCCATACTGTTAGGAGGTGTACGTGACATCGCTATCATTAAAGGATGGTGTTAATGGTACACACAGATACACATACTGGTATCCATACTGTTAGGAGGTGTACGTGACATCGCTATCATTAAAGGATGGTGTTAATGGTACACACAGATACACATACTGGTATCCATACTGTTAGGAGGTGTACGTGACATCGCTATCATTAAAGGATGGTGTTAATGGTACACACAGATACACATACTGGTATCCATACTGTTAGGAGGTGTACGTGACATCGCTATCATTAAAGGATGGTGTTAATGGTACACACAGATACACATACTGGTATCCATACTGTTAGGAGGTGTACGTGACATCGCTATCATTAAAGGATGGTGTTAATGGTACACACAGATACACATACTGGTATCCATACTGTTAGGAGGTGTACGTGACATCTATACCTGGAATTACATAAAGCAAAATATCTCTAACAATGTTCATGTCATAAAGAAGTTAGAAAAATCTATACCAGTGATCATAGAATTTAAATAGGGGGGATATCTATACCAATAATGGTGGGACATATTTATAGCTTCATATTATTAAGAGGTAGGAAATGTCTATACTAAGAATCATTGGGCTGTTTACAGTTTTGCATCGTGCCACCAATCCCAAAGGAGCGTGGTCCTCTCGAGAGTATTCCAGAGGTAGACCAGTGTGGAGTGGCTCATGTCACAATGTTTTACTCTATGTCCAAGTTGATGAAAGACACAATTTCAGAAACGCGGCTTTAGGTTCATGTTGACAAATCTATGATATGTAACGCATGAAATTCTTCTTTTATCAAAAAAAAATGTTTTAATGAATAATTTTAATTCAATTTCCTCAAATTTGTTAGAGGTTGAATATCAATTTTCTGACAAACATACATGTATTCATGATGAATGTTCTTCATTTTGTATCTGTTATCTGTATGGAAATTTTGAAAAATGAAAATGAAAAGAAATATGAGGTAATTTCTTGTCAACTTTACAATCAAAGTTAAGGATTGAGTATTGTTTATTTGATCAGGCAATAGAGCATAATATTATACTGAACATAAATCCTTATCATCAAGATCATCCACAAACATGCTTTTATGTCTCCAAAATATCATTGAAATCTAAATTTAGATAAGATTTGTTGTGTACATGATGACTGCTATTTTTAAAGTCAGTCGTATCTCAAATCTATCACTTTTATTTTGTTACATGTGTTTCATCATCACCAATCATATTCTTCTGAAATTGTGGTCTTAATGCTCAACTCTATCACCATAAACAAAAGTACATGTACAACACACTATGTTCACCAGTCAACCCTATTTACCTAGTCAAAAAATGTTGTGAAAGGTTTTTAGCTAATCATAATTTGGCATTTGTGAAACATTAACATATTATCTGCAGACATTGAGAGATTGGAGATAACAGAAATTCCTGTGATGTCCCATGTGCTGACACTTTTATGTTATTTTACTTCCCTGTGTAAATTAAACTTTCACCGATTGTAACTAACAGAACTACGTCGATACCTGTCACCATTTGAATTTACTATTTAGTTCTCATCCTGAACATTATAAGTATGATAAATTGTAGTGGGTTCTTAGCTTTTATACAAACTATACAAGTTAAATTACATCCAATGTATTCATAAAGGAATTAGTATCTCCTAGTACGTTTTTGGAGTAGCTTCCCCTATATCGTCACAATGGGAATCGATATTATACACTCTGCAACAAAATTAAGAGTAAGGCCTACACTGGAATCAGGGTGATCGCATGTCCATCTGTCTATAAGACATTTATAGTTCCCCATTATTTACAGGATCCTATTGCAGTATTGATTGTAAATATCTCTGAAAATATTTGCAAAACTTTAATTTCATGAATTAATCTCTTTGCAAATGATGTGTAAATGTATCTTTCCAAAAACAAAGAGTTTTACAGTATTCAACACTCTTAATCTTATACAGAAAAAATCAGTCTTTCATTTCCTAAAGAGCTAACTTAAGGACCATTTATTCTGGTATTGATTCTGTTATTTAAAATATTATTCAGTTCTTTTCCAAGCTTACTTTAGTCTTTTGGATCTATTGACAGTTTGTGAGGATAACGTTAAGTCCAATTGAACAGAGATTTGAGGATGTTATAAGATGCCAAAATATTGTTTACATAATGTTAATAATTATCCGTATTTGTGAATTTAGTCCTTTGGATCTATTGACAGTTTGTGAGGGTAACATTCAGTCCGACTGAACAGAGATTTAAGAATGTTATTAAGATATTGTTTACATAATGTTAATAATTATCCGTAATTTGTGAATTTCAGTCTGCCTTTGTACCCAAGCCTCCGTCAGAACAGAGTCGTGATGGACGGGACCATCTGGCCATGAAGTACAAGTATGGCACCTCCACACAGAAGTGAGTGCACTACATGTAGCCTTACATATAGGATCTAACACGAGTTTCCATTTCATATGAAATTTATGAAACAAGTCTAAGAATTTTTCAATTAAGCGAGCCTCTGGCGAGCTAAAAAGAAAATTTGTGATGAGTTTCATAAATTTCTTATGAAATGAAAACGAGTGTAAGATCCTTTTTATCACATAATCAAGATTTGTGTTATTTATTCCTGTAAAAACGACAATTTTCATGTAACCTTGAAATGTAAACTGCCGCCATTTTGACTTCAGTCCGTAAGTCTTTGACGTCATGTACTTGTCCGAGGCGTGACGTCACAATTGAAACAATTAAAACTTACAACCAATCACAGGGCTGATAGATCATATTACATGGGTTAATACGCAAAAAAATTGACACGGGTATATTCACTGGATTATAAGACTCTTTCATGTCCAGGGGTGTAGGATAGAGAAATTCCACCCGAGGGGTTTTTAGGTCACCTGAGCTTTAGCTCAAGTGACCTATTGCTATCCGTTTTCGTCCGTCGTCGTCCGTCGTCCGTCGTCCGTCGTCCGTCGTCCGTTAACATTTTACATTTCAAACTTAAAGTCAAGTTCTGCTGGGCCGATTGAACTGAAAGTTGGTAGGAATGATCGCCTCATGGTCCTGACAAAGTGTTGTTATTTTTCGGGTCGATCAGAAATCCAATATGGCCGCCACGGCCGCCATTTTGAAAACCTATTTCAAACTTAAAGTCAAGTTCTGCTGGACCGATTGAACTGAAAGTTGGTAGGAATGATCGCCTCATGGTCCTGACAAAGTGTTGTTATTTTTCGGGTCGATCAGAAATCCAATATGGCCACCACGGCTGCCATTTTGGTAAACTATTTCAAACTTAAAGTAAAGATCTACTTGGCCGATTGAACTGAAACTTTGTAGGAATGATCGAATCATGGTCCTGACAAAGTGTTGTTATTTTTCGGGTCAATCAGAAATACAATTTGGCTGCCATGGCCGCTATTTTGCTACTAAGTTCTAATAGGCCGATCTCACTTAAAATTGGTCTAGGAATGATCAGCTCATGGTCCTGACAAAGTTAAGTTAACATTATACTATTTTTTACTCAAATTGGTACATATTTCAACAACAAAAATAAATACTATAGACTCAGGTGACCGTTAAGGCCCATGGGCCTCTTGTTAAATTTGGTAAAACCCGAGGCTTTGTTGAGGGTTTTGCCTAATTTGAAAATCCTGAGGGTGGAATTTCCCTATCCTACACCCTTGGGTATGAGGAAATGGACTAAAAATGGAAGACAAAATAGCATCCATTTTTGAAAACTTCTCTGTATTCTTTATTGAAAGAATTGATATAAAGAGTAATATATCATGTGACAAAATGGTGTATGAAATAAATTGCAACAAATAGTTTTGTGTCTTTCTAAGAAGGTGATGTAATGTTTATGAAAGGTTTTTGTTTTAATAATCTCGGTCTGATGAAACTTTATGGTGTGTTGTAGGTCATTTGAGGAGGTACCGTGGGACAACATGCTTCATCCCAAGCAATGGGCACCTGTGTCAACCATTGAGGAAAGGCCAGATATGATATCACAAAACTACACGCTCAAACGTTACGACCCGGCAGCTCAGGAATGGCAGGCAAGGAACTATATATATACAGTATTACACATTATTGCAGGCTCCTATGCATTGTTACAAGCTCCTGAAGATTATACAAGTCCCTTTAAATTATTATAAGCTCGTGTACATTATAACAAGCCCCTCTACATTAGTAAAGGTTCCTGTACGTGTTTATTTAACCCTTTCACCACTGTAGACCATAATGGACCCCTCCATATCAATGCATGGTAGAGTCTACTAAAGTTACATAGGGGTGAAAGGGTTAAAGGTCTTGGTAATCGAGTAAACTGTACAAGCTAGAGAACACAAGTTTCTCTTTACTTCCCCCAGAGTACCCTTGCAATGTAAAAGAACAAGCTCGTTCTGAGTATCTTATACAGAGCACATCAATGTTTAGGGAACCATTTTAGCAAGGTATCCTTCATTTTTCATACAGAGTACAGGACGTTCCTGGGACTGGTTCCAGAAAAGACAAGGCTATTACAAGAATCAACCAGTGGCCTTGTAAGTATGTTGGATGCAGCAGATGGATTCTTTATTATAACTTTATCAGAATTACACCTGTAGTTCATAGGAACACATATTCACACCCATTTCCAATAGCAAGCAGCCTCCATATTTCCCAATCTGGAAAAACTATCCAACTTATTTTGTTCCAATTTTTTACTAATTAAAGTAACATTGTTAAAAGCTATATAGGCGATGAAAATACAACATTGGATATTTTGAAGAGTTTTCTTCTACCAGTAAAATCATAAAAAATCAACCTGTGACAACGATCAGGGATCAAATTGAAGCATGCTGCATATTGGTACTGTAATCTTAAACTGGTTCCTGCTTCAAAATTATACCAATTTTGAGTAAAGGTCTTTTTACAAAATCAGCCCACAAAAATCCATGGTGTATGGTAATGAGTGGATAGCCATGCATCTTGTTAGACATTAAATTTTCTGATAATTGGTGAAAATTTATGAAAATGATGCTAAACAAAAAAATGTGTTTTTACATGGAAAATAGTACCATATATATGTATATCAGTACTGTTGTCTTGTATTAAAGTTGTTTTATTTGCAACCATGATGTTTTCTATTGATGGACCATAAGATTATTGGTTACTTGATCTATCAGTCCAAGGTTAAAATACCAAAGTTTACTGTCAACCCTGACCTCACTAATAATATAGAATTAATTTCTCTTGCTTATCACTTACATCAGTATCATTGCTTCTTGAATCATTTTAATAAACATGTTATTGAGTGTTCAAGTTGTTTGATTATCATTTTCTCGGACATTAAAAAACACTGCCCAAAGGGCACTCCCAGATACACCCATTTAAAGAAAAGTTCTTTTATTTAGTTTTTACCTTTCTTTATTTATTAATGAACATTTAATTTATGAACACAGAAAATTTTATAAAATGCTTGTAAAGTCATATTTTATTCACATGGTCACAAGATGATAAGGAGTTAAGCCCCTTTGCATAAAAGCCATATGCATTCTGGTCTCTGTGGAGTATAACATAAAGATAGATATTTGAAGTTTTCAAGAATCAACTGAAGATGAATTCCTTATGAAACATTGATTGTTCTATGGTTTCTGTTGTACACAAAATCCTTAAAAACATCATTTCTGACCACTACAGCTGCAGTTCAAACCCCCGCGCTCAACAGATTCCTAGTTATGGGTAAGTACATCTGTGTTACATCCTTTCGTGTAGATGTCATGTCTATTTCGATTATTATAAAAAGTCCATTTAGTGTTCATTTGTGGAAATATTCAACTCTGCTACCATATGACATCCACTTTTGAAGATAATGTGTTTAGCATTGTGCCCTTGGTATTCATTTGTGGATATAACATATTTAGCATTCTCCACTTGTACCCACACGTGAAGATTATATGTTTAGCCTTCTCCACTTGTACCCACACGTGAAGATTAAGTGTTTAGCGTTCTCCACTTGTACCCACACGTGAAGATTAAGTGTTTAGCGTTCTCCACTTGTACCCACACGTGAAGATTATATGTTAAGCGTTCTCCACTTGTACCCACACGTGAAGATTAAGTGTTTAGCATTCTCCACTTGTACCCACATGTGAAGATTATATGTTTAGCATTTTCCACTTGTACCCACACATGAATATTAAGTGTTTAGCGTTCTCCACTTGTACCCACACGTGAAGATTATATGTTTAGCATTGTCCCCTTGCCATTCACATGAGAAGATGTTTTTAGCAGTCACTTTGATATATATGTACTTAGCATTTTCCCTTGCTAAACACATATGAATAGGATATGTTTAGTATTGTCCCCTTATTATTCACACTCAGAGATGTTTTTAGCATTGTCTCTTTGATATTCACATGTGAATATTATTTATTCAACATTGTTTCCTTGCTATTCACATGTGAATATTATTTATTCAACATTGTTCCCTTGCTATTCACTTGTGAATATTATTTATTCAACATTGTCCCCTTGGTATTCACTTGCGAATATGAGTTTCCCTGTTGTGTAGATTTTTAACACTGCCTCACTGATATCCTTTTGTGTTGTGTGGATATGTTTAGGCACATGCACTTGCCTCGTCTGTCAATACACCTATAAGTTTATATTATAGGTGTATTGACAGACGAGGCTAGTACCTGTGGTTAAGCATTGGGCTCCACTCTCCTAGTATCCATCTCTATAGATATATCGTTTAGTATTGCCTTCTTGATGCCCACCTCAGTTGATAGATCAACTATTGTAGATGTTAGCGTAAATGCTGTGTAAAGAGTGACCATTGGACTCTACATGCACTGGGAACTAAATATTTAATCATATTTTATATTTTCAGTGGCTCAATAGGAGCAGAAAACCTAGATGAAATAGACAATGCTCAAGAACCATTTGACCCCTACACTGTGAAGAGGGTCCTCATTCCCCGATACAGTGAAACAGGACAGTAAGTAGACAAAGACAGTTCACTAAGATGATTTCAGTGAAGGTACTTAGTGTTCAAGGAGTTAATAGGAAAACTTGTCTTTTCTTTCTCAAATCTTACATTATGTTAGAAGTATGGTATTGATGAATCATTCTCAAGGTAGACCTATCTAACTGCTTTCCTTATTTTTTTTCCTACCAGCCGACCTAACATTCCCGGATACAAAGGTTGTACACTATGGAGGGGGGTGTATGCCCAAGCTCATCAAGGTTCCCAGGCTACCACTGCCATCACCCACAAGTAAGTAACTTATCAGACTTCCAGCTATCTGATCCTCACTAACCTCACCCACAATTACCGCTAACATTAAACATATACATGTATATGTGCATTAGCTTCACTTTTATTGCAAAAAAGTAAGGAATTTGTCATATGTATGCCGGCGTTACATGCGAAGTAAGTATCTTAAAGACTTTTACTTCTTCTACCTACAAGAAATACCGTATTTGAAGACGGTCTGCCAATATATTTTGATATCCTTGGTGTGTTAAATTTTGGCTCATTTACTCCAAGCTCCAAAAAACCCAAAAAGTAACCACATCAAAAATATCCAAAACTACGAAAAAGTTTTTGTCTTTCATTGCAATGGCTCACAAGTAAACACGTACAACGGTTCACAAGTAAACACGTGCAATGGCTCACAAGTAAACACGTGCAATGACTCACAAGTAAACACATGCAATGGCTCACAAGTAAACACATGCAATTACTCACAAGTAAACACGTGCAATGGATCACAAGTAAACACATATATTATCTCACAAGTAAACACGTGCAATGGATCACAAGTAAACACGTGCAATGACTCACAATTAACCCCGACAATATCTCACAAGTAAACACATACAATGGATCACAAGTAAACACGTGCAATGACTCACAAGTAAACACGTGCAATGGATCACAAGTAAACACATGCAATTACTCACAAGTAAACACGTGCAATGGATCACAAGTAAACACATATAATATCTCACAAGTAAACACGTGCAATGGCTCACAAGTAAACACGTGCAATGACTCACAAGTAAACACATGCAATGGATCACAAGTAAACACGTGCAATGGATCACAAGTAAACACATACAATGGATCACAAGTAATCACGTGCAATGACTCACAAGTAAACACATGCAATGGCTCACAAGTAAACACATGCAATGGATCACAAGTAAACACATACAATGGATCACAAGTAAACACATATAATATCTCACAAGTAAACACGTGCAATGACTCACAAGTAAACACATGCAATGGATCACAAGTAAACACGTGCAATGGATCACAAGTAAACACGTGCAATGGATCACAAGTAAACACGTGCAATGGCTCACAAGTAAACACGTGCAATAGCTCACAAGTAAACACATGCAATGGATCACAAGTAAACACATGCAATGGATCACAAGTAAACACGTGCAATGGCTATCAAGTAAACACATGCAATGGATCACAAGTAAACACATGCAATGCCTCACAAGTTGACACAAAACACATACATTGCCTTGACCCCGGTTATATGTTGTTTCTTCAAGTATCTTAAGTATATACAAATATTTCATACACTGTATTTAATTTATCATATTTGTATTTGCAGATCTTTACCTATCTCCCCGAATACGTCTGAACATAAGAAGGACTCCAAGATGTCTAAGATGGTCACCACTGTTCCACCATGTAATCCGTTCAACCAGATCAACAAACTGGATGAGATCATCGCCACTAACAAATCTGTGGCATAGACTTAATATAGATTTATATTCCTTCCAAGTATTGCGCCCTACTATGTGACAGAATTTGATATTTTCCCCCACGATGGCTCTAGTTCTGAATGCAATTCGAAGAACATTCGTTTTCCAATCTTAAGATATTATACCGGTTAAAACTTTAAATGTGGAATGTGAACCCTTGCAAATAGAGCAATTAGTATGCTAACGTGACATATCGTTTTACATGTTAACTCTAGGGAGGAACATCAAAATGTACACTAATCTATCAATCAATGAATGCATTCATTGATATTGAAATCAAAATTGTTTTCGACATATGTTTTTCTATCCAAATTTCTTAGCTTCTAATCATGTTTTCTATGTCTTGTTAGGTGGAATGATGACAGTTTATCTACTTGTTACCCATAGGTTATGATTCTGAATACTAACGTGGTAGCTGGGTGTTTTTTACCTGTGGTCAATTTTGTCCTGGGCCTAAGATAACTTCGGGAGGTTTAACTAATGTCCATGCTTTTTACAATGTAAGGTTGTGCCCATGTCAGTGCAATGTTATCACTGATCTGAAACAGTATTATTATTGATTTGGGTAATGTTTTAATTACTGTTATCATATTTTTGTTAATGTATTAAGTCTGCTTACCGTCTGTATTACATTGAGCTGTAAGAAATAGAATCTTAGTTCAACACGAGCTGGCCTAAACCGTCCGTTTTACCTTTTGACTGACACTGATGGTGACCTTTTACGGTAAACATATCCTACCTGAACCGTTGGGGCAGCATATATACAAAAGCTTTGATAGGATAGAGTATGGAAGATAAAGTGTTCTGATAAACAATATTTTGCCAGGACACTGCTAAGGACAGTAGTCTATAAAATGTTTTTGTAAAGACTAGATTATATGTTGTAATAAGCACAGGTGCTGTATCCACAACGTTATTATCGTGCTGTTAGTATTGCTCATCCGGCTGTGATACATATTTACAATTGGAACGTTTCTATATTCCTTACTTTTCTATTTTGTTTTCTCATGTCTCTTTACACATGAATATTGATATGCTTTTGGACTTTTTCATATTATATAATCAACTTTTATCTTCATTTTGTCACCAAGTCAGGATTGATTGCACGAAGTCTAAATATATATATATCTATACCTGAGTGAAACTGGTCAGAATTTCTACCTGGCAGAAATTAATTGATTTATTTTCATATAAAAAAAAAAAGTGCGTCTATCAACTTGTTCTCCTTTTTGATGTTCAAATAAACTTATTTTTCTTTCTAGTATGATTTGTGTTACTTATATTAGACCACCTCCAGCAGCAGTAAAATGCGTGTAAAACCTACATGGCTATTCATGAAACAATTCCAAATCGAAATTGAGGCAGTGCCTGCAGCCTCATTAAATGCGATCATATTCGACCCATATTTTATGTTACGTGCACATTATGCAAATATACAAAAAAGGATTAGACCTATGTCAATGTGGAACAATAAACAATCAAAATTTAGAAGTATTTATGAACTCATCAAAATCGAAAACAGACTCCCTCATTTTTCTATGCGGGGACTGATTGATCTGAAAACGAAACACCATTTTATAATTACCTAACCTTTGTTTCATTTCTGCATAATGTCCAGCTTATCCGTTACGGCCCACTGAAGCATTAACGTGGACACCACTCCTTTGGTTCACAACACCAAAAATAGTTAAAAAGGTTTCAGCAACAGATTGGTGTGAATAATAAAGGGTAAGTTTTTTTCTGAACACAAAACGAAATTGAAAACTGATTTTGCGGGCTTTGGAAAACGTCTGTTTCCTTTGCATAGCCATGAGTGTACATGACCGATTACTTTACTTTAAACCGCTAAAAACAACTCGCTAAGCCACAGTGTATCGGTTCAGTAAAGTCAGCTGTTGAAAATCATAGAGATATTTCGCGCAATTGCACTCTAATACATGGATACCCACGCCCCTTAGTGACCTTAATTACTGTAAACGCACACATATCTATATAAAAAGACCGACTAAAATCAAAACACATTTAAGGAAGCTACTGTTTGAAATGCACAGGCAAATCAGAAAACAGGAGAAACTAAATTGGAAGGGTTCCGCATAACCTTGCGAGACTAAATTTAGGAATTTCATTGTCAGGAATGCGTGGACTTAACAGAATCAAGACGGTACCTGTAATCTAACCAAACAAAGACGATCTCGTCTCGATTTTGGCACTGCATCTATGCGAGCAAAGAACAAATTCGTTGATACCCATAGTATGTTATTCGTCAGCCAATCAGAATCGCGCACGTATCTGTAACTTGACTATATTTGTTTGTCATCTTCGAACTTGGAATGAACATTTCCGTTATGTAATCATATCTCAAGTTTCATTGACACCCATCAATATTTAAGAAAACTTGTTCCAAAGCAATGCGTGACGGAATGACGAACAGAAAAAAAGGTATTCGTATCTATTTTTCTGAAAAAAGAACGAAATACAAATAAGTAAGCATTTAAATAACCTTTCATATACTTTTAGTAGTTATATTATTCACTAAACAACTCAACCAACATCAGAAAGTCCCTTAATAATGAAATAACAAAAACTCATTGTCGTTTATGTAATGGATAATGGGACTAAATAAAATATTGCTAATTAACACGAACTTATGACCAGGGTTTAAAATCAATATGTAATACGATTCTACAAATAAGACGGTTCACAACAAACACCAATATTTGTTATGGTTTTCTTTGATAAGTTGTGGGGCCAGACAGACGGACAGACATACTTTCTTTATCATGCTTTATTCGACATTTAACATGTAGTTTATTGAACATTTTGATTTCCGGTATTGTCTTCATCATCAGATGTCAAGTCACCTGCGCAGTGTTGGTCTCTTTTTGCCACTTCCTCCACTACAGCTATGGTCTCCGTTTTCCACTAGTGTTATCATCTCTACTTCCATGTCCACTACCACTACCATGTCCACTACCACTACCATGTCCGCTACCACTACCATCTCCACTCCCATCTCCACTACCACTACTATTAACACTTCCATCTCCACTACCACTTCCATGTCCACTACCATCTCCACTACCACTACCATCTCCACTTCCATGTCCACTACCACTACCATCTCCACTTCCCTGTCCACTATCACTACCACTACCATGCCCACTTCCACTTCCATGTCCACTACCACTACCACTACCATTTCCACTACCACTACCATCTCCACTTCCATGTCCACTACCACTACCACTACCATGTCCACTACCACTACCACTTTCATGTCGACTACCACTACCACTACCATGCCCACTTCCACTTCCATGTCCACTACCACTACCACTACCATTTCCACTACCACTACCATCTCTACTTCCATGTCCACTACCACTACCACTACCATGTCCGCTACCACTACATGTACCACCATCATCTCCACTTCCATTTCCAGATATCCACTTAGATAGATCCATACCAGGCAGTGACTCGCACGATTTCTTTGTCCTGGCACTGGAAGGTTAAATCAGGGTTGGCTATTACACAAACACACGTACTTTAACACTACTTCAACATACTACATTAGAGGTACGGGGACAGATGAGTATATTAGAGAAACAGATCGATCTATTAAAAGTGTTTATAGAGCTCTTGACTTTGTATAAAATAAATGTTTGTTTTTTCATTTTCTAATGAGTAGTCTTGATTAGCAAGGTTGATGGTTTACGTTGACAATAGAAGAACAAACGATATGCGTGACACATTTCTTCCATAAAAGTGAATAAAAGACAACACAAACATGTTTGATTCATTTCTACCATACAGGTGAACAAAAGACAAATGCAAATAAAATATGTTCACTTCTACAGTAGAAATGTACGGGTTACATCTTCTTTACAAGTGTACAAGAGACAACATAAAGATATGCATGGATCAGTTAGATACGGTTGGTTTTCTCAATCAAACATACTTCACCACAATACTAAACTTACATGCCAACCAACTTGAAGACGTTTTCTGGAATCAAATCGAGTCCGAAGTTTTCGCACATGACTTTGGACAACTTCACTTTTCTGATCTCTGCCAATTGGTCTGTAATAGAACCGTTTATCATTATCACCGGAAAACACTCGCATCTGCACCTATTTCTGCCAAATGTGATATTTTTTAGGTTCTTTATGATGAGCATTTCGCTAACAAATGTACGAGGACGGTTGTATTTAAGATGGGCCAATGCTCAATAAGAGTAAGTACGTATACGTACTCGTCAAAATGTTCTAATCCGTGGATATGGGTACTTAAGCCTAAAACTGTCACCGTATCGGTTATAACTGCAAATAATTACACCGCAGAGAATAAGGGTATGCTTCCTCATGATAGTATTATACAGTACATAGAAGGGCATTCGGTAATAGATATAGCAGGCCAAATATGAATGACACTAGCCCATTATACGGCTGTTTCGTCCGTCTAGGACCCATCGGTGATGCCAGGGGCCGAACAGTTGAAAATCCAAATAGGTCTTAACCACTGTTCTAAAAGAAGGTAAGGTGCGTAAAAAAACCTCAATTATGTTCTCGGTTAGAATACCATCTATTGTAAAGGTATCTATCTGCCATTTGGTGCAGTGGATCTTTAATCCCTGGTTAAACGATTTGTTTCAGTGTATAATTGGCAATGAATTATATAGGTCCTGAATTCTATTCATTTATATTTTTTTTTATTTCTATTCATCTTTTACTTTTGGTTTTCAAGTTATCGAATTTTCATACGACTATAATTGTGTAAATTGCTTTACCTCAATTATCACACAGATTTTGACACGTAGTATAAAAACGCATGCTGTCATTTATAAATATATATATATATCATTCTATAGATATGAAATCGAATCCTCCAATCGTTTCAATACAATATTTGGAACAAGAAAAAAAACTTCGCCTTTAATATCGATGCAACTAAATAATTTTACAATAAACTGGTATTACTTAAAAGTCACTTGAACTTAACGGTTTAATCCCCCTGATTGGTCACGTCTTTGGACTCAGAAGAGGTTGGGCAAACGCCATGATATGTGGTATTTAAGTTATCCTCGATCCTGTTTAACAACAATACGCTCAGTCGACATCATTGCAGTCACTTCAAGCTTACATAAATATTAATTCAATTACCCTTGGTGAATCCTTCCGCTGTGGGCCTTTCATAGAAGAATCTATCTCCAGCCTTCAGTTCTGAGAATTGACGTGCAAAGATATGGCTGAAAACTCGTCCTAGGTGACCGCCACTAACGTCCCTCTCAGAGATACCGCCGGCGAAAAGATCGATGTCGTCCACATGGCTAGGAAGAAGAAAGTAACGACCAAATAAGATTACATCAATGTAAAGGTACCTCAGTGGGCAGAGGTTGTAGGTGTATTCGGTTGGTTCGATGCATTAGCTTAATATATATATCTGAAGAAAAAACTTTGCAATTATGCTATAATCATCGTAATAGTGCATGTAGCAACAGAGGACCAAAAACAGGGAAGTGAAATGTAATATTATCTTCCTTGAAAATGGGGTTTTTCCATCATGTTTGATAAGGAATCTTTTATAAACACCATTACGGAGTGACGGTAGCAACCGAGTCACACTAATCACCATTACCTCACATGGCCAAGGAAATAATAAATTGTCACAGCTGCTACCTACCCAACAAATTGTACCAGCTATTGTTCATCTTACTACTCCTAGCGCATCGTGCCATACACAACAGTTGGTTTAGGTCATATATGTATACACACAATTAAAAGTCGTCCAAAATCTGTTCTTGGTTTGTTACCTTTAGTGAAGTCGTATGTCTATGTTTTACCTGTCGTATATATTCATTCATTAATTAATTAATATTTATTGTGATTCTGTTCGATTTCCTGTGACTACTTGAAGAAGGTGAGAGCTTACATTGGCATTGTTGTCCAATTCGTTTTGTATCTAAGACAGCTAACATTATATGCATTGGTTGATGCCTAGTTCCTTATAGTATTTGTGATCTCTTCAATGAAATAAGCTTAAATAGTTATGACGTAAATTTATCGACTAAAATAAGATTCCTCCTAATACGCACTATTTATTCAATGTACGAATGAGCCGCAGCGATGTTCACGCTTCCTGCGTATGACTTAATGTCTGAGACCATGCCAAGTCTGTTGACGTATTGTTAAGTTCAATCAATGAAAACAATTATCTCAAACACAATAACATAAATATCTACTTACTTGTAAACCTTTTGCAATAAACGGATCTCCCGTTTAGTATGCTCCGATAACTGACTAAATGCCGTTGCCCTGGGGAGTCCCGCCCACTCGCGCCAGTCATTGTAGGATGGTACACCGTGGTCTCGTCCTCTCTGGACGTTTAGTGCACCGAGGTCAAAGCTGTGACCTTCAGAATCAAGGAAAAGAAGGTCACGGATACCGCGCTCCAAAATCCTTCAAAAGAGAATTGAAATGTTTAAGTAAACCTTTAAAGTGTAACGTGGCAAAGAACTGCTCAATATATGCTGGTAATTTTCGAAATTTTACGTGTTTCTGTCTCTTTATCATGCAAGTAATTTTAAGGACTTCTTTTTGAATATGATAGGTTCGAAATTTTACATGTTTCTATCTCTTTATCATGCAAGTAATTTTAAGGACTTCTTTTTGAATATGATAGGTGCACTTCATAATCACTTACCTGTCTCTTTTCATTGATTCGTTTGCGCAGACCCACCGTGCAAGCATTGGAACGTCATTTCCGCGGTTACCTACGACCATTGAGGGCTTAAAGAACGTCTCTTCAATGGGCTTTACTTCGTATGTCATGAAGTCGTGGAGCAGGAATGCCTGGACCCCGCTCACAAGAGAGTGTCCGTACCTCATTGCCGCCACAGCGAACGAGTTCTTTATGGTGGGGTCTACGCTTGCGCTGTACGGGTCTCTATTTGAACGCTTTAGGTTGTAAATCTCCAGAAATTCTGGTGCCAGGATGCTGGGTAACCATTCGTAGTACGTTATCTGCTGGAGAAGCGCAGATATAATCTTTCGTGTCTCCTCAAACGTCTTCTCGTCGTTCCATTGTGGATTCAAGGTAGACAACTCTTTGGCAATACGGTTGTGCTCTCGGAAGAACAGCACGTGATTTGCCCCGAGATGTGGCACAACATTGGCTCGGACGTCACCTGCGGGGGCAAATGGATTATGACACAGAGACTTGCCTGGTTCTATGTCACATATTTTAATATGATGACACAGAGACTTACCCGTTATTATGTCACAGACTTTAACATTATTAACACAGATACTTGCCTGGTGCTATGTCACAGACTTTATCATTATGACACAGATACTTACCCGTTACTATGTAACAGACTTTAACATTATGACACAGATACTTGCCTGGTGCTATGTCACAGACTTTATCATTATGACATAGATTTACCCGTTACTATGTCACCGACTTTAACATTATGACACAGAGACTTACCCGTTACTATGTCACAGACTTTAACATTATGACACAGATACTTACCCGTTACTATGTCACAGACTTTAACATTATGAACACATATACCTGCCTGGTGCTATGTCACAGACTTTAACATTATGAACACAGAGACTTATCGGTTACTATGTCACAGACTTTAACATTATGACACAGAGACATACCCGTTACTATGTCACAGACTTTAACATTATGACATAGAGACTTACCCGTTACTATGTCACAGACTTTAACATTATGACACAGAGACATACCCGTTACTATGTCACAGACTTTACCATTATGACATAGAGACTTACCCGTTACTATGTCACAGACTTTAACATTATGAACACAGAGACTTATCGGTTACTATGTCACAGACTTTCACATTATGACACAGAGACTTACCCGTTGCTATGTCACAGACTTTGACATTATGAACACAGAGACCTATCGGTTACTATGTCACAGACTTTAACATTATGAACACAGATACTTGGCTGGTGCTATGTCACATATTTTAATATGATGACACAGATACTTACCCATTACTATGTCACAGACTTTAACATTATGACACAGAGAATTACCCGTTACTATGTCACAGACTTTAACATAGTGAAACAGATACTTGCCTGGTGCTATGTCACCGACCTTAACATTATGACACAGAGACTTACCCGTTACTATGTCACAGACTTTAACATTATGACACAGAGACTTACCCGTTACTATGTCACATACTTTAATATTATGAACACAGAGACTTACCCGTTACTATGTCACAGACTTGAACATTATGACACAGAGACTTACCCGTTACTATGTCACCGACCTTAACATAATTAAACAGATACTTGCCTGGTGCTATGTCACAGACTTTAGCATTATGACACAGAGACTTGCCTGGTGCTATGTCACCGACCTTAACATAATGAAACAGATACTTGCCTGGTGCTATGTCACAGACTTTAACATTATGACACAGAGAATTACCCGTTACTACGTCACAGACTTTAACATTATGACATAGAGACTTACCAGTTACTATGTCACAGACTGTACCATTATGACACAGAGACTTACCCGTTATTATGTCACAGACTTTAACATTATGACACAGACACTTAGCTGGTGCTATGTCACATACTTTAACATTATGACCCAGAGACTTTCCTGGTGCTATGTTACATACTTTAACATTATGACACAGAGACCTACCTGGTGCTATGTCACATACTTTAACATTATGACACAAAGACTTACCCGTTGCTATGTCACAGACTTTGACATTATGAACACAGAGACCTATCGGTTACTATGTCACAGACTTTGACATTATGAACACAGAGACTTATCGGTTACTATATCACAGACTTTAACATTATGACACAAAGACTTACCCGTTGCTATGTCACAGACTTTAACATTATGACACAGAGAATTACCCGTTACTATGTCACAGACTTTAACATAATGAAACAGAGTCTTGCCTGGTGCTATGTCACCGACCTTAACATTATGACACAGAGACTTACCCGTTACTATGTCACAGACTTGAACATTATGACACAGACTTACCCGTTACTATGTCACAGACTTTAACATTATGACACAGAGACTTACCCGTTACTATGTCACAGACTTTAACATTATGACACAGAGAATTACCCGTTACTATGTCACAGACTTTAACATTATGTCACATAGACCCACCCGTTACTATGTCACAGACTTTAACATTATGACACAGAGACTTACCCGTTATTATGTCACATACTTTAACATAATGACATAGAGACTTACCCGTTACTATGTCACAGACTTTAACATTATGACACAGAGACTTACCTGGTGCTATGTCACATACTTTAACATTATGACACAGAGACTTACCTGTTACTATGTCACCGACCTTAACATAATGAAACAGATACTTGCCTGGTGCTATGTCACCGACTTTAACATTATGACACAGAGAATTACCCGTTATTATGTCACAGACTTTAACATTATGACACAGACACTTACCCGTTACAATGTCACAGACTTTAAGATTATGACACAGAGAACTTACCCGTTACTATCTATGTCACAGACTTTAAAATTATGACACAGATACCTGCCTGGTGCTATGTCAGATACTTTAACATTATGAACACAGAGACTTATCGGTTACTATGTCACAGCCTTTAACCTTATGACACAGAGACTTGCCCGTTACTATGTCACGGACTTTAACATTATGTCACAGAGACTTACCCGTTACTATGTCACAGACTTTAACATTATGACACAGAGACTTACCCAATATTATGTCACATACTTTAACATAATGACATAGAGACTTACCCGTTTCGATACAAAAATCCCCTGTCTTAGACACAATACATGAGTCCTCACTTCCAGCTGGGGGCAGGTTTCCTTGCGAAGACTTCAGCTTTCCTGAAACATGAAAAAGGTAGGGCGGATCAGTGTTGAACAGAAGGTCTGTGCTCAAGTAATAAACGAAGATTTTGTACGCAAGGCACAAACGGATATGTTGTGCACAAAAAAATAGATGGAATGTGTGTACACGGGTAACAAAGTATATACGCAAGTAACAAATATAAAGTAAGAACAACACTAACACCAAACGGATGGTCTGTACACAAGTAATAAACAGAGTCGAGTAGAAAAAAAACCCAAGTGTAAGGTCTGTTCACAAATGCAACTAGCAAGTGAAGAGAAAGGCTCAAATTAAAAATGGCGACTCTAAACTTCAGGTGTTCAGTTTTTGGTGAAATCGGGATGAGGCCGGCCTTTACATCTCGATAACGTTGGCTTTATCGAAGGGGTTTACTATTTAGCGACACCAGGATAACGCCGCCTTACTTGCCATAGTTCTATCATCTATGTACAACTCAAGACGGTCGATGGTCTTACCTTTGCGGAATTGTCTGAGATTAGTGGTCTCAGCTGCGGAAGATCCGTACACATTAGACCCGTCCACAAATGACGTGATAGCATTTGTCTGCTGTCGCATAGCTGTAAATACAGCAAGCAAAAGTGTTCATACAGCTGTAAATACAGCAAGTGCAACTTAACGTGTTGTTACGTGTTCGTATGGCTGTAAATACAACAAGTAAAGTGTTGTTACGTGCTCATATAGCTGTACATACAAGTAAAATGTTGTTATGTGTTCATATAGCTATACTAATGACAAGTAAAAGTGTTGTTACGTGATCATACAGCTGTAAATGCAACAAGTGAATGTGTTGTTACGTGTTCATACAACTGTAAATGCAACAAGTAAAAGAGTTGTTACGTGTTCATATAGCTGTAAATGCAACAAGTAAAAGTGTTGTTACGTGTTCATATAGCTGTACAAAAAGCAGTTAAAAGTGTTGTCACGTGATCACATAGCCTTGCATTCTGCAAGATCAAGTGGTGTTACTTGTTTACTGTGACTACATCGCCATCTAATCCAGGAAACACTGGCTATCTGTATTCTGACCTTATGGTTTTATGTCAATGCCTTTACGAATTCTTTTACAATCACTACAAATTTCATTTAAAAGCATGTGTTTCGTGCCAGGTGATGATAATTTAGAACCCACATACATCCTAAATCTGTTTAAGGTAGAGGTGGTACTGCACGAGTCAACAGCACAGCAGGTGCTCAAGGGAATCAAAATATAATATAAAGCACTTACCTGGATCACAAGAGTCCACAGCGGCGGACGACCTTACAAAGGACATACAATTGGTCCTAAAATGTTGGTCATTCGTCGGGATGGTTATTGGGAAACACTCGTCTCTGCGTAATAGAAAATAACATCACCCACTAAATACATAATCGATCATAATGTCGATAGGATTGCATGAACTCTTCCAACAACGTTATCCTGTAAAATGCTCAGATTACCTGTGTCGGGAGTGATTTAACACGTTTTTGTAATCTGTTTATTGTCTATGTCAATACCTTTACGATACCCTCCCCATTGATGAAACTCAGTCAAATGTTATACGATAGCAAAATGACAAAACTCAAGTTCGAAGATGAACAAATTAATTAATATTTGATAAGGCTACGGATATTTTCTCGATTCTGATCGGCCGACGTAATTTTATCAAACTATTTAAGTGAGTACATAATGGCATAGCTAATAGCAGGTTTGGGGATTGTCATAATCTTTGCATGCTAATATCATTATGTTTTAATGATAACTTCCTTAGATATTTGGATTTTAGTAGAACTGGTGTAATTGTATAATGGTAATGTTGATACCCATTTTGAGCACGAGCAATTAGGATAAGAGCATTTCTGTAAGGCTGACAAGGTCACTATGAATTGTTTATTCCAATTGATTTTATTAATATTCGGGTCAGCTATCTAGTTATTTTACATATAGTGACGTCGCAGTTATTTCCTCCATTCTGAATGGCTAGCCAGGAGGAAATTGGGTTGATTCTAGGTGATTTTATTACGGTGAAAGCACTTTTTTCAGTTCTAATTTGATAATGCTTTCCAGACAAAGTTAGATTCCCCGATCAGACGTAAAAAAGGTACGGGGTCACCTGTCCAACCATGTGTCTCAGGGAACACCGGTTTCCTTCCACAGTAGGACCCCCCTCGCGCTCACATCCGAGCTAACAAGAGTGAATAATATTTTTGTAAAATAGATAAAGGTTATATTTATGTATGATAGCAAAGCGGGGACATTCAAAAGTAAGGACTATATTCAGCGATCCTGGTGACAAACTCCATTGTGATAGCTTGGACTATCATTAGTAGGAGCGTCACCCTATCTACATAGTGCACATTCAGCAGCTGATTCGGAATTCAAGGAAATGTTCTTAGTATTAAATGTTCCGATATGGTACGTTCCTTCGATTAAATAAATACATGAGCAATTGTTTTACCAGAGATTTTTTAACATGAGCGAAGTAACATTCGTCATCACTACTTAATTTTCAAATAGAGATCTTACTGTATCTTAGATTGTTTTTTCCTTTTGTTTTTCCTTTTGTTTTCTGTGCCTCTAAGTTTTACCTTTTTTATCGACTACATTAATCAGTATGACATTTAATGAACAGTTAATAAACCAGTAATCATACTCCACACAGGATGAGCTTTAATGGTTGGCTGCATCTAAGAAGATAGTAGAAAGTACATGGATAAACACGTTTTACTAACTGCAAAATGAGAAATTGAGAGTTTCCTTTTAACAATATGGAGAGACTTAACAAAAAGATTATATATCGGACTATATGAAACCCATTCAACGGAGCAAACAAGTAAAAGAACTCCTATCTTAAGGAACTAACGATCAATATACGATCCAAGGATAATTTTCTGGACATTTACAAGTTAGATATAAGTCATATTGGGGAAAATCGTTTTCGATATCACTGTACGTGGAAGTATAAAACAGTAAAACCACATCTTACTACAACAAAGTTGGACTGCAAACAAAGCAAAGAAGGCATGATAGTTGCATGGAAATACAATGGTAAAAGTCTTATGTAAAGTTCAATCGACACATCTATTTACTAATAAGCAAACATTTGAGTCAAAAGGCCGCAGCTGACGATATCTTGATTGGTTTCGTTTGGTTTGTTTGTGTTTACGTCCTATTAACAGCTATGGTCAATTAAGGACGTGCCATGTATTGAAACAAGGAAATGTGAAATTAGCATGAACAGGTAACAGCCAGCAATATAAGGACTTCAAAAGGGGGGAAATGAAAATATAAAAGTAAATATTTATATGAAAACGCAAGACAATGAACTCTACAACATTATCAGGACAAAACAATTATCAATGACCTCCCAGAAACTTATAAATGCAGCATCATTCACGTCTGCTGGAAAATAATCTCCGATAACAACAAAAGTATAAACCTCCAGGAGAATCTACCCAAGCCTCTGTCAAGTTCACATGGACACATAATGAGTACTGAAATTAGGAAATGTATAACATAACGAACTGTTACATTTCGGTAAAAACACAGATGTAGTGAGGTCATGGCACGTTAGATAATGTAAAGGATGATATTGGAAATTAACAGACGGCCAACTTCAATGTATTACCCTTTACATATACCGGCCAATTTCGCAACAGAATAATGCGCATCATCTGAAAACTCCATTTGTCTTTTGTACAATGAACTCGTGAGACCTCACCTGACGAATTCGTGTATAATTCAATATCTGCAAAGACATAAATGTACTTGGAAATGTACACAGAGGGGCCAATAAGCGAATCCAGGAATGAAAACACTAATGTACAGATTGATGATTCCAAAAGTTTCCAACACAAAAACAAAGGAGGTTGTGAGGAAAAATGACAGATGAATCAAACTGAACCGTAAATGTTATGATGACGATGTTACGGAGGTCAGAGGTCAAAACATCCTAAAGCTTAACAAAAACATAGTGATTGCAAAAACTGCTTTGTATTAATAATTGGTGGTGGTAGATATAGGGATCTCATCACCATCTGTACAAACATTTGAAGACTGATATGATAAACAAGGGACCTAATCAAATGAGTTTACAATAATGAATTTCTCCATCGTTGCGCTAATTATGGGCATAGAGGTAAATTGCTAGTGTCGATTAATATGTATTACTTAATATGGAATAGCTATTGTCCAGTGGAACCTAATATTAAACAGTTCATGTTAAAGTCTTACCTTCCGGTACCGGTCGTGTCACAGCAATCAATTTGTGATCCTTCTTCACCTGTAAAACATAAATTGTAAACGAATCACTGCCTTACAGGATTTATAGACATTAAAAACGTCACAACATATGAAACAGTTCTTAATTGTCTCACATAAACAATATGTACTGAATAAGTGGTCGACCTTTACACACAAATGTACAAAAAAAAATAACAAATATAAACTCAGTAGAATCATAATACGCTAATAAAACATTTTGTGGTCTAATCAAAGCTGTTGATCTACCTGCCGCAGTGGGCGTGAGTGTGATGTCGTGGTCTAGAAACTGTCCCCATGCCATAACCATTAGAGACATCTCGCTATCTGTTCTTTGTGAACTCGTGTTCACAAACAGAACATTGCTGACAACGCGAGCGCTAGGCAGTGCAGTGGAATCTCTGCTGCTTATGTTTCTTGGTAAACCGATACCTATAAGAAAAATAAAATATACTTTGCAATACCAGTCGTTTCCCTCATCAAACAGAAAGTGTAAAAAGAAATAGATAAAAAAGAGATGATCAAGTCAAATCAATTATTTCAATACGTAAGCCTGATATTCAAACCACAATATGTATATTATTATGTGTTTCCATACAGATCACTGTACACTGTTTATATATATATATTTACGGCCTAGGTTTTGTGTTGTTTCTGAGAAATTGATGACAGAAAGAGTGAACAAGAACTGTTAAAAAGATTGTCAAAATATAATTAAATTGCATTGTTCAATTCAGTAAGTTAAACTCGAAAATCAAAGTGGAATTTATCAACGTTTTTGCCTTACTGCAATGACGGTTACACAATGTAACGAAAAGTAATCTGACCAATTTTAAAAATTATTAAGGTTAATGTGCCGACGGCAACTGTCTTACCGTCGCTGTATTTGGCATCGAGATAGCGTCTCTGTGAGATGCCGGCTGAGCCCCAGTCCGGGTTCTGTAGATTATTACATTGACCGTTGCTTGTGCGGTATAACGAGCTGGTCGTCGGACATTGAGGCGCCGTTATTACGCTCGGGCACTGTGTCTGCCTTCGCCACTCCGACACGATCTCTTCCGAATCCTGGATCTCCTGTAGGCTCATGCCAGTTCTGTGTTACGAAAACATACTAAAAATATCTATGACCATCGTAGTTTTATATTTTATTTCTGTTCTCTATTTTTCGATCAACCATACCACTAGAAAATGCGTGGAAAGATAATAAGATGTGGTTGATATTTTGTACAAAATGACTAGTAGGATTTTTCATAGAAATGACAGTGAACATTTCATACATTATCTTGATGGTACTTTTCATCTTGATACGCAAAACCTAAAAACATGCACGGAGTGTCCAACACAGTAGTCTTGCGATAAGTAAAACATATATATGAATATGTGTATATATCCTATCTAAAAATTAACACATTGTCTTAATACAAAAATGGGGTAAAGTTTATTAGCACAACAAATATATGCGTATATGTGATATTTCGATGACTAGTACGGTATGTACTCTGTCACCTTCATCAGACAAATGACCAGTGAAGCGTATGCACACAAAGGTGTAAAATATGTACGAGTTGTCAAAAAATTGATGTCGATTCAGTTACGCTGTAAGCTTATGTACCATCATTTGTTAAATATGTACTGAAATGACTCGATTCAGCTACGCTTTGTTTAATACTTCGCCAAAGATGTGCGATAGTCTTTGATCTATAATTCCAAGGTACTTGACACAGGGAGCAATCTGTTCAAGTGGCAGATAAAGGCAGCTACCTGGATTCGCCGCAGTGGGCCAGTTCTAAATCAAGATGAGGGAGTTTATATACTCTCGCATGGCCAGGTATTAAACAAACGTAATTGAATCGAGTCATCTCTACATGAATCTTTACACATTCCATACTTACCAACTTGAAGAAAATGTTGAGAAATAATGGGGTTAATATATCTACGACCCAAACTATAACATATATATACATGTATGGGGTATCCGTTATCAAAATGCATGCTTTTTTGTTTTTCAAAACTATATTTACAATTATACAGAATAAGTAATCCTCATCCCGAAAAACTGAACCTAAAAGAGGGCAATGGCAGAGAGGACAGTCAGAACCTCAATTTATATAACAAGGAAGCCCTTGGTTAGAACCATAACGTTGTTTGTACCCACGAGGTCCTCGGTCAGAACCATTAGGTTTTAAGTTTATGTAACCACGAGGTCCTCGGTCAGAACCATTAGGTTATCAGTTTATGTAACCACGAGGTACTCGGCTAGAACCATTAGGTTATTAGTTTATGTTACCACGAGGTCCTCGGGTAGAACCATTAGGTTATCAGTTTTTGTGACCGCGAGGTCCTCGGTCAAACCCATTAGGTTATCAGTTTATGTGACCACGAGGGCGTCGGTCAGAACCATTAGGTTATCAGTTTATGTAACCACGAGGTCCTCGGCTAGAACCATTAGGTTATCAGTTTTTGTGACCACGAGGTCCTCGGTCAAACCCATTAGGTTATCAGTTTATGTGACCACGAGGGCCCCGTTCAGGACCATTAGGTTATCAATTTATGAAACCACGAGGTCCTCGGCTAGAACCAATAGGTTATCAGTTTATATTTATCCACGAGGTCCTCGGTCAAAACCATTAGGTTATCAGAAGCATTGGCAGAGAGGACAGTCAGAACCTCAATTTATATAACAAGGAAGCCCTTGGTAAGAACCATAACGTTGTTTGTATCCACGAGGTCCTCGGTCAAAACCATTAGGTTATCAGTTTATGTAACCACGAGGTCCTCGGCTAGAACCATTAGGTTATCAGTTTATGTAACCACGAGGTCCTCGGCTAGAACCATTAGGTTATCAGTTTATGTGACCACGAGGTCCTCGGTCAGAACCATGAGGTTATCAGCTTATGTGACCACGAGGGCCTCGTTCAGAACCATTAGGTTACCAGTTTATGTTACCTCGAGGTCCTCGGTCAGAACCATTAGGTTATCAGTTTATGTGACCACGAGGGCCTCGTTCAGAACCATTAGGTTATCAGTTTATGTTACCTCGAGGTCCTTGGTCAGAACCATTAGGTTATCAGTTTATGTATCCACGAGGTCCTCGGTCAGAACCATTAGGTTATCAGTTAATGTGACCACGAGGGCCTCGTTTAGAACCATTAGGTTATCAGTTTATGTGACCACGAGGGCCTCGTTCAGAACCATTAGGTTATCAGTTTATGTGACCACAAGTGCGTCGGTCAGAACCATTAGGTTATCAGTTTATGTAACCACGAGGTCCTCGGCTAGAACTATTAGGTTATCAGTTTATGTATCCACGAGATACTCGGTCAGAACCATTAGGTTATCAGTTTATGTGACCACAGGGGCCTTGGTCAGAACCATTAGGTTATCAGTTTATGTGACCACGAGGGCGTCGGTCAGAACCATTAGGTTATCAGTTTATGTAACCACGAGGTCCTCGGTCAGAACCGTTATTTGTAGATTTATTAATTCATGAGGCACTCGGTAAGAACCATTATTTATTTATTAATATATTATTGAGCCGTTCTAGAAGAACCGTTACGTTCTTGATTAATTTATTCAGTTTAATGCTCGGCCAGTACCAGATGTTCTTTGGGAACAGATAACTAGGCATCTCGACCAAAGGTATTTTGTTATCTTATGTACACAGCCAAGAAGCTGTTGGCCACAATAGTTTTTTTTCTTTACATAGGTATGAAGACCTCAAAGACAATCGTATAGTTCCCTATGGATTTATTGACAATGTTATGTATCACAGCATTACAAAGTCCTCATCAAAATCACAACTGTTCTTCACTTACAAAGTCATGCTGTAGATATCCCTCATACGAGCCGTGATGATATCAATTTACATATCCGTTAGCTCATTGGTCAGAACCGCAATATTTTCACTTAACGATCAATGATACACGAGATACGTGAAGACATTTCAGATCTACATACCAATTAGGGCCTCGGTGACTGACGTTTCATCGTTTACTTATAACGAGTTGCGCTTAGATTGTAATCGAAAACTATACTTACAGCTGTTGGAGTTCCCTGGTTGCAGCCAGTGACTGAATGGCTTGTTCCTCCTTCGCCCGAGTCTCGGGACTTGACATCTTCAGCTGGTGAAGCTGTCTTACACTATTGCCATGGTTGTGTTTGTCTACGCCTATTTATATAAACATTGTTTGCTTTATCTTCTATTTTTGTATTTTTATACTCAAATTGCATTTCGCGGTATATTCTAATGACTTATTGCTTTGTGGATTTTTCTAACCAATGTATTTGACGTAATATACATTTTGACGACAACCGGTACTAGTATATTTTCTTGGGTACAATTTTCTTGCATTTCACACAAATACCTATGTCTATGATAATCGGCGACATCCAGAATTTTCAGTTTAAAAAATGAGAAACAGGCTTTACCACTATCAAAGAAATGTTTCCTCTGTTCTTTCTTTTCCTTGACCGTTCGTTCTCCTTTCTCCTTTGCAAATCTCATAACATCCTTAACTTGATCCAGAATGTCAATCTTTTTGTCTTGTGCTGACGTCACATCTGTCAGATAGCAGATGACTGCTCCAAATAGGGCTGCTCTCAGATAAAGCATCATAGTTTTTGGTCTAACAAAAATAGAAATAAAAGATAGAAATAACCTTAATGCTGGTAAAACCTTCTGGTATTTTTTGTTAAGTACTGCTAAGAGTTACAAAAAAAGATTTTTGGTCAATCAAACCACATTATTCTAATTCATTAAATGCGAATTTCGTTTAACTTCGAACTTAGCCTCAGTGTCTGAACACATATTGTACATGCATACCAAGCCTCATCAAAATCGAACGATATTAAACAAGTTATCCCGCAGAAACAAATTTGTGGAGGTGTTGCATGGCGGACCACGACCAATTTATTAAGTTTTAGCAAAAAATAATAAATTGGCATGACATGCACAACAAAACAATATTTATTTTTCAAATTGAACAATTTTGTGACCGCAGCGCCCCCTACATTGATTTTCAGGATGCATAGGACTCTGTGCCTTTCATGCATTATATTTCAAAATACACATAACAAAACAAACATCTGCCTGCATTGTATAATGGTACTTTAAATAGCCTATCCGATGGTATATAGCGATCGACCATGTAAGATGTCATTTTCTTGCAAATTACATTTTTACTCATTATTTGTCATAGAATTAATAACATTTCGATTTCTGCATTTTACATTCAAATGAAAAGAAAAGCATGATACAGTTCAGGTTCCATCAAATGTTTGCACTTAAACATATCTTAATGTATCCATTTTGTTGCGTATTAATTTAGTTATGAGGATATCTGGATATGCCAACCTTTTGGAACTTCTTTAACCGTACCCCCTTGTCTTTTTGCTAAATATCAAAGTCCGGAGTGACCACTGTTACATGATCTTACAAAGAGTGCTGCATGATAGTTTTCAATATAACTTGGTCTAGAATTTAGTATGGGATAATCTGGGAAGATGAGAATGAGATTTGGTATAAATTAAGGAAGTGACTTATGTAGATTTACTTCAGTGGGATTGTTCTCTCTGTACAATACTTTGGAGTTATAACATGATTTTGCTGTACGGTATTGTCTGTGCATGGGTTAAAATGCGCTCATTGGTGATTCATGGATAACAACTCAGATTGATATTTAATGTCATCAAGAAAAATGGTGAATAATGTACACTTTCATATTTATTTATTTATCAATCGATGATGATTGTGAAGAGGAGGGGCGATGTTAAATCGTCGCAATTTGCATACTAGTATTTTACCTGCGGGTTTCTAAGTTTAACCAAGTTGGGAATTAAAATAGCAACAAAGGCACCATATACGGGTGTCTGCTACGCACTCGATACAGAAAGTTATTAACTCTGTCAAAACATCGTTCTGTTATAGTTCTTTTATTGAAATGCACAACTACATATTTTGACAATGAGCTTGGGCAAATTGTAGGAAGATTAAAAACTGAACGAGCAGATTTCCGGACAGGATAAAAAGACAAGATTTGAAGATGTTACGTTTATCTGATGAACCATAAGTCCTTCGGTCATGGTATGTGTGTCTATCGATTTTTTTAAATTTTGAATATATAACTTTACACAGTTTTAAAGCATAGTTTTATGATTTAGACAGTAGATAGTATGAATGAAAGGTTATAATGCTCGTTCGAATAATGACCTTCACATCTTGCCATAGCCAAAGAGTTGAAGGTTCAGAAATCAAGACTATTTTTCAAGAATCATAAGGCAAAAGGGATAACAGATATTCCATATTCAATAATAATTTATAACCGGTATGATGTCGAAGACTGATATAGGCTTTGTTTATTTCTTGGCGATTACTTACTATACAAGCTTTATATTCTTTGTATGTTGGCTACGCCCAAACATATGTCTGTCTCGAGGGCCTTTTGTTTAAAATAAATTGTGTAAGGACGATTAAGTAACAAAAATGGTGCTTTGGGTCATGCGTTATGTCTGCAGCAAAAATATGTCGGTAATATATTCGTTATAAAATATGAATTAATGCTATAATAAACAAAGTGTGGCATGTACTTATTGTTGGTTTTGATACGATAAAATAAATAAATAATTATACAACATTTGATATAGCGCCCTATCTAGCTAACATAAGCCACTCTAAAACGCTTTACACTACATAGATATACAATTTTATACAGTCAATACATTTAGCATATATTAATCAATACAATATTGTGTAATTCGCAGGAGCTGCCTTATCAGACGCTTACTACTAGTCCTATGCCACCTGGCTAATATATCCCTATGTATGTATGCCTGCGCGTGTGCTGGAGATGTGTTGTGTTCTGTTTGTAGTGGGACCGTGCTTCCAACGGTATAATTTATAGTGCCACCTCACTTGAATGCTACAGCACAGATACCGCAACACCCACCCCAGACCATTTTCGCAACACCCACCCCAGACCATTTTATACTCCACCTGGATTGTTGCAGTTGTGAGGGCAGGAGAAAAACACTTTCTCTATTATTCCATGCGTACGGCGACTTCGGTGATCGAACCCCGGCCGCCTGCTTGGAAGGCCGGTGTGTTAACCACTCGACCAATCCACCCATAAACACATGCAGGACAGTGTATACGTGTAATTTAGAATATATTTTGAATATTTAGATGTATATCTGAAACATAACGGATTTCATCAAGTATTAAAATGTAAATCAAGATTGACGTATTTTCAAAGAAAATTCACAAAACAACGTGTCGCTACAGTCACATTCCATGTATATAAACAAAAACTGTTGTTTTTGAACATATTCCAATCAATCAATCAATACTAGGTTGCTGATTGCTATGCAAAACGTTTTTATGATCAGATGACAGAACTGATTCAGTACTTTCAGTACTTTGATATTTAATAAAAAAAAAAAAACAAGGGGGTAGCGGAAAAGAAGTTCTAAAAAGTGGGCATTTCCAGTGAATCATCAGTAAAATTTGATATGCTATCAAGATGAATAATTTAGGAAAATATGGAAATTTGATGGAACCCGAGCTCTATCTTGTAAATATTCTTACAATAACAAAAGAGTCAAAAAATGATGTCATTTTTTGGGACTAGATTTACGCGTAAATGGTAATTTATGATATCAAAGTACTGAAAGTACTCCAGACACATGCTTTCTTGATTATAACATTTTAGGAAAAACGAACACAATACAGTCAGTTGAGATGCAGGTTAAACGCCATTTAAAGTTGCTGAAAATGATGTGAACGAATATTTACTCTTATTTAATGTGTTGGCAATAGTCTGAAATGTAGTTTCCCTCCGAGGGCCAACAACAAGTATTGCTTTGTGCTCTGCTTCTGCCATAAATAAAGAGTAAACTTCCGAATGAATAATTATATGGCTGTTGCAATATCTCCTTAGTGCCTATTGGTAGAGGGTGAAACATATATTTCCTACAGACCAGTACACGTGTGTCACAAATGTCTTTAGGTCAACTAGGATGTTGCCATGGGTCATATGTCAGTATACACCTCCTCGTATGATTATATTAATAGTAACAGCATGAAACTTAAATCAATTTCTTTATCCTCCATCCGGGGACCGGTGGAGTACTAATTAACATTGTGTCATAAAACAACAATCTCACTGCAAATAAATGTTGTAATAAATGAATCACATCAAACTTATCAAACAGTTTTTATGCAAAAAAATAGGGTAGGCTTGTGAAAGTAATTTTGAGTTCATATTTTTCTGATATTCAAAATATCATTGTCTTACGTTCGTAAACTAGGGGTATAGTATGGAATCATTCTACAATAAGTCAGTCAAGTGTATTGTGTGTTATCATGAAATGTGCTGAGGCAATAGTTAATCATAGTATATTATATACAGGTTTTCAAGCCTCTTGTGGTTTAATACTGCTCTGTAAGTTACAGAAGTATGTTCATGAAACTACACACCGGCAAATTGCATGTATGTGTATTTATACAAGTATTCGATACACAAACAGTTATGCCAGTGATCTTGGACGGTTAAGACCAGGGTTGGGGTCGGGGTTCTCCTCAGCAAATATATCTCAAAGAATTTTTTATCGGAAAGTCCCCCATCCTTCATAACTTCCTCATTTACATATCTTTCTTCAAAAGGTGGCAATTTTCAACTTAAACATATTTGGATTTTAATATTGGTTGTAACCTAAAATAAAGTTCTGATTCCAGGACATACCAATACGAGGCTCGATACCCATAAAGGGGGCCTCATGAGCTGTTGCACCAACCAATGAGGAAAGTGACTAGGTGGGGAGGATATGTGAGGGAGCCTTAACTAGAAGGGAGGCCTCCATCAAGGAAATTATTTTGATGAGAGATCATGTATTCCCAGAGTATGTAAAAATGTATATGTGATAAAATGGCTTTGATGGACACTTCTGAATCCATATTGGGCCACAACTGCACAGCATGTATACGATGTCTGGCAATCATGCAGTCCATTTAATGATCACGTGTTAAATCTTTATTGCAGATAATAATATCTTCAATTTCAATCCAGTTGTATTTGATAATTGCAGCCTCTTTGGTTTTATTCACATCTTCCAAAGCTTCTTGTGCTGAAAGAAAACAACATTTAATGTTTTGGTTGTTTTCATTGTTACAAAGTTTATGATTTTATATAAAAATTTAACAGTCATTTTTATTATTCATACTTTTTCCATGTCTCCTCAACAGTTTTTATTATATCTTCTTAAGAACTGACCAGGGGCGGATCAAGATTTTTTTCGGACAGGTGTTACCATTCCAGTCTATTTTGCTACGCATGTAATCAGAACCAAATAGGGTTGCACAAAATAAAATTAGATACCTGTCTTGGCTAGCCACCTTGTACTTTCCCAACTTCGCATTTTTTTAAGTAAAATGCCAGAGTGGAATGAATCATGAATATTTACATGTATTTCAATTTTCACCAGAAAAAAACAACCTGTTTATCAAACATCCACGAAAAAGATTCTCGGATTTTTATATTTTTTTTAAATATAACACTGTTACTACTACGGACCACTGACCTTACAGGTACAAACGTCTGTATCATGGTTCGCTGACCAATT